TAAGTCTACCTTTTAAGGGCTATAGAGGGCACCCTAGGCCGTAGAGGCCTTCTAGAGCTTAGCTACTAGATGTAATTGCTAAAGGAACTTGATTTTTTAGACTACTAGCGCACGGCACGATTATATACCAAATCCGCTAAGCAATGGCTTACTCCGGCTTCGCAATAACAGATTAGAGAGACTCGCAGGCGTCGGCTCTAACAACACCGAGTAACAACCTCACACATACACCATAGGTTGTCCGCATGATTCAATCCGTGATGCCAATACATGTTTATGATTAGCTCTCAGCTGTTGGAACAATCATGTGAGCAGTTATTGCGAGTCACCAACGTACTCGAATACGTACGTAGAAAATGTAGGTGGGTGGGTGTTGCGCAGAGGGTTACGCGGGCAGCGGAGTCTCTCCATGTTTGGCAAGCAACTCCGCTTTGACTTTGCTTGCTGCTTATCGAGTTTGCCGACTGCTCTCAACAATCTTGGGGGGCAGCGCGGCGTGACAGGCCAAGTCTAGTATTGCAGAGTGGCAAAAGCAGGCACTGCAGAGTAGCTGCACGTCGATGGCCCGAACCCCGGGAGCCGCGAGCTCAACCACCACCGCCGCTGCCGCCATCGACGTCAAACTCTAAGAGGGGAACCCGCCCAACGCGCGTCGCCCCTTGCCCAGACCACTGAGACCACCCTCGATATCCAGCGTTTGTTCCTGGTTTCCACCAGTGCCATGTTGTCATTAGCGTGATCCTGTTGCATGGCTGAAGAAGGTGGTGCCTTGCTCGCTACCAAAACAGGTATGGCCAACCATGGCTGTGCTGATCAAAACACGCGAGCGGGATCTTTTTTTCGTTGTGTGGATGCATGTTTACTCTAGATCGGTTGGAAAGTACTTGAAGGATCGCTCCTTCTCGTCGTGCAGCATTTATTAATCAAGTCCTTGTGCATCTTGTCTGATCACCCTCGTTCCATCCTGCTACCTGTACATCTTTCCTACAGCACAAAGAACCATCTTCCGTCAAGCAATATCTGCAATCAAGATGCAGTTCAAGTCTCTCGCTGTCTTCGCTCTCTCTGCTGGAGCCCTCGCCGCTCCCGAGAAGAGACAGGCCACTGATGCCAACCTGTAAGGCTCGCAGGTCCAGCATGCCGCTATCTCATGTACTGACATGCGCAGCGTTTCCATCGTCCAGGTTCTTCAAACTGCTGTTCCTTCCTCCATTTACCAAGAGTTCCTCACCAACTCTGGTGGTGTCTACTCGTCCGTCGCATCTGAATTGGCCGCCAGCTCGACTCCCTCTTGGATCGCTGCTCTTCCCACTGGTGTCAAGTCGTACGTTTTCGGTCTTGCCGAGGGTACTTCTGCAGCCAGCTCGGCCATTGCAAATGCCACCTCTGCTGCTGCTGCTTCTGTCACATCTGCCCCAGTGATCATCGCGAACAACGGCACAGCTGTCGCCAACCAGACTGCCCCTGCTGTCGTCGCATCCAATGGCACAGCTCTCATCAACGGCACTGTCCCTGCTACCATTGCACAGAACGGCACCGCCATCATCAACGGTACTACTCTTGGAAACGGAACCGTCGTCGTCAATGGCACTGCTATCGCCAATGGCTCTGCTATCGTGACCGGAACTTCATCTCGTACCCACTCTGCTGGTTCATCTTCCACCAGCGGCTCTGGTTCTGGCTCTGGCTCTGGTTCTGGTTCCGGCTCTGGCTCCAGCTCTCGTGGCTCTGGCTCGAGCGGCGGTGCTTCTTCCACTTCCACTGGAGGCGCGTCTCTCCCCACTGCTCTCGGCATGGGTCTTGCTGGCGCCGTCGGTCTGGTTGGTGTTTTTGTTCTCTAAGTTCCGGCTGTTTGCACCTGAGCATATGATTCGCATGATTCCCGTTAGTTGCGTAAGCCTTGCTTCATGACTTTCGTACGGGATTGTATCAAAAGTTTAGACTAAGCCTCTTTTAATGTCACTTAACATACTTTATTGTACCTCGAACATCTATTTGCAGTGAGATGTGTATGGCTGTCATCGGTTCTCACAATATATGTTCGAACGAATGTTGCAATGAGGTTGACTGCTACATCTCCTGAGTTGTATCTTTTTTGTCGTGTTGTCAGCGTGCATGTTGCAACATGCAGTCAATCGAGTGTTTAGCCGAGGTAGTTGACGTCACGAACTTTCTCGAGTTCGACAACCTTGATGAGGACTCCCATTCTTCCTCAATTGAAAACACAATCATCATACAAGGCCAACATGATGTCGAAGCTACCGAAGAGTGTTTCTACTGCCACCTCGCGCTTGGCGCAAGTCACCCAGCAGTTCTCGTCCCAGGCACCCCTCAGACAGCAGCAAGCGAGAATGGTTCACAGAGGTACCATGCACAAGCTAAACACTGGGTAGGTTTTTGCTTCGAATGAAGCTGTCCAATGTGATTTTGAGATGAGCCGGTCACTAACAGCCATCGTAGAGCAAGTATTCCGGCACTTGGATTTGGAACTTGGCAAGACAAAGATGCACAAGAGCCTGCAGTAATTGCTGCCCTGCAAGCTGGTGTAAGACACATTGATACTGCAGCTGTGTATGGTACTGAGCCTGCGGTCGGCTCTGCTATCAAGAAGTCTGGTGTTCCCCGTTCAGAGATCTTCCTTGTTACCAAACTCTGGAACAATTCGCATGCTCCCGAAGATGTTGAGGCTGCTCTCGACACGTCTCTTGCAAACCTTGGAACTGACTACGTTGACCTTTGGCTGATGCACTGGCCATCTGCCTTTGCTAGTGGTTCATCGCTCTTTCCAAAGGACTCAAATGGCAAGGTTAAACCCGGAAACTCGGACTATGTCGAGACTTACAAGGCTATGGAGAAGGTCTACAAGTCTGGCAAGGCCAGAGCTATTGGCGTTTCAAACTTCAGCAAGGCTGAGATGGAAAGACTGATCAAGGAGACGAGCGTTGTTCCAGCAGCCCACCAGGTCGAGCTTCATCCATACTTGCAGCAGCACGAATTTGCCGAGTGGCACAAGTCTCAGGGTATCCACGTCACTCAATATTCGCCTTTCGGAAACAGCAATGAAGTTGTAAGTGTATCTCGACAGCCAGAGTGCTATAACATGAGAGTTTTGGGCCGTTTCCCATAATTCTCACGTGGTACTTGTTGGATAGAATTTGAGCTAACCAAATCTTGATATCAGTACTCCAAGGGCCAGAACCTGAGCAAGCTGATCGAAGACCCAACACTGGTCGAAATTGGTAAGAAGTATGGCAAGTCTGGAGCGCAAGTAGCGTTGGCTTGGGGAATCGCTCATGGCCGAAGTGTCATTCCCAAGAGCAAGACTCCTGCGAGAATTCAGCAGAACGTCGAAGGAGACTTTGAACTGTCTGCTGAGGACGTCAAGAAGGTGGATGCTATCGACAGAAAATTGCGCTTCAATGACCCCAGTGCGAACTTTGGGTGGAACTTCTATCAGGATCTTGAAGGAAAGGAGGCTTAAGTCGTTGCCGGTGGCCGGCTAGGTTTAGATCCGCTGTTCATGAGCACGAGTCGTGTAGTATATTGCGAATTGATGATCCTTAGTACAGGTCTTTACATCCACCAGTTGTGCAAGCGCCTACGGTGTGAGTTGGTCGGCTCGTTGCCGATTGATCATCTATCATGTAATGAACCTCATACAAACTGTCCAACGTGGCTGCTGCGAACCATTTATGGCGAGTAATGGACCGCATATTACTGTTGTATTCGAATCGGAGGCAAGAATGCATTACAATGCCGCAACAGTAGATCCGCTCTGCAGAGCTTGCTGCAAGGGAATACATGCAGAACGTCTGGCTCGCAGCATCAAGAAACAGTCAAAGGCACTCACTACTGTGCACAAATCATAACATCGAATCGGGAATGGCTGCACGTTCTTTCGGGCGCGTTGTCTCGAAATCCCCCGGTCAAAGGTCTCGAAGGCCTGCTAGTCAGGGGGTGAATTGACAGGGTCAGCCAATGACGAGTGGCGTCCCTGGCGCGGCCCGGAAATTCATGGCGGCTCTATTGGTGATCATGAGTGGAAGTGCTCATAATGATCACTGCAATGCAGCTATTGGGGTTGAAATTGGTTGTGCCATTTGGCGCTGGAGGAGCAATGAGGAAAACAAGAAAAGAAGAATTCGTCTTTTGCTAGCAGTAGAAAACCGACGATAGAGACGGTTGTTGGAGAGCTCTTCTTTCCAACCTCTCCAAGCCCTTGCCGAAACCTAATCACTTTTTACCCCTGGAAACCGTTAAACACGTCCGCCGACCCAAAGTCTCGTGTTCTCTCAAGCAGTCGGCTCCCTTGCGATGCAATTCAGGAAGGGTTAAGCTGAGCACACAATGGTAGAAGATTGGCATTCGCCGGACGGCGCAAATGAGACCTCGCAATCTCACGGTCGGTCAAAGCTGCGGGAGCAGTCGACTTTGATGAATGAGCCTGTCAGCGTGCCCTCCTTTTCATCAATCAAGAAGCGAGCCTCGCAGATCCCATTGGCGATAGTCTCGTCGCCTGTAAGAAGGAAGCCCGTGCCAGATAAACCTTCACCTCGAGCCGTTTCCTTCTCCTACATAGCCAGTCCGTCCCAGCCCCACGATGCTGCTCTGCGAACGAGGCCTTCTTCCATAGACCAGTCGTTACTCCTGCAGGAAACGGCTTTAACGGACGTTAACGTGCCCCCTCGCGCGTCAGAACACCAGGACCGCCGAAACCAAGCTCCGATCCTGCAAAAGTATGTCGACACACCGTTGAATAGGGGATAGCATTCACCTTAGTGTCGCGTGCATGGCTAACCCTCTGTTAAAGGGATACCACGAGTCCTGAACATCTCCCACCCGTTTCGTCTCTCGCTCTCTTCCTCTCCGGTGCACAACGTCGCAGCATAATCGACAGTCGTTTGCCGGTACCGTTAAGATATGATAAGACAACCGCTCCCGGCCACCACAGAAATTCCAGCCTGTCGAGTCCGACGTCAGTCCCAGCCTCTCCTCGTAGAGGTCGCTCTTCTACCATGAGTGTCCCCGTCCAAGCCCCTGCCATGACTGTGCAGCTGGACGGCATTCCCAGATCATTCACCGACGAGTCTACCGAGTCATTCGCCTCGTCGTCACCCAAGAGGAGATCCAAGTCTCCTGGCCGCAAGCTCGGCTCCTTCTTCGGTTGGAAGTCATCCTCTCCGAATCTCGAAGCACAATCACCAGCAACATCCTTCTCAGACGTGTCAGCCTCGCCAGTCCACTCTCGCAACACCAGTCACATCGATGCTACACAGACAAACATGGGTCTAACACCACCTGCTCTTGATTTCCATAGCCACAATCGCGCTGGCTCTCAACCGCAATACTTCGACTTCGCCAATCACCATACCATGTCCACCTCGTCGACCATCAACGCTCATGTAGAGGAACTGGAGCGCGAGCTCCAGCAAGTGAGTTCTGAACTTGCTGGTTCCATCCGTCGAGAGATGGAGCTCGAGGACGAGATTGATCGCTTCCGCAGCGAAATGCCCGCTGGCTCGAGCGAGATTGGCCGAAGAACAAGCGACTACTTCTCGGACTCTGGCACTAGCTCCTTGAGGTATCCCCTTATGGACAGCGAGGCCAAGATTGACGAGCTAGAGCGTCTCAAGAGAAAGGCAGAGCAAGAGAAGGCACAGATGCAAGTCGACTATGCTCAGAAACTCTCCGAAGAGTTAAAGCTGAGGAAGGGCTTGGAAGCGCAAGTCCAACAGCTGGAAGAGCAACTGCAAAACAACAAGGACGGTGTACCAGCGGAAGAGGGCCACAAAGACGAACGTGTCCGCGAACTCGAGGTCTTCCTCGACGAGACTCGTCGTCGCTTGAGCCAAGAGCGTCAATCGAAGGATAACTTCGAAGACCTCTTCGCAGCCCTCAAGGACGAAAGCGTAAAGCACCGCAACGAGCGCGACAACCTTCGTGACGAAGTAGTCCCTGAGCTCAAGGCCAGAGTCGAAGGTCTCGAAGCCGAAGCTGCCGAGATGCAATCACTTCGTTATGAGAACGCTAGCATGCAACAACAACTACAAGCCCTCCGTGCTGAAGTTTCAATGCTTCAAGAGGCACAAGACAGAGACTCTGGATTCAACGAGGACGTCTTCGCACCACCGCGATTCCCCAAGGCAGGCTTGTCGCGATCCAACTCTTTGGCTAGGCCCGCTTCGAATGGCAACCTTCGTAGAAGCAACTCTTTGGCAAGATCGGGCTCGGTCAGAGAGCGAAGTGAAACTCGCCAACGATCCGACTCAATCTCTGGCGACCGCCACAAGGATCTTGAGGACCAACGCGATGCACTGCACCAGGCTCTCAAGAACCTGCTACGCAGATACGAAAGTGAGAAGCGAGAGCATGCAAAGATCATGCGAAAGCTCACCAGCGATCGCGATCGTGCCAGAAAGGAAACCACTGGCAGAACTCCCTTCACACGTGAAGTGAACCTTGTTCGGTATGAGATCGGCGAGCTTAGAAAGCGTGCCGACGACGCTCTCGAGCAAAAGTGGCAATGTGAAAGCAACATTGGTGGCGTCAAAATGGCTCTTGACAGAGCGCAGCAAGAGACACAGTCTATGCGCGAGTACCTCAACGGCCGAACCATGAGCGGATCTCCGCGCAAGTCTACCTTTGAGGGACTCGGCATCGATATTGCTGATGAGAACGTCGAGCTTGGAGAAGAGGACCGCAAGACTATGATCAAGGTTCTCAGACAAAGTATTGCCCTAGCAGAGACAGAACGCGACGCTGCTCTTCGTGAGGCAGAGGAGTACCGCCAAAAGGCTTATATGCTCCAACAGTCTGAGGACGAGCACATCGACACACAAAACAATCTCGCACACCAATTGCTTGAAGCTGCAACACGCATGGAGCAACTAGCATCGCAAGTCGAGGAACATCTGCAAGCTAATCTGCAACTGCGTAAACGACTTAGCCAGGCCGTCGGCAAAGGAGAACAATCACAAAGCGAGTCGACTGCACTTATCGTGGGTATGCAATCTCGACTAAAATCTTTGGAGGACAACGTCGTTGCAGCGCAGCAAAGCAGTGAGCTTGCACTAGTGGACCATGAGGATGAAGCAAACCAGATGGAGGAGACCAATAGCAGTCCGAGACTCCAGCGTCTCAATGTCCCTGGAAAGACAGCTGCGTCCTCGTTGCAGGCTTCACCTCTATTTGGAGTCAAGAGTCCTAAGATCGGCACAACCAACGAAAGCATGGCAGAGAAACTCAAGACTAGAACTCTTGAACTTAGGGTTCAGGAACTTGAAGCTGCATTGATAGAAGCTGATTCAGAGATGCAATCCGTTGTGCAGCGCATTAACAGCTCCCAATTTGAGATTGCGGAGCTCCAAAGCGAGAGGTATGTGTCCACAGAGCAATATGCACAAATCAAAAGCTAACTCTAGACCCAAGGGACGAGGCCAATCGACAAATGCGTCGCCTACAGGCTACTATCTCAGACGAGAAGCAAAAGGCACAGGCACTATTGATGGCATAGAAAGCCACCAAGATGTTGATACGCTTGGATAGGTGTTTTGACACGGAAGTGTCCCGTTCGCATACTTGTTGCGAGCGTAAACAGTTGACATGATTTTTCTGGTTAAGGTAGTTTATTTTTGGATATTATTATACCCTCGTTGACAGCAAGAAGAGTTGAGTGGAATGTGGGAGTACTGGAATTGGTAGTATGCATAGCATTGCATTTAGACAGCATGAATAGAAGCGAGCGCGCGCGTGGAATGGAAAGTCGTGCAACGTGGAGCCAACGTGGTAATATCGCAGTGTTGATAGAGGTAGAGTTTGGCACGGGTGGAGCTGGTGGACGTGTGTTTCAGACCCCAGACGAGTTGACCCTAGCGCGACAGCAAGGGGCGGCGGCCTCAAGCTGAATATCGTGGAATCAAATCGTTCTCCCAACTTCAGTCGACTGGCACTCTGAGTAGTCCGAGCAGTCTGTATTGACGAGACTGTGTTTGCAACTGAGTGATCAACCGCCCTTGGCACTTTGGACGTGCGTGCCCTCATCTACATAGCACACCGGCTCGGTCTCCGTTTTGCAGCTTCCCCTCTGTCCTCTGCTGCCTCCCTACCGCCCTTCGACCTCTCATCCACGAGCCAGGCCCCCTTCACGATCTCGTCCGCCTCGACCAGTCCCTGCTGCTTGCTGCACACTTTTGTGAGCCATCTGCCGCTGTGCGGTCGACAGTACGTTTGTCCAAGATCAACAGCCGACCTCAGCTTCTGGCTCAAGACTAACCCACTCGTGTCAACAGTAACAAGCATGAATCCCAACAACCAGCAGCAGTCCAACCGACTGCAACTCAACTTTGGTTTCCAAGGAGTCCAGAACTTCGGCGCTGACCAGGGCCGCGCCTATCCCACCACCCCCTCGACCTTCCCGCAACCCTTTCCTAATCCTCAGGGACAACAAGAGGTATGGGGCACCGCACAACCCGGCATGAACAGTGGCTTCACCAACCAAGGCTACTTTGCAAACAACCCCTACACCTCGGCCGTCCAGCAACAACAGACCAACCTGCATGCCCAGCAAGGCTACAGACCTCAGCCAAATCAAGCACAGCAGCCACAGCAGCAGCAATATCACGATGCTGCTACAAACGGCCTTGTACACCAGTTCTCCAACCAGAATCTTGGCGGTCCACCTCGCGCCCAGAGCCCGTACGCTCGTCAAGTTTCTCCTAATCCCAACCCCAACCGACCACGTACCGCCAATTCGACCCATCAACAACAGCAACACTATTCGGGACCATCTTTGTCCGATGAAGAACCCCCGCCGAAGAACCCAGAGCGCTTCTCCACCAGCATTGGTAACCGTGCCAAGTTGCAGACGGAGCTCGTCAGCACTTTCTTCCGCGACAGTGTAGAGCGAGCTCGCGACCGAAATGCTCGGTAGGTTGCCAGTCCATAAATGCTCTGTTTGATCTGACAGCTGACTCTCGCCAGCGCCCAAGAGCTCGAGACAATCATGAAGGATGCCACAGTATCAGACTCCCGCAAACAACAGAAGACGACTAGTATGCGTCGCTCCGAAGCAAACTTCCTCCGTTTTCTTCGTACCAGCGAGAGACCTCAGAACTACTCGACACTCAAGATCATTGGAAAGGGAGCCTTTGGCGAAGTCAAGCTCGTGCAGCGCAAGCATGATGGCAAGATCTACGCTCTCAAGTCGCTTGTTAAGGCTGAAATGGTACGTTGAAACAAAATCGACTCCCAAGCCGTACTGACACTGCGGTCACAGTTCAAGAAAGATCAACTCGCTCACGTGCGTGCCGAACGTGACATTCTTGCAAACGCCGACAGTCCCTGGCTCGTCAAGCTGCATACCTCGTTCCAGGACTCGACCTTCCTTTACATGCTCATGGAGTTCTTGCCTGGCGGTGATCTCATGACAATGCTGATCAAGTACGAGATTTTCTCGGAAGACATTACTCGTTTCTACATGGCCGAGATCACACTGGCTCTGGAAGCCGTACATAAATTAGGCTTCATTCATCGGTATGCTTGTCCTCAAACCTCGTAATTGCACACGGCTAACAAGGCCTCAGTGATATCAAGCCTGACAACATCTTGCTCGACCGAGGTGGTCACATCAAGCTCACTGACTTTGGTCTTTCGACCGGCTTCCACAAGGAACACAACGCCTCATACTATCAACAACTCATGTCAAACGCCCGCTCACGTGCGACGGCAGCCAATCGCCAGTCCGTCTCACTCGACCAGATTCAGTTGACTGTGAGCAACCGGCACCAAGTAAACACCTGGCGCAAGTCTCGTCGCCAGCTCGCATACTCGACCGTTGGAACTCCTGATTACATTGCTCCCGAGATTTTCAGCGGCAAAGGTTATGACTACCGTTGCGACTGGTGGAGTGTAGGCACTATTATGTTCGAATGTCTTATTGGATGGCCTCCATTCTGTGCAGAGGAACCTCACGATACATACCGCAAGATTGTCGACTGGCCAAGAAACTTGCACTTCCCTCCTGACCAACAGATTGGTGCTGAGGCAGAACACTTCATCCGCAGGTAAGTTAGACTCGATTGACCTGTCATAACGCTCTTGCTGACTCGATTAGTCTGATCTGTGATGCCGACAATCGCCTCGGTCGCCTCGGAGGTGCCACTGAGATCAAGCAGCACCCCTTCTTCCGAGGCGTGGTCTGGGACCAACTTCGTCGCATCCGTGCTCCATTCGAGCCCAAGCTCTCATCGGCTATCGACACACAGAACTTCCCTATCGACGAGATTCCGCAGACGGACAACAGCGCTGCGCTTCGTGCTCAGAATGAGGCAATGGGTGGAGAGGAAGCCAGCATGAGCTTGCCCTTCATTGGTTACACGTACAAGCGTTTCGATGCTTTCCGTGGTAGTTGAGGAACTAAACCAATTCTGAAGAGCTGAACAGTCATCCGCTTTTTGGTGGTTGATCAAATTGGCTTGTCCTGGTTGTGGACAAAGTGATGGGATGGTGGAAGGCGCAAGTGTGAAGAGTAAGACAGCATAAGTCAGTGCAGTACAGGCGTCATTAAGGCGATATTGTAGCATTTGGGCAGACAGGTTCCGCGGGTATGGGTGATACTCTGCGTGTCGAGAAAAATAAGAACATTCAGCGCTGGAACCGCCAGATGGACTTTAGCGAGAGGGCAATTTCTTGAATGACCAACTGCTTTTACGCGCTATGAAGCCACACCAAATGATAGGTAGAGTCTTGTTTCTGCGGTCAGAGACGTTGGCGTGAGCCGTTTACAGTATAGACTAAAGCTCGAGGTCAGGAACGGTAGGCTCTCGGAAGTGATGGTATGGAAGTCGATTGTGATTGGCCAGGGCACCGCAGGCTCTCGGCCTAGGGCAAAGCAGGGTACCGGTCAGGGTCTAGGCTCCGAGGCCTCTTGCTCTCTGCTCTTTTAGAGGCCATACGCAATCGATTGCATGACTGGTAGACCGGCCTCTCGAGGCTGAACCGACACGATGCCGCCAATACTGCTGATGAAGCGTACGCTGGACGACTTGGAAGATCTGGACGCTTTTGACGACTTTGGTGCGAGCGAGGATGAGAAAGAGCTAGTGGAACCCCACCCAAAGCGCCTACGAGACAAGAGCTCTATTGCAAGAGAGGAAAAGCCACAGGAGAACCATGCCCAGACCGAGGAGAAAGATGTTGCAGACAGGCTTGTCGAGCTTATGATGCCTCGGATGGAAGCTCAGATGCAGCAATTGGTCAACGGCGCGGCCATGCGCATGCTGGACGTCCTGAGCCAGAAGCTCGCTAGACTGGAGTCGCGAATAGATGAAATGCACAACGAGTGGAAGAGAAGCATCGGAACATCTCTCACCGATCTGAAGCGACAAGATGCCAGGGATCAAGAACCCGCAACGCAGCAGTACCAATTTGGAAACCGCCATCAATCAGCAGTCCAGCAGTACTATGGACGAACCCAGGCTCCACCCATCACTGCTCTCAAACAAGATACAAACACTTCTTCACGTCCGGATGATCCTTTGCAGACTTTCTTTCAAGAAGCTGCTCAAGCCGCAGACACTCCCACCATCGTCGGCCCAACCAGCAATCGTCGCGTCCCTTTCATGGCTCGACGCCATCGTCAGATGGCAACTCCGGGCTTTGGACCCAACGCACAAACAACACCTAATGGAACCGCCGATATAAATCCAGAAGATGCCCCACAATACCGTCTGCAAAGAGGCGTAGAAAGCGTCATGCAGCTATGGCACGAGTTCTTTGTTGGCTCTGCCGAAAAACCTGCCATCAACGAACTGGACCACAAGTATGGCAGTGCCTGGCGCTGGAAGGACAACAAGGAAGGCGTCTACTACAGCATGCGCCGCGTTGTTATTGACGAGATCCAAGCCCGTGTCGAAGCTCGTTGTCCCAATTCCACAGGCGCGACTGGCGATATCTGGATTGCCGTATGCGAAGAAATGGACGCTGAACGAACAAACATGCAATTCACCCTCAACCAATACATCTTCGAGTTGAAACGTCGAGACAAACCAGTACCCGTTCCTGGAACAAAAAAGTGGGATCCGAATAACCCCAATCCGCCGCCGCCTCCAGTACTGTCACGCTCCACACCATCAGTACAAAAACTCTGGACCGAGTGGTTCTCTGGAAAGTTGAACTATAACGGCTATGCCACTTTCCCATCGATTGTGCAATTGAACCACAAATTCGGAAACACATGGCGTCAATTCACTACGCCAGAGTACAACATCTACCTCAAGCGTCGCTGTATCATTGACATTGCACTGCGCCGGATCGTCGAAGTAGGTGGAGACAAGACCGAAACCACCAAAAAGGTTCTGAAAATGATGGATGCTGAGAGAGTAGCCCACAATCTGAGTCTGGTGCAGTATCACGCTTGGGCAAGAGAGAAATATGGCTACCATGCCTCGTCAAGAACGCATTTTCCAAAATTTGTCGCCGATCTGGGAGAGGCACCGGAAGAAGCTATTGAGCTCGAAGCGCGAACTAGATCACAGCAAGACGAGGAAGATGGCGTCGTCAGAGAGCATAGCACGGACATTGATACAGCAATCTTGGGACATGAACGCCAAAGTAAGAGTCGAAATGGACAAGGACAGGACAGCCCTGTGCCGCCGTCACCAGCATCGCTTGGTTAATCAGAGCAATGTTTTGATTCACTATAGATTATATTTTCAAGCTGGATGACAGCTTACGACGGACTCGACTTCTATGCTGTTTGATTGCAGCGCAATGCTCAAGCAGCTCCACCACCCATAATGTTCTTGCCTTTGATACTCTTCCACTCGATGAACAGGCTGACAATAAACGCCAGACCGCTGGTTGCAATAGGCAAGACAAACGCAGACGTCACGGCATGACTGTATGCCTGCAATACACCTGGCAATTGCGCAGCCGAAACTACCTCTCTGACATGCGTAGCACCAGCAGCGACCACAGCAGCTGGGTTGACTCCAGGTGCATTCTTGATAATGTCCTTGACCAGCGTGTTGGCAAATATGTTTTGTGCAATCGAGATGGAGATGGCACCTCCCAAGCTGTTAAAGAAGATCGCAATGGCGTTTCCCGAAGGCATGTCCTTTTCATCCAAGACCACCTGTACAGCGATAAACGGAATCTGGATCGCAGAGCCGGAACCAATACCAGCAAGCAGTTGATAGCCTATCCACTTGGCGGCAGGAGAGGCAACTTGGAGAGTATAGAGCATGCCAGCACCGACGGTGAAGATAGCGGCTCCGAACCACATGAATGGTGCGTAATAGCCGATTACAGTGATGGTGCCTCCAACGACAACAGAAGCAAGCGTGTTAGAAACGAGGTACGCGATACATCTGATCCCAGAGCCTTCTGCCGAGGTGTCTTTTACTGCTTGGAAGTAGAACGGCAGATAAAATATATGGCTACAACAATTAGAACACTCCTTCCTGTGAGGCTTAGCGTTTGACTTACGTGTATATTCCCATGGCGAAAAAAGCCGCGTAAAGTGCAGAGACCAAGACTGTACGGTTCTTGACCAGAATGCGAGGTGGCAGAGTAGCTCGATCTCCTAGCTTGATTTGTAGAGCGATGAAGATCGAGATCAACAATCCGAAGCCAAGTAGACAACCCCAAACCTTGCTGTCACTCCACGGATATGTTGTACCACCCCACTGCAGGGCGAGCAGCAGGCAGACGATGGCACAGATCAAGAAGAGGGCGCCCAGGAGGTCAATCTGTTTGATCTTTTCCTTGAAGGTCATGTTCGTGTGTCTTCTTTCTGGGTTCTCAAAGAAGAAAAATACTGTAGCAAGGCCAATGCCACCAAACGGAAGGTTGATCCAGAAGCACTGCAGGCGGATCAGTACAATACAAAGACGCCTTTCCAACAAATCTCATACCCATCTCCATGTTGCTAGGAGCCGTTAGCCTGATTACACAACGATCGCAGGAGTGACATACCATGATCAGTAAAAACACCTCCTAACAAAGGTCCAACCACACTGGCAATGCCAAACATACTAGACAACGATGCAATGTAGATAGCACGCTTCCGCAGAGGAGCGATGAAGCCAATGATAGTCATGCCTCCAGAAAAGAGAGCAGCAGCTCCCACACCAGCAACCGCTCGGCCAACGATGAGCATTGTGGAGCTACTGGCTGCTGCACAAATGACTGAACCGACTTCGAAAATGATCAGTGCCGACAGATAGGTCCATTTGACATCGAAGTAGGTGTAAACCTTGCCGAAGGATGGTTGCAGCGATGTGGTGGTGAGCAAGTAGGAAGAGCCGATCCAGCCGACGTCATTTAGTGCATCGGGCCATTGAGTCGTGATTTTTGGAACTGTTTGAATAAGTTGGCGAATTCTTTGTCAATGCTGGCTGACTTACTTGCTGTTGCGATGACTAGAGGAAGGAGTGAAGTCAGCACAAGTTCCGTCAACCGGTCATATCTTAGAAGGAACGGCCATACTTGAGTTGTCCAACGCAATTACCCAAATAGCAAGAGCGAGGCCCAGTACAAGCAACCAAAGCTTTGGACCGGTGGGATACTTTGATTCATCTTCGGCTTCAGGAGCAGCAGCGCTGGCTTCTTCTACTTTTGATACTGTGCCCTTGTCGACCGAAGAGGTTTCTCTGACAGCAGCCACAGTCTCGGCTTTTCTCATCGACTCGTCTGCCTGCTCATATTCCTCGAGTGGGACAGTGCTAGGTTCCCCTGAAGTCTTATTCTTGCGCGAGCGAAAGAGGCCCATGTTGGCGTCCAATGGTATGGCCGCGACGACGCGCGAATGAGACGGTAAGGAAAGAGCAGCGAACCCACCCCACCTGAGCACCATCCATTATGTACGTTTCCGGCTCCTCAATCTCGTTGCGTAGGAGCCGATCAACGCCTGTTCGTGGGCAGTTCTCGACTCGCGGCCAGTTGCTATGGCGCAACGGTACAATTATACGAGGTACGGAAGTATAACTCAATCCCAGGTATAAGCGAGCCAATCCCAGGATACTCGCAAATGACTTTACGAGACCATCAGATGGACAGTGTAGATTACTGCAGATCTGTCTTCGTAGAAGTGATCACACCGGTCGCAATGTTTCATGCGCCAAGGCAAGACCATGCACATCTGACAGGTAACGTCGCAAAGGGTCGTGATTGGGTACGTATGGATGACTGCATATGCAAAGAATAAGCAAAATGGTCTATATGGACTGAGAAGGTCAATTAAAATGTAGAATCATAGGTATAACGCAGAATATTATCAAACACCAGCTCCTGACGCTATGCTCTGAAATGCGGCTCCAAGAAAATCAAAAGGGCCAAAAAGAAATCTTGACAAGACAAGAAAAGACTCTTATGCTTGTTTCTCAACGTCTTTCGGAGCATCGGAAATGCTATTACCAGAAGAGACGGGCTCATCATCTGGGTTGGCTGATGCCTTGTTGGCAATAGGGAAAGTAGGTGCAAAATTACTCTTGCCTCTGATCTGAGCGCCTTTCAGGTAGAAGAGAATGGGCAGAGGGACGAGTAAGAAGGCAAAGCAGCCCAGCAAAGTACCTGCCCACTGAATGCCCATACCGTCGATCATGTAGGTAGCGAATAGAGGGAATCCTGCGCCGCAGAGCGAACGCAAAAATGTGTTGGCAGCGATGGCGGAAGCAGCGAACATCAAGTAGCTGTCGATCAAATAATTGAGACACTGGAGGAAGATGGACATGATGCCGAATCCAGTAAACAGTCCACTTAGAGTAGGAGCAATCCAGGGGATATCCTCACGGTAACCAGTCCAACCGAACCATAGCAAACCAATGCCAAAGAGTACACCACCAATGATGACTGGAGGAAGACGCCACTCCGGAATAGGGATGTTGTTGTTCGCCTTCAGCTTGCGGTTGTATGATGGCACGTCGATAACGATGTAGAGACCAGCGAAGAATTCACCCAAGATCATACCGAAGTATGGCAATCCACCGACACCAGGAGACATTCCGTGGACTCGTTGGAAAACGATTGGGTAGAAAGTCAGGAACAGATAAAGCAGACCGTATACAAACGCCTGAATCGATTAGCACGGGTCATGTGAAATAGGCTAAAAGCACATACCATGTAGATTGACAATAGCAGCACAATTGGCTCTGTGAAAAGCATGCGCATGGGTCTGCCCAAGTTTTTCTCAACCAGCTCGCGGAGATTGATTTCAATTTCTTCCTGCTTTGCGTGAATACCCCAGTTCTTGGTTCTGCGCCTAAGCTCAGCAGCCTTGTTGACAAGAATCACAGGTGGATATGTCTCTTCGAGGAGGAAGAGCAGGAGAGCAAGTCCAGTGAAGCCCATAATGGCGGTGATATATTCGCACCAGCGCCAGCCGAGGTATGAAGTCGTGATGAAGCCTCCGATGAACGGTGCGAGTAGAGGTCCAGAAAAGACGGCAATACTGAAGACAGTAACGGCGACACCTCTTTGAGCGTTGTTGAACATGTCGGCAAATACAGCTCCAACGACGGTAAGCGGACAGGCACCCATGAAGCCACCGAAGAATCTGCAGATGAGGATGGTCTGAAGATCCTTTCCAACAGCTACAGCGATAGAGAAGATTGAGAAACCAAACGAAGCGATGAGAAGAGGAACGCGGCGACCGTAGAGTTCTGACATGGGGGCCCAAAGACTGAGAATTGTTAGCAAAATGTGTTGGTTCCTAGACAGATGGGAACTCACATAGGGCCAGTAGCAAATCCGAGAACGTAAAGCGAGATACCAAGAATACCAACTTCTCTTGAGACACCGTATTCGAGAGCGACAGCACCGGTAGCAGAGGAGAAGATGGATGAGCCAAATGCAGCAGTCAAAGTAACAAAGCCTAGCGAAGCAGCGACAGGAAGCCTGGAAGAGGGGTCAGTACGTTGTAGTCACATTCTAGTCATATGGAACTCACTTCTTCTTGAAAGGCCAGTTCTGAGCATGCATTGGATCATTGGGACCATCAAATTCTACTACATATTCTTCTCTTTCTGGCAGAGGGGGAGGATAAGGCTTGCCACCACCAAAAGCAGGCAAGGGTTTGCTTGCCTTGGACGATCTTGTGCGGAAGACACCAAATCCTGAGCCCTCTGTGCCGCTTGCTCCAACAGTGGCGCTGTGCTGACTTCTGCCAGTCTGGATTCTGCTCAATGCTGTGGGATGCCTTTCAAGATCTGCCTCATTCTCGTGTTGTGTCTCAACCCTGGAGATGCTTCTACCCATCTCTTGCATCCTAACCGAGTGTCCAGATTGTGATGATACAGAAGAGCGTCGTCTTGTTGCTACAGGTGATTCGTGGGATTCATGGCGTTCAATGGGACCGAATCTGTCAGGTGAGGCATCGCGCTCATTATCGGCCATGAACCTATCTTGGGCGTTCATAATGGCAGGTCGACCAGCCTCGGAGCCCGGAAAAATTCGAATAGGTGTACAAGGAAGAATAGAAAAGAGTCAGAGGCAACAATATCAGCAGCGGCGTCAGATCAATAAATGAGATGAAATGCTCGAGCACGGGGCAGACAGACCAACAGAAGTGGAGCCACAAACGGTCAGAAGAAGCGGCAGTCACGGTAAATCTTGACTGCCTGGACTCCTACTCCAATAATTCGCGATCACGAAGGACTCGTCAGGTTTTGCTGATCAATAGAAAATCATCGAACTCTCTGCCCCCCTGCCCATTCGCGTGTGCTTGCTTTTCTGTTCCAGCGGGGCTTTTTTCTGGGCGTCAGACGAGCGCTGGCAGCAGCCCATCGCTGTTTTGTTTGTCTAGGATTCCTGACCAGCCCAGCAACCACCTACGTCAAATTTGCTTGATCGCTCTTTTCTCTGAACCCTGACGCCGCTCAGACGCCCTGCGAGCCTTGGTGGGAAGCTAAAGGGTTGAATTACGGCGCCTTTCATCAACGCCTTGTCATCCTCCTGAACTCGGCAGTTGCTTGCCTTGTAAGCCAGCTTCGATAGCCAAGGCAATCAGCCAAATTAACCAAGGCATTCGGGTCGAGAGCGAAAGATGGCTGCGTAGCTTTCATACTGCTGAAACGCACCATGACAGAAGCATCGCGGACGCACACGCCGCCCGATCGACAAGCTTTTCTTCTCTTTTCGGTCAAGAACCTGGGGTAACAGCTTCTCGAGTCAAGCACTTTTTCGAGTCAAGACTCAGCCTTACTGAAGAACTTTCTGGATGAAGCAGTTTTAGTGTGCCTATACACGCTCAGATCCTTATCTATAGGATTGTATAGATAGCCAATGTCAGATAGACACGTCGCTAGGGCGCCGATGAATAATGCTTGGGCCTTGTGGACTCGTCTACATCAGCGCGGAGTTGAACTTACTCCGAGTACATGGGTAGGAGTATGGTAGACCGAGACAACGCCAGCTCCACGAAGTACAGCAATGACTGCCTACATTTTCTGCTCATGATAGACAGCAACAGTCACCAATAGACCTCGTAAGCACGATGAAAGAATGCGATGGAAGAAGCTACCACACCACGTGACAGCAAAATCAACCTTGCACAGCCACACCGCCACACCATTCCTCGTCATCCAGTGGCGTCGAAGTGCCTTGTCCCATACAATAAGTACAAGGCAGCCATCTCTCTAACCACAAATCACTAGCACAACAACCATCTCAATCCTCTCAAAGATCACACAAACCACAACAATAATGGGTCTTCCTCAACAAACAAACACTCCTATCGAGAAGCCCTCGACTTCCGAGACGGCAGAGGTTACTACAGACTCCGTCCCTGCTGCCGACGTCAGCACACAAGACAGCTCGCTCGGCGCCACACATAGCTCGGATCTGGCTGGAGGTGCCATGGGCGGTGCCCAGGGAGATGCTGAGAAAGCGGCGGAGAAGCTCTACGAGGAGAGAATGGAGGTATGCATCCTCAGCGTTGTGTCACGACGCTACAAAGACACTGACATACTTTACAGGAGGAGTACGCTAAGCGTGAAGGAGGTGCCTAAACCAACATGGAGTTGGATATGAAGTGATACGTGGTCTGATGGTTTGATGGCCATAGTGCCCGTGAAAGTCACGAATTATTGAGGCTCTACATATACTCAATCTAATGTATCACCACTTTTGACCATTCATTAGCTGGTAGTCTTACGACAATTCCTCTGCGTCTAGATGTCTAAAGTATACTACCTGAGGGCTATCAGAACTCTCTCCAGTAAAGCCAAGACCTTCTTATTGCCATAGCGCTTGTCGCCAGCTACATTGACTGCCTTGACCACCAGAGGGAAGAGCATCTCCAAGTGTGCTTGGTGACCAGCCTGGCTAGCACCATCTGCGTTGCCCGTGCTATCTGACAGGCCTTGTAGCTTTTCGACTTCAGTCAAGCAGAAGAGCAACTCCTCAAGTTGCGACAGTGGCTGCGGCAGCGAACCACGAAGAGGTTGGTCCACAATGTAGGCCTTTAGAGGAAGCGCGAAGCGCAGAACCAGACAGGAAGTTGCGGCTTGCGCAAGTTTGACTTGGCCTCCGCTGTGGTTGCCAACCAAGAAGATCAGCTCCTTGAAGCACAAATACGCCATATCCTCCCTCAAACTTGGCTCTGGGTCACGGACTCGACCCAAGCGTAATGCATGAACATTGTCGAGTCGGTGGATACCTTGAGGGATGTCTCCGCGCTCCCCGGAATGGATGAGCGATGCATCGAACAGTGAAGACATATACGTTTGCCGAATTGCATCGGGGATATCTGCTGAGTCGAGGACCGGTGTGATCATGGCTTTAAGTTGTCGCATGATCTCACAGTCGAAAATTTCGTCCTTCTCGACAGTCTCGAATGTCGGCTGTGGCGATGCTTCATCAATATCTGCATGCATAACGGCATGAGCAATGTTGACAATAGCTGTCCAGATGCGTGTTTTCATCTCGCTCTCAATATTGAGCTCTCCCATTTGGGCTAGCGTCTTGCTGATGATAGACAACGATGCAGAGCTTGCCTTTTGCCACAGTGCCGGTGCTTTGCCAGGTTGCGTCCAGCGATACTTGAGGCCAATTGGTGTCGCCAGATCCTCCAAAGCTTTCGCTACAGCCCCAGATTGGAACACTTCTGGCCTTGACAAATCTTTCGCAATCAACTCAACTAGCCAGTCCATGCTTGCTTTTGACAAGGCAACGAATGTGAGGTTTGTCTTGGGCTTTTCTTGTGATGTAAACGGTAACGACACTAATTGTGAGGCCGCATTGACGAGAGTCGAAGAAACGAGGTCGATGTTACCATGCAGCGCTTGCAGATGCTCAAGAACCTTCTGCTGGAGCATAGTGAGATTGTTGACATCAGAGCTGTAAGCTGCTCCAGTCGAGGATTTGACACAAACAATCATGTTCTGAACCAACTTGTCAAGTTGATCCTGTGAGGCGTTCTTCTCATTGAGACCATAGATGCTTCTTCCGCAGTTCACGTACGCAACGTATTGGTCCTGTTCAGCAGTCTGGCCTTTGAAATCTGCTGAACAGTCGGGCACAGCAGACGACCACAGAAGTTCTGTGCGCGACACTGCCTGATGTGACTTATAATGGTCAGACCTAAACGCCCCTAGCAAAGTGCTGAGACCATCATACACGGGTGCGTTGATGACTGACGAGTGGAAGGACAAAAGAGCTTCGAAGATTTCCATCAAATCTGACCACAATCGATCAAACGCATCGAGTGAGGCCATCTGTTCAAATTGTCCGACAAGTAGACTGGTGATGTCGCCGATGATCTCACTCGAAGTGGAATTGAGGCCAATGATGACGTCTGAAGATGATGCCTTGCTCGAACGAAGGATTCTTTGCTGTTCGACATTCTCCCGAAGAACCTTGAACAAGAGTGTTTCGATAGCCAACTGCCAGGCCGGGTTTGAGAAGTCAACACTGTGGTTCTTGAAGATCCTGAGAAGTGTCTGGAATGCACTGTTTCTGACTTCCAAACGCTCATCAGCGATGACGTCCGTGAGTCGATACATGAGCAGCACCCATTGGGCAGGCCGGGATTCTTTGCTTCTAATCACAATTCGTTCATGTCCCAGAACCAATCGCTCTTCAGTGATACCACTGGTAAGCTCATTGAGTTTTGAGACCACTTGCTGTTTAACAAGGAAGTCGGACACATCCCAAAACAATGTGATAGCCTGAGTAATATCAGTATGAACAACTTCGACTGGTTATGAACAACTTACCGTGAGAGAGATATTGAGGTCGGAGGTTTGAGAAGCAAAACGGAACAAAATCTCCACTAGTGGACTCAGACATGTCTGCGGAAGTGGTGCGAGGAAGTCGGAGCAAACCAACTGCATCACACCGAATGCTGATCGACCTAGATATGGAGCAACAAACTGACTTGATAACCTTAGCCAGCCTTCTCTTCTATTTTGTCCGTCATGTTGTTGTTGTTCTTCAGCGTCGTTAGTATTAAAGACGCTACCTATGATGGCAAGAATGGTTTCCCAACCAGCAGTGAGAGCCTCTCCAGACTTCTCAAGCACAGCTCTGACAGAGTCAAGGATTCTGTTGTGTATGTCGATATCGACATTGCCAAGATCACCGCCTTGTTCATAAACTTGATGAATAAGCAGATGTAAAGATGAAAGAACCATCTTTTGAGCAAGTGCTGCATCCTCCGGTTCCTCAGATGTACTTGCCTCGGCGACTGCAACGGAGCACCGGGCCAGAATGTCAGTAGCAAGACGGCGAGCATCATCTGGGATGCTTGTAGTAATGCTCAGATCCACAAGGCGATCGACTAGAATTGTCCATCCACTTTCTGAAGCCGTATAACTTGCAAATCTTGAGATATTGTGCTCTGCCAGATCATTAATCCTCGTCAACACGAACATGTAATCTTGAGTAGAGAGTGCAATATCTGTCGTGATACCAGGCAGGCTGGATATCCTACGCGCGGCACTTGGAGGCTTTGTTTGAGAGGGAGACGGTGTTCCAGCCTCAGTTTTCCCGTCCAGCAGCCTGCAGAGAGTTGTGAGCACATGGAGGAAGGCTTCGTTCGGATAATCCGCTGTGCTCTCCAAGAGACGAAAAACCGCGCCTTCCACAGCTGCAACTTCTGGGCCAATGGCTGTCGATTTTGCTTGAGAAGCGTTAAGAACAACCCCAGCTTGGAGGAGCGTTTCAAAGACGATGTTGAATGAAGACTCCAAGGTCGGACCAATGGCAATAGCAACATTGAGAAGGGCTCTCAGGCAAAGAAGATTGCGTGTGGACAATGTGGGCTTCGATGATGGATCATATGATGTTCGTCTCGATCTATCATTTGCCGATGCCTGAGTTGAAAAGCTCTCCACACTTAGCAAACCTTTGTTGTTGGAATATATTCCAGAAGTCTCCGCCGTCGGCGATGAGACGGTGGATATGCTGGACGTTACGATGCTTGGAGGAACCGCAGCTTTGCCCAGAGTGGTCAAGAAAGCGTCTCGCGAGGTAGACAATCTAAGAAGACCAGAGACCTGTACAAATCTTTGATATGACCTGATAAGTGCTCGGTAGTAATCGTTGTCTAGAGACGCGTTCAGGAAAGTCGAATATGTTGCAAGTAAGGCAGGCCAACACTGCTCCACAAGCTGTGCAATGGCTCTAATACGAACAGCTTGTACACTCTCATCCGTAGAAAGCGGATTGAGTGGTACAGTTCGGGATCGGTATGACTGTGACCTCTTTTTTCTGTTTCTTGTCTTTTGAGGACTCGAGTTGCGTTCTTGATCTTCAGCATCGCCATCCGACTCTTGCTCTTCATCATTCGTATGTTGCTGAACGGTCAACGGGAGCACTACCTTAGCCAAGCTCTCAGATAAGCCATTGAGACACTCAAGAACAAGACTGTAGATATATGTTTCCGGCAGAGCTGGAGGATCTGTTTTGTCAAGCTGGTCCATGCATTGGGTCTTGGGCACGCTCCATCGCGTACTGATCCCTGAGACATTGGCATCTGCCATATGTGAGGAAGGAGCAATCACACCAGCGACGCCACCCGCAGCTTCCATTGCAACCTGCTCAGCGATAGTATCTCTCGCTTGGTCGGTAGGAGCACTTGAATGTTGACCCAACCCGATGACGGAGGGCTTTTCTGTGGAGATTTTGACGAAGGAAGCAATGTTGTCTCGGACAATCGACTTTTTGCCATCTTTCGCATCAAACTGCAGGTAGATCTGCACAGCCAGACCAGGCTCGGTATAGACAAGACGAAAAACTTCCATACACATAGCACGTTTCGAGGCTGTCGCTTCCGAGTCTATCATATGGGTCAACAAGCCTAAAACCACCTCACACTCATCGGGCATAGCCTGAAGGTGACGGCGGATGATGAAGGATGCAACTCGAAGAGCTCGGAGAGTGACGCCGAATGCTTGACGCTCTGAGATGACCCGAATCAGATGTGGCATGACGACTGTTCGAAGGATGCTTGCTTGCTCGGGATGTGAGGCGAATATCTTAGGGTGGCTGCCGAGGCATGAGCCCATAAGTTCTAAACCAGAAGCTGCCGAGAGTCCAGAGAAACGCACGAATCTTGTGTTCTGGCCTTCTGTAGCAAAGCAAATATCAAGGAACACGCGATAAGCATCATAAGCAGCTTCTCTCAGTGGGATCGGGCCATCTCCACCAGATATCCTAGTTGCGATTGGGATCTTGTCACCAGCTTCGTCCTCAGCGGCAACCCTGTCAAATACTGACACAACGAGTTGTTGAAGAGTAGCAGCAGCTACACCACTTACTGTGGCGGCCTTGACATTTTGCAGGGCTGCACAGACTTGCAAGGCAGCAGCAAGATGATCTCCTTTCAGGTCATCTGCATAATTTTGGGCAAGAGCTGGGAGAGCCTGCAAGACTTTGAGTTGGATATCCAGACCGAGCGAAGTACAAGCGTTGAAAGCGTTTAAGACATCTTTTAGTCGTGATTTTGGTAGACCTCGAATTATAACGAGGCGCTGTAGACATACAGTAGCACTGCCGGCGTACTTGGCATTTTGAGTGTTGCAAGCAAGCAGAAAAGGATCAATGAAAGTCGGTCGTCTACTCAGATCTCTTGTCCGTTAGCGAGCGCGGCAGGGTTGAAGCAGGTGCATCTCACCAGCAGCCAGTTGTTGTTCTGAAGTTGAAGGCAGAGATTTGAGATCTTGTAATGACTTCTCTGCAGCCTATACCGCATCAGAACAATGTTTCAAGAGCACACAACCAGAACAAACATACAGTACGAATTTCAGGGTTCTTTCGTTTGGCCTCTTGAGCGAGGCTCGTTAATTCGGCCTGGAGAGCTTGTCCGCTCATACCTCTCTATTTTCAAATGGTACGAAGAATCATTCTAAGTTCAATCAATACTTAGCCCAAGATGATGACAAATGGGAATAAAGCGATAAATCAGAATTGAAAGAGCAGTACACGTGGTAAAAAGAGACTATCCAAAGGGATACTGAAGCGGAGGACACGAGTGGTTTCGGGCAGGAGTTTGCCAAGACGACAAACATGTGGGCATGCGACGTTGGTGCTTGTGACGCTGATGATTGCTCTGTTGATGTCCATCTTGTGAACATAATCACTACTTCTACACCTTTGCTCCGTCTTTTACACTACTTCAAATCTGCCACATCCGCAATCTGAAACTTTCCACTCACAACGATCGTCTGCAAAACAACATGGCCAAAGTCCCCCGTAACTTCCGCTTACTGGAGGAGCTCGAGAAGGGCGAGAAGGGTCTCGGCGCTGGTACGGACGACAAGGACATTCAATAGTGCTTGAGGCAAAGTGACTGACACAGCTTCAGAGGCATGCTCATACGGTCTCGACGACGGCGATGACCTCCTCATGACCAACTGGAACGGCACCATCCTCGGTCCTCCTCATGTACATGACCCCACTCCTTCCGCACCAAACAGAACAGGCATTGACAGGCTACCCGACAGAGCGTGCACGAGAACCGTATCTACAGTCTGAAGATCCGCTGCGGCGAAAACTACCCCGACGTCCCTCCTGAGGTTACCTTCATCTCAAAGGTCAACCTTCCTTGTGTGGATCAGAGAAACGGCAGGGTATGGCTTTGTAAAAGATGGACATTTGTGATATGCTTGCTGAGACAAAACGCACCAGGTCGACCTTTCCAAGCTTCCCAGCCTGAGCCAGTGGAAGCGTGACTTCACCATGGAAACCATCTTGATCGAAATCAGAAGGCAAGCTTGCCACTACAGTCGAACATACCACTTCCGACCTCTAATACTGTTGCAGATTTATGGCCGCGCCCGCACACAAGAAGCTGCCGCAGCCTCCGGAGGGCACCAACTTCTAGATGGCCACTACGCACTTCTTGTTCCACAGCTCTTGACGAAAATGAATACTTCTTTGGGCACAACGTACCCAACCAACGACATGACGTTCAACATGATTCACTCTTCTGTTCCATACTTCTACTGGCATAGCATTGGCGCTCGGCGCATCAAGAGAACGTTCTGAATATATACATATCTCAACTCTGCGTTGGTATCTTTGTCTACGATGGGTGAACCGCTGATCAATCGCTTGCAAATAAAAGGCTCCTAGTGCTCTCAAATGTATCCCAGAACTCCAGGCTCCGAACTTTATATCAAACTGTCGTAGAAGATATCCATCACTCATCGTCTGAGTAGAGTCTAGCCATGTTCTTTGCACCCCTGGGCTCGATGAACAAGGCCTCAGCCTCGACCAAATGCTCGCCCTCTTCGACACCGTCGCCCAAAAGCTCGATACAGCCCTTGACCCATGCTTTTCTGCCATCGACCTTGGTAGTCTCTGCTCTGAGCACAATGAAGCTGTTCGACGGGCAGGGCTTTTTGTATGTGATGTTCAAGCTCGCCGTGACGCCCACCTTGTTGGGCAGAGCAGGGAAACAGGCACGAGCAAGACCTTCGTCCAGAAGAGTAGCGAGCATACCTCCGTGAATGATTGTAGGGTGTCCGCACAACTTTTCGCCGAGGTGGGCAATCTGCACAATCGAGGGCAGCTCAGTCTTTGTGTTTGCAAAAGTGAGAGGCGGCGAGGCAAGCATGTCGTCTCCTTGCAAGGTACCCGCTGTCAGGTTATGCGATCTCATGTTGGCAGGAATCTTCAGATGCGGTCTAGACTCGTTCCATTGTGGATTTGCGCGTAGAGACTCGGCAAGAGGGTTTGATGTAAGGCGCTTGTTGATCTCTTCGGCTTCGGGGCTGGCAGGCACGAACAAGGAGAGTGTCTCGGCATTGGTAGGAGGTGTGAGGAAGCCATTGGCTGTCTCGATGGCAGGAGCAACAGACATTGCTAGACCGGCGGCTGTTGCGACTACGAACAGAGCGGTTGCGCCGAGGATACGAGAGGTTCGAGAGCGAGGAGGGGGAGGTGTCGGATCTGAAGGATTGTTGAGAGCAGGTGTGGTAGAAGGAGCTTCAGAGACACGGAGATCAGTCAAGTGCAATGCAAGGGATCAAGTAAGATAGCACTCACCAGATTGAATGGTCTGATAGCGCTTCTGAATTGCGGGCTGGCGGGCTCTATATATACAATGCTTGCCGGCACCCCAGAGAGCCCGCCGAGCAAGAGCCGCTCCTGAACCCGTGGCCATTGTCATTTCGGCTTGTGACGAATTTCAAAGAACTTTGTTTGCCAACCAGTGCCGACACCGAGTTGAGATGTGCCTTGCGGTATTGCTTTGAAATTGTCCAAGGCCAAGACCAGTTCGTCCGAGGTCCAACGCTCCGGCAGCCGCAACTTGGGGATCCCGATGGCCGACCCTTCCTAATGCAGTAACCTTTGCGAGAGCGAAGCGAACGAGGACCCTTCTCGAAACCTTCTCGAAACATCGCCGTTACCACCAACAAGACGTTGCTCGTCGATTATGAACTCTGGAGGCAGCAGTCTAGAGGGGAACGACATAGTATGGCTGAAAATACTGGAATCTGTAACGAATCGCAACGTACTTCCTCCTGTCGAACCAAGTTGTCCTCCTGAGTTCCATCTCGAAGTCGCACCTACTATTCACCGACACACAGCGAATTGTTCAAGTCGATAGCCCCATGGCATTATTTGCAAGCATGCGTAACCTCTGTTGCAGGGTGGGAACGCTGACAACGATAGCAGCACTGCTGTATTTAGTCACCATGGATGCTTCGTTTCCGTACTGTTTGCATATCAGCCATGGTACATTGATCACTAGCTATAGACTTACTGCGAGATACGCCATCTCTAGTTGAGAGTCCCGAGGATGTCTGATCCAAAGCACAGGTCCGAGACGATCCCATCCAATCTTTTCCACCAAGTCATAATTCTCTATCATCTCATCGGAAATTTTCATCGGCTCGAATCCAAGCTGGTAGAAGGTGTCCCCGCTTGCTCCGTCACAAGACTCATTATCACTTGCATCGCTGTTATGGAATTGAGCGTCACGGTCACGCATGTCGGCATACTCCTCAGAGAGGTCCATCACACGGACTAACTCAGCGCGGAGATTCAATGCCAGTAAGACCTCGTAAAGCATCATGTCTGCTCCTTTAAGAGCCCCGGGCAAATGTCGATGCAAGAGTGCGTGTGTATAAGGATAAGCATGGGCAAGTCCAATCGCCATGGATCCGCCCTCAACCATGAAAGTACAAGATCTGAGAAGATCGACAAGTGGTTGGTACGTTGGAAGGCGTGCAGCATCCATGCTGTGCTTCTTTCCAGCCAGAGAGCCACTCCCGCGCGAAGCATACAAGTCGTAAGTCAAGGTGACACGGTGACCAGCAGTGACTTCCTGTACCTCGTGAGAGCAATCAGAATAGAATGCTGCCCATTGGATGCATGGCATGTGATTAGTCGAGGAAGACGCCGACCAGTCGAATTTAACAGTGTTTGCCTGATGAGAAACAGACAGAACGCCGCCCTCGAACTCAGAGGGCAAGCACACAACGAGACTGCCAATTTGAGTCTCGCTCCGGGGAGTATCTACGTGCGCTTTGAATTTACCGGAAGGTCTGCTGTAGATGTTGAGCTTGTAAAGTTCAGCTCTAATCCCCAAGCTCATCTCAGCAGACTGAGTGCTGTCGTCACCTTCGTCATCTGATGAATGAGCTTCTGCCAGTATGTCCAGAAGGACCAGGTCGGCGCCCTCAAGCCTTTGTTCCAGGACTTCGTCAAGACCTTGCTGGTATCTCGTCATGTACAACTTCATGATCGAGGAAAGGTGCTCAGGCGAACGTGAGGTTAGTATCTCTGTGAGGGTCATCGAGTCAAGTTCTGAAGATCCCTCCACCGCAGCATGAAGGAGTTCGGCGTCGGCATTGATGGCGGGCGTAATCTCCTGCAACTCTCCAGGAACTGTTTCTGTCACTTTGCGCTTGACCGACGGCATCAGAAGCTGTTGAACAATGTCGATGATGCCAGTTTCGTAAGGGCTGAAATCAGTAAGAAAGTCGTCTGTATCCAACTTGATTGCTTTGCGATACTGTTCATCATACACATCCTTGCCACCGCGACCGAAAGTAGCGGGCTCACACGTACTGATGAGGTTCAGAAATGCTGGGTCGTTGGTTGTATTGGTTGGAAGCCTCAGGATTTCGCCCTGGCCATAGGGCCCATAGCGAATCGTGACCCGTTTGGTCGTGATGACTTGATCGTAGACTTGAGATTTAATATCGTTTCTGCTGTTCTCAGAAAGGTTTGATGGACTGAGAATGACCGGAATGTGTCCCCCACAAGCGAATGTGCTCTCATTGTCAGCGTCTCCCAGAGCCGAGGAGAACGCACCGAGAAGTTGTTGTTCTGACATCGTGATGAATTGGTTGTTCATGGTCACTTTCGAGTTTTGAGCACTGATACTTATACCATTCATTCTGATATTGGATTCGAGCTTTGCAGCTACCGCTGCCTGGATCTCATCTCTAGAAGTGAGTTTCAGGCAGCATGTTGCACAAAAACGTCCCTTCAAGCCAGGGAGATGCACATTGCATCAACATGCCAGGCAGCGACAGTCAAAATGAGAGGTCGACGTGATTGACTTGACAGGATCTGTGAAGTGATTCGTTATGATGCAGGCTGATGGAATTGCGTATTATCGTCGGTAATGGAATCGCGCTGAGCTTGTGTGACCGACAACAGCGGGAAAAAGGCCATCTCGTGCATCGATTGCGGAACAAGGTCGGACCAGAGGCCGTGATACACATGTTCCAAAATCAGAGAGGAGATAAGCCACGTCAAGAAACGTTCAATTCCTCCCCACACAGCAGCACCTCCGGATCAACAACCACGTCGAGAGCTGTCAGCCTGTCACGGCAAGCGCAAAACTCATAAACAAAACAGAAGGTTGTCCCACCGAGACTTCTTTTCTCAAGGGATGCTCAGAAGTTGTTCTCGTTCCTTGCCTATCAATTCCTTCACAAATGCAAGTCGGCCGCGAAGAATGTGAGATCATACCTACGTAGAATCGCACGTGTACCCCTAAAAGCACAAATTCGGACGCAAAAGAGAGGCGCCAAGGGTCACAATGCGGTGGCCCTGACGATGGTAACTCCACATATGTTTGCTCAGACCAGAAACCGCATTGAGGGGTTGCAGAAGTAGAATCGCATATAGAAGTCGATCCCCAGAGCCTCATTTTGTATACCTACTCTCATTACCTACCTTCTATCTCGGACCCACGTAACGTTAGTGCGAACCCTCTATTGAACCACCCCTTTGTTGAATGGACTCTGCCTCTGGACATCATGGATGTACTCAAATCCTTCAACCGCAGTCCTGAAGCACTGATGGGCAATTTGACTTTCTCGTACGCCCACCTTGTGGCCATCACCATCCTCGTACCAACGATACGACACCTCTACCTTGATTACCAAAGCTTCATCGCATTGGGACCCGGAGGCACGCCAAAGACTATCATGGGCTATTGCAAAGTCAAGACACTAGGCATGTTTGCTCTCCGTGACCCATACGCCGCACCCAAGGTGCCGTGGTCTATGACACAAAAGGAAGGCTGTTTGTCGACCCTACCACAGCGAGAAGGTCCTCGTCCGTCAACTCTGGGTATAGCGCCTCATCGCCAGGTTAACCAGATACCACCGCAGAGAATGTACGAAAAGCTAGCCGAAGCGATACACACCATCACCGTGGACAACGCAAGTCTCCATGAAGGAACATCGTGTTTCGAAAAGCACGGCACTGGCTTGTTCACCGTCACCCCACAACGACGGACCTGCGGAGGAGAAATCTGCCATGCTCATCCTTCGGATGGATCCTTGCATCTGACACTACATCCTGCAGACGCGAAGATCATGCTCGAGGGCGGCTGGGGTGAAAGACATCCTCTAGCAAGAGGCGGTTGGCTAGAAAGATTTGTTCCTGGAGGATTCGTCATGATCTATGCGCCTCGCAACGACGACGAGCTCAAAGTGGTGCTGGAAATTGTGCGCGCTGCGGCATGGTATGTGGCAGGCGAAGACATCAAGAGCGAGCATGACAAGCGCAGAGATAGTGGCCAGGCAGAAGACCTCTCATGGTGAGAGTTGTTGTTTGTCGACAGAGGAAGAATTCAAGAATTGCGGGAGTGAGCCGGAGGATGCCGAAGGACCGATCATCGAAGAGTGGAGTTACGAGAAACGGAATTGACAAGGCATTATTGACTTGGACACGGACACGGACACGACTTGTTATTGGATACATAGCGGTAGCGAGGCGAACGGAGCATTCAGATTCTTCTTGATGATTTTGTATTCGCGGGCTTGGTATGGAGGTACCTAATGATTATGATGATGAATCTCACACGGCTTGCTGGAATGACATCAAACGGCATCGAGGGCGAGGTGCATACTCGGCCATACGAACCGTCTCTCGACACAGGATCTTTAGCCAAACGTTCCAGCCTACAGGCGTCGGACGACCTTGCGGTGAGATCGAGCTGCAGGCGGCTGCAGGGCAAGAGCTGTCGTAACTGAATGGAAACGTCTCCAACCAATTCCAGGCAATCTGGAGATTACGTGCTTGTCTGGGTCCACTCTTTGTTTTTGCAGCCGTGCAAAGATTCGACAATTGGAAATTGAGGATTCGAACGAAGGCTTCAAAGCTTGCACGGCGAGAAGGTTGCATCTACACGAGCCAATCTCTTTCTCAGATTGTTCTACACTCTACGTGATAATGCACCGGTTCTTACGATAAATCAACTTATAGTCTCGTAGCGGGTATCGAATGGAGTCCAAAGTTGGAAAGCGTTGACGGGTGGGCGTGTGGAGAGCTCGGAGGCTGGCCGCCAAACGGCACGGCGCACGCCACATCGATGCCATCTCTCGGCGTACGACATGCGCAAATGCTTCAACCTTTTCTCTGACCACACCCTTCGCCTTAGCCGCGGCCGCCACAGTAGCTTACTTGATTTGTCTCTGCGATTAAGCTCTGATCCTTCAGGACCACTCCCGTCATTTATAAACTGCTTGCTAGCTGCAGCGCGCATCTTTTCTTCTACTCAGTCTTGGTACACCAAATCGACTCGATTGTCCATCAACTCGTTGCAAGCCTGGTGGTTAATGCTGCCTGAATTCAACCGACGCGACCTTTTCACTTACTTTACGCTCGTCCGGAGCATTCGTTCGATAAAATGGCGTTAGGCAATTTCTTCAAAAAGAAGCCTACTATTGTTGCCGATGCACCTCCTCTCCCGAATGCGCCCGAACTCGAGAAACCCATGTTCGGCGATGAGGGATACGGCGACCAGCCTGCTGCATACGATCCCGAGCAGAATGGACCCAAGGGCATGAAAATGAATAGAATCGACGGACCCATGACCAAATCCATCAGCCAACAAGGCGATCTCAGCGATGACAGCTCCGGCTTGACCGTCGGAAAGCAGATGGAGATGGAGGCCGGAAATGCCATCAAGTACAGAACTTGCAGTTGGCCAAAGGTGTGATCCTATCGCGCGTGTTTTGTTTCCCTTCACTCCCACTTGCGACATGGAGCGAGCCGACTCTCTGCCCAATGCGACAACTCATCGTTACCCTTGTCAATTTCCCCATGCAGCAAGCCCTTGCACCACTCCCATCTCCCTACCCATGATTTTGTTTCAAACCAGAAGAATCAGCTCTTTTGTCGAGCGTACAAGAACCGACCTAATCCATCTTCTAGACTGCAGCATTGTTGTTCTCTGAGTACATCTGCCTGGCTATCATGTCATTCCCGTACTCGTATGCTACTCTCGGCCTGGTACCCGGTCTGATCTTGACCGTCGTCATTGCCGGACTGGTCCTGTACACCTCTCTCGTTCTCTGGTATATCGAATGCAAAGCTCATCTTGCGAATTGTGTCTGACAAAATTGTAGGGAGTTCTGCTTGCGTCACCCTGAAGTAAAGGATGTCTGCGACATTGGACAGATGCTGTTCTGGGGTCAAAGATGGGCATGGTGGGCCACTGCCTTCATGTTCATCCTGAACAACACTTTCATCCAGGGCCTGCATTGCTTGACCGGTGCCAAATATCTCAACACCATGACCGGTCACGGTCTCTGCACAATCGCTTTCAGTGCCATTGTTGCTTCCGTTTCCTTCGTCGCGTCGCTTCCCCGTACTTTCAGCACTCTTGCTCTATTGGGTACCGGATCTGCATTCTTCACCTTCATCTCGGTCCTCCTGGCCACCATCTTCTCTGGTATCGAGCCCCATCCTGCTGGATATCCCAAGTATGGAGAGCCTCTCGTGCTTGCAATTCCAGAGAAAGGTACCACTTTCGTTGCCGGAATGTCCGCATTCATGAACATCAGCTACACATTTATTGGACAGATCACTCTGCCCTCTTTCATTGCTGAAATGAAGAACCCTCGAGATTTCCCCAAAGCTCTCTGGGCTGTTACCATCGCCGAAGTCATTCTTTTCTCGCTCGTCGGTGCTATCATCTACGCCTACACAGGTACTCAATACTACACCGCACCCGCCTTCGGATCTCTGAGCAATGAAGTATACAAGAAAGTTAGTTTCTCGTTCATGATTCCAACCATCATTTTCTTGGGCGTGCTCTACGCCTCGGTATCTGCTCGCTTTGTCTTCTTCAGAATCTTTGCTGGAACCAGACACATGGGCGAGCATACTGTGGTTGGTTGGGTGAGTTGGGCTGCTATTTTGCTCTGCACCTGGATCTTGGCATTTATCATTGCTGAAGTCATTCCCTTCTTCAGTGATCTGCTGTCACTCATGAGTTCGCTCTTTGACAGCTTCTTCGGATTCATCTTCTGGGGTGTCGCATACCTTCGTATGCGCAGAGTAGATTACGGACCGGACTTCTGGAAGAACAGAGGCTTCAGAGGAACTTTCGGGTTTATTTTCAACCTGATTCTCATTTGCATTGGCTTGTTGTTCCTCAGTGGAGGCACATATGCCTCTGTACAGAGCATCATTGACGGATACAACTCATCGGAGTATGGCACAGCCTTCTCCTGCGCCAACAACGGTCTCTAGAGGGAATGGGAGACATTGACAGTCCGTGTGGGGACGCTGCCTGGAAACAGAATGATTGCCATGATTTGCATGTTCACGCAATGGTTCCATGTTGAATACTTTCCTTTACTAAATTGATAGCTTATTTTAATCGATCTATTCAGCTTGTTCATTTGAACATCAGTATGGTATACCTTAAATCAGGCTCGAAATCAGTGGATCAGTCTGGCCGGGGTGATAGACGCCAAGAGGAATGACGAGAACGGACGTTCCGTTGAGCCGCACGAGCTTGTGCCATGTGTTCTTCCAGCAGGCAGCTTTCGCACTCTGTCCAACCTGTATCACCGTTTGACAACGAATCACTCATTGTCGCTTTTCTGCACGGCGTCTGAACTACTTGTCATCACCAAGCATAATGTCATCCATCTCTGACTTTGTCGATCTTGGACAGCCTATGTTCTGGCGTAAGTTGGGACCAATGCCGAGTTGGCCTTGCTTAGACGGGATCGTTTGAGAAGACAAGCTGATTCGAGATGCAATATAGTGTCTGCAGCTAGCATTTGTTTCAATCCTACCTTTTGGAAGTAAGCAGATCTAGTTGAAGGTTTCTGTTCCGGAACAAGCATACTGATAACCTTCTAGCACGGCCGCAAGATCAGGTAAGGTTCACTGTTTGAATGTCTGCAAGCACGACGAAGAAAGATGCAGAGGTCACTGTGAAATCAAGCAACCAGAAAAGAAAAAGCAAGAACAGAAAATTGACATGTTTTGCGCATCATGCAGAATACCACAACAAGACCATTACCAAGCTGTTTGGCGGCAACTCGCTTTACGGCTGCTATGCCCTCGCCGTGACAATCTTCACCCTTGGAATTGTTCGAGACAGCATGTACGCACCTCTTTTTTCCATTGTCCTGATCAAGAAGCAACCGCCCATTACGCGCCAAAACTGTCGACCTCATGCCATCAAGCACCAAGCCTCCCAAAGCGACACATGAAATTGAAAGAGGTTAGACGATGATAGCTTGCTGACAGAACCAAAGCTACGAACGCGCCCTCCGCAGTCAACCCACGCACCCACTCCTTCTTGGACCTATTCCTGAGGCCTTGGCCATCGCTCTCTTCGCATCTGGAAACGTTCTCGTGCTTACATCCATGTACGCTCTCGGCGTCACGGGCACCTATCTTGGTGACTACTTCGGCATCCTAATGGATGAAATGGTGACTGGTTTCCCGTTCAACGTGTGCTCGGCACCCATGTACTACGGCTCTACCCTCAGTTTCCTTGGATCGGCATTGTGGTTCGGCAAGCCTGCGGGAGTGATCCTAACGGGACTGGTGTTCTTGGTTTACAAGGTTGCTTTGACATACGAGGATCCATTCACTGCTGGCATCTATGCAGAGAGGGAGAGAAAGGAGAAGACCGAGGGCAAGAAGGTCCGTTGATCGTCTTGAGGCCAACATACGGAAGTCGGGAGTCGTTGGTGAAGAGTAGGAGGGGGAGTGAGGAAGTGGATAGTAGAGTGTCCATGGCAGACTGTGGCTGCTAGATGGAAAAGATTCAACATGGACAAGAGGATGCAGGGGTTGAGGAAGCAGCTGGACACGAAACACGAATTCAACACGGAAGCGCATATAATATGTACATGTCATTACAAAAGTAGTCGTTGCAGATTTTTTGATCTTGTGCTTCATTTAAGTCGTATACCCAAGGAGCGTTCCAGCATTCTCACGTTCTCGTCAAAGCCATCATAGGCAGCATCTCTCAGGCTCATAGCGTTCTTATCACGCCTCCTATGCTCTTTCTATCAATTTCCCGTGCTCTTAGCTCCTACCTTTCTGTGTGACTTACAACGAACTCGGCACACCCTTATCTTTACAGCCCCAGACGTGCAACAGATTCCTCACTATCTTGTCTTCGAGGCCTTTGTACTTTGCGGCATTATTCAGGAATTCTAGGGTCTGAGATATTTGTTGCGAGTTGAAGGCGGATGTGGGATTGCGGAACGAGGAGCGGAGATGGGATTGCAGGGTGAAGCGGGCGGGTTTTGCGTAGCGGATTGCTTGAAGCGATGTTCGAAGGAGATGGCGATACGCGTGGATGATTTCCTGTGACATCTGTGTCTTGTTGTCCTGTGTCGTGGTGTGGTGGGATGAGCAGCTAGAGCAAGACGAGAACGACGCTGGACGAGGGACAGGGTCGTGTTTGGGTTGTTTGTTTTGGAGGGGTTCATGGATGCGATGCGATAGGTGATTACAACCTTAACATCTACCGTCCTCTCGTCTTCTGGTCATGACCATGACAGAGCTGTTGGCTCATCCTGTAGTGATTGGTCTTGTTGCTGTCATCGTTGCCAGTGCTGCAATGGGCCTCTTCTCGTCCAACAAGCATTTCCCCGTTGAGGGCAGAGTAACTTGTCGTATCCACTCGGGTTGATGTATCGATGCTAACATGGTTTTACGCAGACTGTCTTGATCACTGGAGGTTCGAGTGGCATGGGAAAAGCTCTCGCGACCAAGCTAGCTCAACAGGGTGCCAATGTTTGCATTGTCGCCAGAAATCAAGCAAAACTCGACCAAGCGATCGACCACATCAAGGTACTTCTTTCTACAACTCCGGCCTGCCTGACTTGCAACCACAACTAACCTCACAACTCAGTCGCACGCCAAATCTCCGAACCAACGATTCCTTGCCATCAGCGCCGATTGCACCTCGCCCCAAGACAACACCCGCATCCTCGCCGAAACCACCTCATGGAACAACTCACAAGCTCCCGACATAGTCTGGGCCAATGCTGGCTCGTCGTCCCCTGGCCTCTTCATCGACACTCCCCTTGAGACCCATCGCGCCCAGATGGACACAAACTACTGGGCTTCCTTCTACCTCGCCCACGCAACCCTCAAACTCTGGCTCGCTCCACACCAAAACAAAGAAGAACACAAAACGAGACACTTCATCATCACAGCCAGCAGTGTTGCTTTTGTAGGTGTCGCAGGATACACTCCCTACGCTCCTGCCAAAGCTGCCTTGAAGTCTTTGGCCGACTCGCTGCGCATGGAGTTGAATCTCTACAACGGCAGTATGAAGTCTTCGAAGCCTTCTCCTGCTGCGGCCACACAGATCCATCTGGTCTGCCCTGGAACCATTCTATCTCCTGGTTATGAAGCCGAAAACCTTACAAAGCATCCCGTTACCAAGATCCTGGAATCTGGCGACCCCAAACAATCAGAAGATGAAGTTGCAGATGCTGCTCTGAAGGGCTTGCAACGAGGCGACTATGTCATCACAACACAGTGGTTGGGTCACGCCATGAGAGTCTCTGCTCTAGGTGGCTCCCCCAGAAATGGCTGGGGTATCGTGGACGTCCTCTTCGGTTGGGTGACTGGTATTGCATGGCTGTTTATTGCGCCTGATATGGAAAGCAAGGTCTGGAAATGGGGCAAAGAGCATGGCTGTTCATAATGTCTACATGATGAAAAGTTTGATCTTCTTGTATGATACCCCTTTATATCGAATATACTGCTCTATTATCTGCTGGCATTGGTCACTCTTACAATGGTGTTGAGCAAATTGTGAGATGTAGGAATGCATAGCAAAGTAACAGGTAGGGATAAGTCCAATAAGACTCTCCGCCTGATCAGCTCTCTCTGGAAGTGAGTGGTTCTATACCTCAAAAGTATCACGCATTCCTACAGCTACACAAGAAAAGTCCGGTCCATGAGGGAGCTAGTGCACGAAGGATGTCGTGTGGCTGAATTCGGGAAATGTCAGATGGTTTCTCACTTTCCTCCCATCTCATTAAACACCATCGCTGGCAAATTGATTCAAGGTCGTCTCAGCGGCGAAAGAGAAGAGCGTGATTAAGGGACACTCTTCCGACACAATCATGGACGAAAGATATAGGTTTTCTTTGGAGCTTGATGACTCGACGACAAGTTTGTACTCCCCTTTGTCGTTTCTCGAACTCGTGATGACCGGAGAGAAGGTACTGCTAATGACCCAAGATTTTGTTGTTGATATACAATGCTAAGAGGAAAGAGCGAATGTGCGTTGTACCTGGGCCGTGAGACGTAAAGAGTTGATCATTTGCGACTGCCACATCTGAACACAGATTGTTGCAAAATGCAAGATGTTATTAAGACATGCTACAGGAAGGAACGAGATGCCTCCAATGAACTTCACTGGAATGTTTCAATGACCTCTCTCATCACCTGCTCCACAACTCTGATACTTTTGACATCCACCCATTCATCCTTGCCATGCAGTCCCTCACCTGCAGGTCCAAAGACCAAAGAAGGAATACCAGCTTCACTCAGCAACGCAGCATCCGTCCAGAACTTCGCCGCTGTAGGTCGTACCTCTTTCTCGCCTTGCACATCAGCAATTGCCTTAGTGGTTGCAACCAGTAGAGGATGTGTCTCTGCCAATGGTAGCAAAGGCTTACGTTCAAAGAGCACTTTTGGCAGCTCAAACTTGAACTTCTTGTCTGCAGCAGCAAGTTTATCAAGGATATTTGTGATGTCTTTGAGGATGGCAGTAGATGACTGAGAGGCACTGTCGTCGTTAACAGTGCGGAACTCAATGGTCAGTGTGCAGGATCCAGCATAACTGCTGTTCTCCTCTCCACCTCTGATGGTGCCGCAGTGCATTGTTGATTGTCCTAAGACATCATCATCTGGCAATGTTTCGGCATACCTTTCGATAGCTTTCAAGAAATCGGCAGTAGACATGATGGCATCTACGCCTGTTTGAGCATCGGAGCCATGTGCAGCAACCCCGAGAATGGTAACTTCAATCCACACGAAACCCTTGTGTGCGTGGTGAAGTTGTAGAGATGTAGGTTCGGGGATGAGCGCAGCATCTGCTTTCCATCCTGCCGCAAGGATAGCAGCAGTACCCATGCTTTTGTCTTCCTCATCTGCCACTGCGGTGAAAATGACATCGCCCTTACTGCCATGCGTGGAGAAATGCAGAAGTGTGGTCATGGCAGCTGCGACTCCAGCCTTCATGTCCAGTACACCTCGGCCGTAGATCTTGCCTTCCACAAGACTGCCGCTAAGAGGACCCACGCCGTAGGTGGATAGCGATACTGTATCAATATGTCCGTTCAACATGAGAGATTTGGCATTGGAATCGCTGCCACGAACCACTCCCACCACAGAGGGGCGACCTGGCACTGACTCCACGACGTGAGTCTCGATACCACGATGGTGTAGCCATTGCGTGATGAATGCTGCAATCTTTGCTTCTCCCGGCGCAGAGCCCGTCATATCTAGTGATGGACTCGAACTATCGATCTGGACGAGTTGTTGAGTCAAGACCGCGACATCGTCGTTACTGACGTCGAGAGGTATGTCGTAAGGTCTCTTGGCCTCGGTATTGATCAAGACCACCGACGATCCTTTGGCAATGTGTCCCTCAGCTACAAGTCTTTTCAAAGCTGCCAGGCCGGAAGCACCGCATGGTCCGGCGTTCACATGATGGCGATGCATGTCCTGTACTGCAACGTGAGTCTCAAAATCAGATACCGTGGTGCTCAGATCGACATAGTCGCGAAGGTACGGCCAGGAGATGGAACTAAGCGTTCCGCAGTTACATCCAGCGTTGATTGTGTTGGATGTGATGATAGACGTAGCTTCTCCAGCAACAAGTGAAGCGTGCAAACATGCCGCTGTATCTGGCTCCACAGCCACTGTCATGAAGTTTCGGTGCCCTTTGGCATATGCGATAACTGCTTGAGCTAGAGACCCCACGCCAACAGGTGTGATGATGGTTGTTGGGTGTGCATTCAGCTCTTGCAACTGCTCTTCCATTTCGGTAAAGATGGTCGCATATCCATCTATGATCCATGTTGGGATGTCTTCGTAACCTTCGAAAGCTGTGTCTTGCACGAGTATATTGTTCTTGGTCGTGGCAGCAGCAGAAGCAGCACTGGAAACAGCGAGGTCATAGTCTCCTTGGACCACAATCACTTCCGCTCCCTCGGCAGCAATCAAACGCAGGAAGTTCGGATGCAGATCATGAGGCACATAAATGGACGACTCGATACCTAAGGATCGTGCCATCCAAGCAATTGCTCTGCCATGATTTCCATCTGTGGCGGCTAATAGCCTGCAGCCACGATCTTTGGCAACAGAAGCTACTTGTTCTAAAGTAGCAGACTCGAGATTCAACGACAATTGTGAGACAAGAGCGCGAAAGCAGCCCCACGATGCTCCCGAGGCTTTGAACGAAGGTAGACCGAAGCGAGATGATTCGTCCTTGATGTAGATACCATCAAGACCTAGCTCTGCAGCGAGCGCGTCCAAGGAAAGGAGAGCTGTAGGCTCATATCCGACAAGCGCTTTGTGAAAGTTGTACTGGACAGTAGAGTCGGCTATATCAATGGAAGGACTCGGTGATGTTTGGCGGACCCATGTGGGTCTACGATTCGAAGGTCTTTCCGGCGACTGAAATCGAAGAGGCATTATGCCAGGTAAAGAGATACAGGATACTCAAAAAATGCGATCTCGAGGATGATTGCATATATAAAGACGAGCAGATCAATCCTGAACACTATTTTATATCTTCGACTTCCGTCGGACACCGTCGGAAGTAAGTTGTGGTGTATCGAAAACGAACTTCGAGAGTCGGAAGTCCAACGGAAGACCGACGGGACCCCGGTTTCGAAAAATTTCATGCAGCCGGGAAACTTGTCGGTAAACTGACCACCATCTTCGAGTAGACTTATGGTCAATCGCTAGCGATAATCTCTCGCAATAATCCGATCATTTTGGTATCGATGCCTCCTTCACAGAGGAAGTTCTCAGAAAATGACGATATGGGCGTTCCTATAAATTTCAGTCAGCATTGATGACAGAAGCATTTTCGTTTTGCTGATAGAAAGTTATGTTTTGGGGCTCAGATTTGCCTTCTGTTGCAATCATGTCCCTCCTTACAACTTACCCATAGACCCTAGAAGGGTAGAGGGTCAAGACTGCAGGACTTATGCGGGAATCATAAGTATCTGATTTTATCTTTTGTGTCTTCATGGCCATGTCAAGGGTGTAAAAGCGGGTGGGGAAACGAACAACTTACTATTTGGTGTTGAAATACCGGAGTTTCGAGACCATATCGCTGGTTGGGGCCGAGTAGATACTGAAGTTGAGATACTCAACGCAAGCGATCAACGATTACAGAAGACTTCCGACGGTGAAATACTCGCCGAAGATGTCAAAGCCAGCCAAGGCATCAAAGTCGCCCATGCCCATGACTTGAGAAGGCAAAGGCGTTCCACCAGTGTGAAGTTGAGGCAACGCCTCGGCACCACTATTTGTGCCATCTTCACCGGTTGAATCTGCGTGCGTTGATCTTTCCAGTGCGCGCTGTATGATGAATCCATGCTTGTATGCGATGTGCGATTCACCGCATGCAACCTTGAAGAGGTACGCTCGCAAATTTTCGACCAGATGATGATCGATTGCGCTTTCACAAAGGACTAGTGCTGCGTATGAAGCAATAAAGAAAGCGAAATCTGGCAGATCAAGCGCCTGGTCTGAAGAGTGACGCACGAATTGAGAGACAATATTCGCACTTTCTCGCCAAGCTGGTATGTTCTTTTCGTGCATAGCTTGAGGTGACAAACCTTGCTGGGAAGAGGCATTGCGACGGTGGAGCAACAGGTGTCCAAACCAGTGGGATAACTCGAGGGTCCTTGGCGGGCCCGAACTGGCAAGAAAACGGCTCCATGCAAAGTCCCAAGACGTGAATGCAGATTCGGGAGTGGCTGTAGGGTTTTGCAGGGCTGTGTGGAGGCAGATGTAGAATTGCAGCTCGGCTATCAATGGCGTATCGAATGGCGTTGTTGTAGGCTGTTCCAGTAGACGGCGACAACCGTCCATAAGTCGAATCGAAATGCTGAGAGGTCGGCCGCTGCCAATCGAGTATTGTAGATGAGTAAGACAGAGACCACTCCACACGCGCAATTGCTCCATGGTGCGTTCTTCGAAGGCACCTGGTTGTTTGACATTGCTCGGTCCAAATGCGACGACTGCATGGTTCGCTGTACTAGCACTGAGATGCCAACTGTCCAGAGGCTTGTCGGTTTGTACAGCAGGACTGAAGAGACAGAGCAATGTCAATGCCTGAACAACACTACCTGCGACTGGAGGTGTCCCGATGACCGCATCCGCAACAAGGCGTTTAACGTGTTTGTAGATGTCTTGTACTGTCTGCGAAGCAACCTCAGGATGATAGCGAGTTGCCAGTAAGCAGAGTACATTCATCAACAGAGGCGAGGTCTGGGAGAAATTTCGCGTCACGTTGCTAACAAACTTGACAACATCAGCTAGGGACATCCACTTGCTATACCTGTTGATAGACCTGCGCGATGGTTAGCCCTAGCGCAAAGACCTCCTGAGGCAGAAAAGTTCGTTGCGATACTCACGTTTGGAGGAGCTGGACTGCAGTCTCGAAAGGCAAGAGACCTACAGATACCACATCAAGCCGGTTGGTTTCTTCCGAACAGGATTGACCTGACTGAGCATACAATTCAGACTGCAGATCTTGGAGAATTTCGACTGGTTTGGGGTAGTTGTGTGCGATGACTGTGTCCGGGTCACGTCCCTCTGCAGGAGCGTCGGGACTATTCGATTTGCCATCGACTTGATTCAAATTTGATCCAGAATGAGGAAAGACAGCTTCAGACAATTTGGCAATCATCTGTTCGACGCGTTTGAGCCGCGTCTCAACATCATTGTCGTAGGCTGAGTCAGAAGGAGCAGGCGCCAGAACACGATTCGAGCTACGTTTCGGCAGTTCACATTCGAGACTTGAGTCGAATAGATGTTAGGAGATATGTCATGACAGTTTGATGGAAACGAACTCGAGTACTTGACATCGATGACAAGCGTCGGCGTTGGGTTGTACTTCGCAGCGTGCTTTGGATGTGCGACATGATTTGCAGGCTTTTCCAATACGTTGACGCTTAGCCGGGCGGTCCTGTTCAATGTCCATGTCGAGGTGAAAGTTTAGATAGAGCTGCACGCTGCTTCATGGAGGACGTTGATGTATGGAGAAAAATGGTTGCTCGGAAGTGGGCTTGGCGGGTGTCTGCGGAAGGAGCGTCCAACTTGTTCTAAGTTAGCAACACTTCATCCATCTCTACAACAGCACTTGATCGTGCCTTTCGCTTCCGCGTCACGATAGGACCGACACTGGATACTACCAGATCAAAAGAAAGGACTAAACTCGACTCGAGCTATATCGACATTCTCACCAACATTGATTCAACATGGATAAACACACTGAAACTGTGAAACATATATCAGCTGGTCTAAAGGATTTATACTCACGGAAAGAGCAATTCCGAATCTTCCATGGCTCTACCAATTCGACGAGAAAGTATTTAGTTGATCGGAACAGAATGATCGACACTAGCTCACTAAATCATGTCCTCTCTGTGGACAAGGCGACGAAAACCGCATTGGTAGAGCCCAATGTGCCAATGGACAAACTGGTTGAAGCAACATTACCCTTTGATTTAGTACCACCCGTCGTCATGGAATTCAAAGGTATCACTGCTGGAGGAGGATTCAGCGGTACTGGAGGCGAGAGTTCAAGCTTCAAGCATGGCTCATTCGATTGCACTGTCAACTGGATTGAAATTGTGCTGGCCGATGGAGAAATTGTTAAAGCTTCTCCTGAGTTAAAGGCGGACCTTTTTTATGGTGCGACCAGCTCGCTGGGCACGCTGGGTGTAACGACCTTGATGGAGATCCAACTCGTTGATGCAGCAAGATATGTCGAAACCACATATACTCCATGCAAATCATTGGAAGAGACTTTGAAGAAGGTAGAGACTGCTAGCAAAGATGCTGCAAATGACTATGTGGATGGGTTTCTTGTTTCTCTGCACAGAGGTATAGTGGTCACTGGCCGCCTAGCTTCTTCCATATCCAGTGAAACACGCATACAAAGATTTCAAGGTCCTCGTGATCCTTGGTTCTACATGCATGCGGATAGAACAACCCAAAAGGCTGGCGGTCCAATTACGGAGGCTGTGCCTCTGGCTGACTACCTCTTCCGCTACGATCGCGGTGCTTTCTGGATGGGCAAATATGCCTTTAGTTACTTCATGGTTCCTTTCAACCGTGTAACTCGATGGGCTTTAGACGATTACATGCAAACAAGCACAATGTATCATGCTTTGCATGCTAGTGGACACATGCAGCAGTACATCATTCAGGATCTGGCCATCCCTGCTGCCAGCGTCAAGGACTTTATCATTGCAGTCGACCAGACATTCGGGTTCTATCCTCTTTGGCTGTGTCCAATGAAGCCATGGACACAACAATCCTCTTTCCATCCGCAAGCCATTGAGACTGATCTTCTCGTCAACGTTGGTGTCTGGGGTCCGAATGGAGCAAACAATCCGTCAGAAGTGGTTCAGCGAAACCGGCAGCTCGAGAGTCTCGTTCGACAGCACGGTGGTAGGAAATGGCTATATGCGCAAGCGTTCTACTCAGAGTCAGAGTTCTGGGACATTTATGATGAAAAGTCGTATCGAGAGTTGAGGAGCAAGTACAAGGCCGAACATTTGCCCAGTGCTTTCGACAAGGCTTGCATAAACAGTACAGGTGAAAGTCCACAGGCTTGGGCAGATTGGGTCAGTCAGAAAGTTTGGTCTATCTGGCCAATTTCTGGCGTGTATGGTGTTCTGCAAACGTTGGTCAGCAAGGAATATCTACTTAAAAAGTGATGGTGATCTTTTGATTACCAAGGTTTGAGAATGGAAACCATGTTCTTATCATTTCCTGGTCTACCTCTGACTCGACAGTCAACAACGAAAATAGACAAAGGCCTATTTGAATTGATACAGAAGCTTGCGAACAATCAACTATAAACGTAGAAAGGTCATGAGACCAATTTCTGTTCAGCCTATCTCCAGCCTTCTGTGTTGTCAAGATCGACGTCATAGGGCCAGCCGTTTTGGTGGCAGGAATCCAAGGCAACACCTTTGTGGCTTCTTGCCCCTCCTCGCTCACAAACTTCATAAAGCTCTCTTAATTCTCTGACCTAGACATTCAATCCACCTCCAACAAACCTCAAGACCTCGAGATATCAATCACACAATCAACCATGCCTCTCGTAGTTCCAGGAATGCAGTCCAGCGGCGGCGACGACAAGACCTCCAAGTGGATGGACCAGCTCATGGGCAAGAAGCTCGGCGATAGCAACGATAACATGGTATGTGTCGACCCTCGTGCCTATTAGACTCAAGAAACCTTTTCTGACGCAGTAGTACAGACATTCGCAAAGAAGGACCTTCCCCAGCAACACCGCGTCATCAAGGGAGACTCGATGATGACCATGGACCACAACCCCGATCGGTAAGAGCATAAGAAACGGATGCAAGAGCATCAGGAAGAAACTGACAAAGGTATAGCCTCAACATCCACGTCGGCGATGACGGTACCGTGCACAAGGTCACTCACGGTTAAGCTATCCCGAAGCTTGCTCGACGACCAAGAACCCAATCATGAAGATCACGAAGCAATAATGGCACACGACGAACGGGCATGGGGTACATGAATCAGGAAGCAGACAATGACAATGAACAATGAAATATCAACATATTCCCAACAATCCGTTCGGTGTCTTGCAGTATTGATGTGTTCACGTCGTTAGTGTCGTGTCACTGCAGAAGGCCGAGTGCACAAACGAGGTATGCTCCTTCGCTGTTGGGGGCCGATCTAAGCAGGTATATGCGTGATAGCAACAGAGACGGTGATAATGCTCTGCGGTCCTGCACACCGCCATGTGTAACCGTCTAGGCTTCAGAGATGTCGGTATATCTGCATGCAGGGTCTCGCTCATGCGCGTATTTCTTCGCATCGCCCTGCAGTGATTCCGTCAGCCCTCTTGCCGTTTAGCTTTTGAGGCTCAGCAAAACATCACGCCGTGGTGTCTTGCAAGAACAGAAGCATCTCAACAAAGGCGTTGTCGGCAAGAAAAGCGGCTGTCACGACGGCCGCTATGCAAGTGACACCCGATCGCTCTGGGGGTGTTTTCGGCGGAGGATGGAGAAGCCCCACACCCTCTCTCTTCGCTGAATTGGCGGTCAGTCGGCTCTAGCGATTCACGACAAGTTGATTGCATTTTGCCCCTCCTCATGCAGCGGGGCGAGCGGCAGCTATGGCGCATGTTTTGTACGAACGAATATCTCCGGCTAGATGTGACTGATCAAGGTAGGTACAAGTGTGGCATTGTAGACGCTCCAGTGGTGTCTCTCCCTTTTCTAATAACTTGACCAAGTCGACGGCAAGGGGAACTCGAACAGAACCCTTGCTGCCTCTTCGAGCCGGCGTACTGCATATCAAGAGGGGAAAAACAAAGGCCTTGGAAGCTGTGCATCACATCTTGATATAGTCTTGTGACTGCTGCTCGATCCGTAGCGAATCACCAGCTTCCCTGCTCGACTTGGTGTCTTTTGATTGCACCTTCCCAGCCGCCGCAATTATTTCCCTGCTTGCAGGTGCGAGGTAACTCAATACGGTCCTTCTACACTTCAGGACAGTCAGAATTTGGGTCTGGAAAACAGCAATCGCCTCTGCTCTTAGTTGAATCTTTTTTTACAGAACAAGGAGGATCTGATGCAGTAGATCGCAACGAAATGGCGGTTCCTGTCGCGCTCGCGTTGTCGGCGCGTCTTCTCGATTCGAAGCTTCCACCAACCAGCGAGTCGATGCGACGACCGCTGCAGAAATGCGTTGGCAATGCATATCACGACCATCACGATGAAACGTTTACGAAGATTCTCAAACTTCCAACTCTGCCATCCTCCATTCTCGAGGAAGCGCTCCCTAATTACAACGAATGCATAAATGATTGCCCACCAGACTACACAAATAGCGATGCACTTGCGATACTGAACCTCGATCCACCTGCTTATGCGCCATCGCCCTCTGCTCCGAGATGTTGCTCTCAAGAACGCAAAGAAAAGTCACGCTGCTCGACTGAACCGAAGGTCGACTTTGGATACCGCGAGAACTTGCGCGAGCACAAGAAGAAGAAAAAGGGCGCTGCAGCAAAGAACAAGTGGGACAGCGACAACGAAGAAGAAAAGAAGCCCGAAGGCGACAACAATGGTGACCAGCCAGGCGATGCTGGTGGCAGTGGAGGAGCAGACGGTGCTGGTGGAGAGGGAGGAGGAGGCAATGATGATGATGACTGGGATGATGGCAAGAAGAAGGGCAAAAAGGACAAGAAGAAAAGCGGTTTCAGCTGGGATGCTCTAGAGGATGAGGACAACAAAGATGAGGAAGAGAAGACGAACGATCCACCGCTTGTCGAGGAAGCTCCCGCAGAAGAAGATGATTGGGCAGGCTTCACGACTGCATCCAGCAAGAAGAAGAAAAAGAAGGGCAAGAACGCCGATCCTGAGCCTCCACCCGACGATTTTAAGCCCGACGATGGTCCACCAAAGGTTGATGTCGACTTTGGTAATAGCAACACGTTCAGCTTCGGCAGTAATGGAGCTTGGGGAACCAAACCGACAGAGGATGATGGGTGGGCTACCTTTGGCGGCAGCAAGAAGGACAAGAAAAAGAAAACGAATGCCTTCAATTTTGGTTTCGGGGATGCGGATGATGGAGCAATGCCTGGAGAATCCGCGCCTCCGCCAGCAGAGGAAGAGGCAAAGGCAGACGACAACCCCTGGGCTGCATTTGGTTCGGGGAAGAAGAAGAACAAAGGTGGTGCTGTTGAAGAACATCCACTGCCGTCTCCTGAACCCGAGCCGGAGGCCGTTGTCGTTCAGAGCCCAGATGAGCCTGCTGACGACTTCTCTTGGGCTATGAGCTCCAAAGACAAAAAGAAGGCGAAAAAAGCCGCCAAAGCCGCCGCGCTTGCTGCCCCTGAGCCTGAACCAGAACCTATCGCTGTTGTCGAAGAGCCACCTCCCGAACCTGAAGCCGCTCCCGCAGAGCCTGAACCAGCTCCAGTGGATGACTTTACCTGGGGTATGAGTGCAAAGGACAAAAAGAAGGCAAAAAAAGCTGCGAAGAAGGCAGGAAATGCTTTTGAGTCTATCGCTGAACCCGAACCACCAACTCCTGCTGCTGAGCCTGAACCCGAGCCACCCGTTGTTGCAGTTGTTGAAGAACCTGCTCCATCAGCTGCTGAACCCGAAGCCGTGGATGACTTCTCTTGGGCAATGAGCTCAAAGGACAAAAAGAAGGCAAAGAAGGCAGCCAAGAAGAGCGCTTTCGACTGGTCGGAACCCGACCCTCCTGCTGCGCCGGATCCGCCTCCCGTTGAACAAGCACCACCCAATCCTGACGAGTCCACCGCCCTTGCTATTCCAGAGCCTCCGCAAGACGACTGGTTTGGCTGGGGCACTGCGGGCAAGAAGAAGGGCAAGAAAGGCGCTGAGGAGATTCCACCAGAGGTTCCCCCACCTCCACCTGCTGCTCCCAAGCCTGCTGTTGAGGAGAGCAGTAGTTCATGGTCATTTGGTTGGGGTTCATCTTCAAAAAAGGACAAGAAGAAGAGCAAGTCTCCTGAACCCGAGCCAATTACTGTACCCGAGCCCGTGCTTGAGGATCCGGTTGTCATGGTCCCCGAATCTATCGACGAGCCTAAAGCAGAAGAAGATGACTGGGCAGGCTGGGCTACTGGCAAGAAGTCAAAGAAGAAGGGGAGTAAGAACGCGCCTGTAGAGATTGTGGAACATGTATACGATGTTCCTGTCCAGCAACCCGATCCTGCACCTGCCGAAGAAGATGCATGGGCTGGGTGGAGTGTCGGTAAGAAGGAGAAGAAGAAAGGTAAGAAGGCTGGTGAGATTCCTCCACCCTCCTTGCCTGCAATCGAACCACCACCTGTTGAAGTGGTCGAGCCGGAAGTAGAAGTACCTGTGCCTCCACCCGAAGCAGAAGCTCCTGTCGAACAACCCCTTGCGGATGATCCTTGGGCTTCATTTTCGACCAAGAAGAGTAAGAAAGACAAGAAAAAGAAGGGCTCAAGCACTGAAGAAATGGAGCCGGTGGTTGAAGTACCGCCTCCGCCCTCTGAGCCCGAACCCCAACAAATTGTCGACTTACAAGAGCCTGAAACCGAGCCAGAACCTATTGCTGTACTTGAGTCTCCACCTGCTGAGCCTGTCAAAGAGGTCAAGAAGAAAGAAGTCAAGACCTCCTCCGGCTGGGGTAGCAGTCTGTGGGGCAGTTCAAGCAAGTCCAAGTCTTCGTCCAAGGACAAAGAGAAGGAGAAAGAGAAAGAGAGAGCAAAGAAGGAGAAGGAGGAGAAGGAACGTCAAGAACGGGAAGCAGAAGAACAGCGCAAAGCGGACGAGGAAGCAGCATTCGCAGCAGCTCTCGCCGATGAGCCAGTTGACCTACTCCCCAAGCCTGCACCTGTGGCTGAGCAATCTGCTACTACAGGTTACTGGGGTACGTTTTTGAAGCCGACCGCCGTGAGCAAGACCGTCGAGGAACCTATTGTACCTAAAGGCAAGGTCGATACTGGTGCCAAGGAGTCCGTCAAGGACAGAATCAAGCGATTGCAAGGTGAGACTACCAAAGATCAAGTGGTTGTTGTACCACCTGCCCCTCCTGCACCCGAGCCGCTCCCAGAAACCGACGTTGTCGTGGTGCCCGAACCAGAGGTCATCATTGTGCCTGAACCACCCGTGGTCGAAGAGGCATTAGCCAAGAAATCGCCAAAGGACAAAAAGAAGAAGAAAGGTAGGGAGAAAGAGCCATCGCCTCCACCTCCACCAGCTACTATTGAGATCCCGCCACCTGTTGCTGAAGTACCTCCTTCCCTGAGTCCTATTCCGGGCGGCTTCCCTGAGGATGACGTCGAAAGCGATGTGTTGGCCGATGTACCTGCTGTGCCACCACCCATCGTCGCTAATACCTCGGCCGATGCACCTGTCGAGCCACCTCCTCTTGATGCAGTAAAACCGTCTGAAGTGATGCCCAAGCCCTCTTCCGACAAGAAGCCGGTCAAAGACAAAGGGATATCTGCCAGAAAGGAAGCTAAGAGAATTACGAAATCCTCGCGCCCGGCTGTTGTTGATCTTTCAGCGCCGAGTACACCTGCTGCCGAGAGCAAGTCTGTCAAGAAAGAACGACCAAAGGTTGTCCGCGACCCGACGGGAAGTTCACATTGGGGTCTGTGGGGAACAACATCCAAGGCTGAGGCGAAGAAGGAACGCAGGCCGAGCAAAGACACGACAACTCCCACCATCAAGCGATCTGCTGCTCCTGCACTGACGCGGTCAAAATCAGCACGAAAACCTAACGAACGCGATTTTTTGGACAAGGCCGACAAGACTTCCAGTGACGATAAACAATCAAGAAAGGGTACAAAGGATCCTGCGACTCCAGCTAAAGGTATGGGTTTTGGTCTGTTTGGCCCTACACCTACGAGATCACGTTCGATGCGACAATCAAGTTCTACGCCTCGATCCACTCAGGTCAGAGACTCACGCCGTTCACTTGATGTGTCCTCGCCGCCTGGCGACATCGCGAGCAAAGCAGCAAAGTTGATGGGACTCGGTCCTCGACCAACACTCAGTCGCAGCCAGTCTACACGCGAGAAGCGCAAGTTACGCACTATCCCGGATCCCTACGCCATTGATCCCGACAACACACCCGACGATGCTACTCACTCTGCATCCGTCGACAGGTCTAGCAGTCATCGCACCAAGAGATCTAGCCGAAGTGATCACAAACACGACAAGCGCGATTCGGCTATGATGTCCGGCGGCTTGGGTCCTGCCGTCGATGATGGAGGAGATCCAGTGACAGCACCAGAAGACACTCCGTTTGTGACTCCTTCCCGCCCTACGCTCAGACGCGCAGCAACCACTAGCGCTAGGAAGCCAGCAGGCGGTCTTTTCAGCAACATCATCGACTCGCTCAAACCAAAACCTATAGAGGATTTTTCACGCCGTCACCGAGATAGTCAGGTATATGACAGCGAAGGTGGTTCTGCACGTCATCGCAGACATCGCACACCACACTCTTCACACCGCGACGAGGATGATGACTCCAAACGCCATCTCCGTCGCGAGCACAGACGTGTCCGTCGTTCTGAAGACGTTCCGTCTACTCCACTAGATGACCACACTCCCACGCCTCCAATAGACAACACGGAATCTGAAGACCGCGAACGCAGGCGTGCAGAGCGCAGAGCCAAGCGTGCGGCACTGGAAGCGGCAGAAGAAGAATTACGTGCACGAGAGAAAGCTTCGAGAAACAGAGAGCATGAAGTGGCCGAACGCGATAGACAAGATCTGGAAGACCAACGGAGACGTCAACGACGAGCAGAACGCCATGCTTCACGCCGCTCTAGTGCTATTGATGTGGATCGCAAACCGCACCTGCATCGCTCGTCTACAGCGCCTGTACAATCCTACTTCGATGCGCGCGCACCTCATCGCGATGCCAATGGTCGAGACCCTCGTAGTCCTCCCAAAGACAAAACCTCCTCATGGGTTCACAGTGTAACTTCTTCGCCACCGCTGCCTCCACCGCTCCAACCTACAATACTGGATGTGCCTCCCATTGATTCAGCTGCCGATGATGCTGACCTACACGATGATGAAAGCACAGCTCGTGAGCTTCGCCGTCGCCATCGTAGAGACCGCGAATCACGAGGCATCGAAACAGAGGAGGATCGTAGGAGACGCAAACGCAAGGAGCTGCGTCGACGTGAAGAGGAGCTTGCCTCCCGTGATCGCGACAGTGAGGCCAGGAGGGACAGGGTAAGCAACAAAGCCTACAACAGCCTTGGATATGATGGCTTCGAGACGCAGAGGACATGGGACGGAAGAGTTGTTGGCGGTGAAACAAGAGGAGGAGTCAAGGAAGAGATTGCTAGACGAACTCAGGGATGGTTCAAGAAAGTCGCTGGGTTGTGAAGGTGATAAGGACATGCTTGTAGGAGAGAACAGAACGACAGATACATGATTGATGATTTCAACGAGTTGGATGATATGAGGAGAGATCAACTGCAGAAACGAATAGCATAGACACAAGAAGCGTGACAGAATGCATGAGCATTGTGCATAAAATTAATAAGATTGCACAAGAAGTTGTGCATATATGAGCGGCTGCTCCACATCTCCCCAATTAGGCAGGTTGAAGAGATACCCAAAGAAGCAAGTACAACCTGCACTCACGGCGATATCGAGTATAAGTAGCTCCAGCGACCTCTACCATGTCTCTCTTTTCTCTGTTTTGTGTCTCTCCTCTATCGGCCACATCATGCGTACTGCAGCGGCAGCCTCGCTGCTCCTCGCAGCTACAACTCCATTGATCTCAGCACATGGCGACCACCATCACCACGCCCAACGAGACTTTACCCCTGCTGAACTCAAGGAACTTCAGGACAAATGGGGTACTGACTTTGGTTTTGGTGGCATCAGCACCTTCGCGCATCTGCCTCATCACAGATGCTTGACGAATCCGCAAACACCATTTGACATCGGCATTATCGGAGCGCCCTTCGATACTGCAGTTTCTTATAGACCTGGCGCTCGCTTTGGACCTCGTGCTATTCGCGCGGCCTCGGCGAGACAGACTGCTTTGCGTGGATACAACCCGAGGGCAAGTCTGAATCCATACACCTCTTGGGCTAATGTGGTGGATTGTGGTGACATTCCTATCACACCTTTTGACAATGGATTGGCATTGCGTCAGATGAGTGAAGGCTATAACGAGCTTGCCACCAGAGAAGCTGTTCCTGCAAATGCGGAGTCGGCAGCGACTTACCTGCAGACCGCAAAGATTGTCACTCTGGGTGGCGATCACAGTATTGCTCTTCCAGCATTGAGAGCTCTCAACAAGAAGTACGGCAAGCCTGTTGCTGTAGTGCACTTTGATGCCCATCTGGATACCTGGCACCCATCTAAGTACCCTTCATACTGGCTCGACCTCGATGACCCGACCACCCAGTCCTTCTTCACCCATGGAAACATGTTCTGGATGGCTGCAACAGAAGGCTTGATTGCAAACGGGTCTTCCATCCATGCTGGTCTCCGCACTAGACTATCAGACGAGGACGACTACACAAACGACACAGAGCAAGGGTTTGTCCGCATCTCATCAGACGACATTGACGATATCGGTACAAAGGGAGTCATCTCGAAGATTCTGTCTACAGTCCCCGCAGATTATCCTGTTTATCTCTCCATTGATATCGATGTCATTGACCCTGGTCTTGCTCCTGGTACTGGCACTCCTGAGCCCGGCGGTTGGACTACAAGAGAGTTGATTCGTATTCTCAGAGGCATTGAGGGGCTCAATGTTGTTGGCGCTGATGTTGTGGAAGTTTCTCCGGCATATGACTCTCAGGCTGAGACTACTGCTCTCGCAGCAGCTCAGGTTGTCTATGAGGTCGTCACTTCCATGGTTAGAAGAGGTTTGATGGAGTTGGCAAGAACGAAGCAGGAGGTTGTCAAGGATGAGCTGTAATCTAGAGTTTGGCATCTTAAAATACTTACTTGGAAAAAAGTCAATGCTTTGGATTCTGTATCAGACAAAAAATATAAGGATAAATTGGCGATCTGGTCGATTACGCGAATCGGTTCGCGTTAACCGGAACTATCTGCGAGATTATATATGTGATAGGTGAAAACTGAACAGTAGCAAGAAATCACATTATAGGTATATCAAGACAGTGAGAACTGACCTGTGTCACGGAGATCTCTATCTTTGTCCAGAGACGTCTTCCTGATCTCATCTCAACAGATAGTTCAGTCTTTCGTAAAGACGATGTGTGGGCCATCTGAGGAACAGGGTCGCCCTTTTCACGACCAAAATCTCCGACGTCATCTATCAACCACGCGCATCGCCATTCTAAACACCTCGACAACCTTTTCACAAAACTCTTGCGCTCTCGCGTCTTCTACCTGCGTCACAGCATACATCCCTCATACAGTTATCCATCATGCCTGAGGTATATATATCTCTTCTTATAGTAACATCCCAACCAAAAGCTAACGCGTCTCACAAGATCGGTGAAGTAGCGCGTATAGTGCACTTTCTGCGCAAACACTGCGCCAACAAAGTCATCTCAGCCGTCCAAGTCCAAGATGACAACATCGTCTACGGCAAAGTCGGAACTTCAGCAACAGCCTTTCAAAAAGCAATGACCGGCAAGAAAATCCTTGATGCAAAGCAGCAGGGCAAGTACTTCTGGCTGGAGATGGAAGGCAAAGTACATCCTGTGATGCATCTGGGCATGACTGGCTGGATCAAGTTCAAAAATGATGATACAAGTCACTATTATCGCAAACCGGAGGATGAAAACAAGCCTCAAGAATGGCCACCGAGGTTCTGGAAGTTTATCCTGCAACTAGAGAATGACAGTAATGAGATTGCGTTTGTCGACCCAAGAAGATTGGCTCGCATCAGGCTTGTGGAAGCTGAAGCACAGGAGTTGCGCAACACTACACCGCTGAAGGAAAACGGACCTGATCCTGTGATTGACAAGGATATCTTGACGGAAGCTTGGCTGGAGGAGAAGCTGAAGAGCAAGAAAGTTCCTGTCAAAGCATTGATGCTTGATCAAGCCAACATCTCGGGTATAGGCAACTGGGTTGCTGATGAGATTTTGTATCAGGCAAGGATTCACCCTGAACAATACAGCTACACCTTCTCCTCTGCCCAGATTGCAGCACTGCACAAAGCAATGATGGACGTTTGTAGTACTGCAGTGGGAGTGTTGGCAGACAGCAGTCAGTTCCCGGAGACTTGGTTGATGAAGTATCGCTGGGACAAGGGCAAAAAGGACAAGAATGTCTTGCCCAATGGCGACAAGATTGTGCATCTGAAGGTCGGAGGCAGGACTTCAGCGATTGTACCGAGGTTGCAGAAGAAAACCGGCAAAGTGGCTGGCGATGTGGACTCTGCGGATGGGGTGTCAGAGGACGTAGCAGACTCGCAAGAAGAAACGACCCCGAAGAAGGCAAAGGCGACAAAGGCCAGGGTGAAGAAAGCAGAGACCGTCAGCACAGACGAGACTATGAACAGAGACTCAAAGCCAAAGCGTACGAGAACGACGAAGCGCAAAGCAGAGCCTGAGGATGAGGAGTCAGACATGGCCGTCGAGGCGGAAGAAGAGGTCAAGCCTACAAAGAAGAGACAGACCAAAGCGAATGGCAGCAAAGCCACGAAGCCAAAGACCGAGAAGAAGGAAGTCAAAACTGAGGAAACTGTTGCTGAGGGAGGCACAAGAAGAAGGTCAGGCCGGCTGTCAGGAAAGGGCGTTTAAAGCCATGTCGTCAAACGTCGTAATATGCGATAGAATAGAGGAAAGAACCATCGAAAGAATTAAGATCAACAACAACTATTATTTTGTCACCCAAACCCAATGCTCTGGCATATCTCTGCCTGGTTTCGCCGAAACTCATTATTCTTCCATGACCTCAATCATCCAATCTAATCCTTCTTTAGCCTCCTTGATGATTCCATAGCACCATGCTAAGACAAAACAATGCATCAAGCCCTCCCAATGCAACCATCTACCCGCAACGCCCTGTTCCTTGCAAAGCTCCGCAAAACACCTTGCTGGTGGTGCCAGCACATCCGCACCCGCGCTAATACCGTAAATCGCAACTCCCCTCTCCCTGAACATACTGACATCCGCCAGAACTGGCGAGATCCAAGGCGCTTCTGCATCAGCCCCACGACTCCAATTTTCAGCCGTGCCATTCGTGAACTTAATGCCCAGAAGCGGATCCTTCTTGTCCGCTGCAACCAAATCTTTCTCATATGGTGACGAGGCCACAGGCTGTTTCCTCAAATCCACTGCAGGAGAAACCAAGACCAGCTTTCGTGGCACGGGTGCTGAGGGCGTTGATGATAAAATTTTGACCATCAACCCCAGTACTAGGTTGCCTCCGGCTGAATCGCCAGCAAAGATGACCTCTGTCGTTTCCTTCTCCGTTTCAGTGATTGGAGAAAGGTGAGGGTATAGTTTTTCCAGCATTGGCAGTGAGTCTTTCGCTGGCGAGTTCGGCGCCAAAGGGTATGACACAATCGTCACAATTGAATTAGGTATCCGATGGCAGAGCTCTGCACAAAGCTTCCAGTGCTCGGGGCTTGGTGGCATCTGCCAACCTCCGCCTGCGAAATAGACGATGTTCCTCTTCTTCGCCATGCTACCTTCTTTCGTCGATGATGGGACCTTGGGTTTCATGTCGTAGAGCCATATTCCTTCTACTTGTCGTTCGATCACATTGCATCGTTTCTTTGCTGTCTTGTGGACGTCGAGGTATGGTGATCCTGCAGGAAATTCCTTCTTTGGTTTGATCAGGGAGGGGCGAAAGGGTTTGATTAGTGTTTGGAGTAGAGAGATCGGCGTTGACTTGTCGGATCTAGTTGAGATTTCCATTGTATTGGTATGTTGTGGTATCGTTGCCATGTCGTCGTTGTTATGTTTGTGGTGGAGTTAACAATGTGTCTAGGTTCAGGAAGAGGTTTTGGCGAGGGAAAATATGTTATTCACGTAGTAATCCAGATGACGTTCTTGCTATAGAACAGGGGAACGGTGGAAAGAGAAGGGGAAGAAACATAGACATTTTCATGCTGTCGCCGTTCCCTTGTTGTTTTTGATGACGTATTGACTCGCTTTTTTGGTTTCAGTCACTGTCGTGCATGAAGCACCTAAACCAGGAGCCTCATCTCGGGACATCAACATCGAACCAACTCTCAAGGACTTTAGATGCCGATTGACTGTTACTATGTCAAACACACTGGGTTGAATGTCAGAAAATGGTATAGACTGACTGTAGTGAGGATGATGTCATACTTGTGTTGCTGATGGGACAACCCTGCCCAGCTATTGGTGAGCCTCACCGTCGATGTGATAACTGCCTTGTAAAAAATTCGAAGTAGATCGAGCTGGGACTAGTAGAGATTCCAGTGTAAGGACGCGAAAATTTTTGGGTTGCTCGTACAGATTGGTTGTGATCAGACACAGATTTGACCGAGCTTTGGTTGAGAAATCCTGAAATTGACACAGTTCTCGACCGTTCGTAGTGCATATGCAATGGTTCGCAATGAGGCGAATCTGAAGCTTGTATTCATGTCGAGAAGCAAAGAGCATTCAGCCATTCAAAGCAAGACACGCATCCACAGCAGACCCTACCCGCCCTTCCTTCATCCTCACGACATCGCTAATAACCTCACGGTCCAAGTCTGGGAACATGCCTTGTAATGTTCTGTCATCGCGTTAGCAGAATAATCTTGGGGCTGATGGTAGTGCATTGAACTCACTCAACAACGACCTGATGTTCCTGCGCTTGTATTCTCTGGGCCTCTGCCAGATCAGTGCTTGCCTGTCTCGCAGCAGAGTCCTGGGAGCTACGACCGCGACTAGACTCGAAGCTCCTTGCTCGATCCATTTCTCTTCGCTCGGGACTCCGTAGTTTACGAGTATCTTCGGCACTCTTGCGGTGTTGCGGTAGTGCTGGCAAGCCAGAGGACAATCTAGGCGTAGATATAGGTTGAGGCGTGGCGAGTTGTCGGGGAGATGAAGACGAAGGTTGGCTCTCGTCGCTGAACATGCGGCCTATGGTGGACAGCGGCTTCTGAATCGTGCGAAGGAGGCCTGTGACTGCCGCATTCTCATCTTCAGGCTCACCAGAAGAGTCTTTCGAGCGCACGCTGCCTCCTCTATGTAATGGCGTTCGCTCGCCTTCAGTGCTATTTCTCGTGGTTACTTCCGGCCTGCTCAGACTGCTCTTCTCATTCAGTTGAGGATGCGTGGAATGCGACGAGCTGGCAGCGGCCTTGTCGTGCGTCGAGGCTTCGTACTCGTCTGCTTTGTGACCTTCAGCGATTTGACTCACAGCGGCCTCGACGTTCTTCTCGAACTCCTCATCGGTGATAGTCAGATTGGTACGGTCGAGGTTCTCAATAAATGTCACGACACCCATCAAGGAGGATATGTAGTATCCAGCCTCACCTCCGAGCTTGTCCTGGTTTCTGAAGCGTAAAATGTATTGCACATTGCTGACGAGATGGTCGGGATTGGCGCGGAGGACGGTATAGATGAGAAGCGGCACGAACGCATCGGCGGACTGATCGCTCTTGTTGTTCTTGAGGTAGCCAAAGATGACTTTACAAGTGTTGAGAATGCAGATGACCTTATCGCGTGGGGCACGATATGAACCGATCTTGAGCAACTCTTGCTGGGCAAGGACAAGGAAGCGACGGCCTTTGTCGGTGATGGGGGCAATGTCAAGATGTTCCTCTCGGATCCAGCCGTAGATTCTTATCTTTTGTGCGATGACCGCGTCTCTCTCTACATCTTCTTGATGTTGGCCTCTTCTCCCTGGACCGTGTGGTGAATGTGTTTGATGGCGGAAGCGTCTCTTCGTGGGAGAACTGACCTCCTGGGCGGGAATGGCAGGCGAAAAGGTCTGCGAGTAGAGTCTGTTCATGACCAGCTTCTCCATGCCCTCCCTAGCATTGTCGAATTCAGCATCGCTCACAGTCCTCCACACCTCGCATTGTGCCATCTTCTTTGCAATGAATTCGAGAAAGTCGGAGATGATCTTGACCTGCTCGTGTACGGCCCACTGCTTCTTGCCGAACTCGTTAAGGAAGGATCTAAGGAAGCGGGCGACAGGATCGGCTGTGCGATGGCGGAGTTGTTCTAGGAAGCGGTGAAAGTCGAAAGGAAGAGCGGGCTCGGCATCGGGAGAGGGCGGTGGTGGTTGGAAGATGGACGAGGCAGGACGTGGAGAATCTGTTCTATCGGGCTGTTGGATGCTGACGCCAGAGATGGAGCCAGGACGAGCAGCGTCAGGGCTGAAAATGTAGCTGTCGCGAGATTGAGTACGCTGCAATTTTGGAGAGGTCATTGTGCTTGGCGAGGGCGAGGGATCTAGACTCGAGGTGCGCATGGGCAGCTGTGACATGTCGAGACGAGGCGACATGATCTTTTGCAAGGCTGGGTCTGCGACTTCGTCGTCCATCTCGTCCATGATGTTGGCAAGCTCATCGTCTTGGGCATACTGATGGCGCAGGAACTTGTCATCTTTTGGAGGTGGTGGAGGAGGTGTCGGTGACCGCACTCTTTCCTTCTCTTTCTCCTTTGCAGCCTGTGGTTGTGTTGGCTCTGGTTGCTTTTCGTTCAGGCTTAGGTTTTGTGTCTTCTCTGCCAAGTCGTTGTTTGTTGTTGTCGAAGACGTCGTCGGCTGTTGTGTGGTGGGATGTGCATTTTCTGTAGGGATACCGAGGTCGATCAAGACATTTTGCTCCTTCTCGGGTTCCATGTCGTAGTCTTCTCAATTCACGAGTTGCATTCCAGTGCTGACGGAGGCCCAACTTCTCAAAAGCCCGCAGCTTACCAAGACAACAAACACTGCTATGTTCAAGCCTAGTTGAGCTCGGCGAATACAATCTGCGTGCAGAAGGCGCGAAAGGGGCCAGGAAAGAAGAAGAGTATTAGATATTAGGTATGTTCCTTGCAGATTCAAAAGCCCAAGTCCTTGAGCTCTTCGTAGCCGATGGCGAGGGACCCTGGGCTCTTGCTCCTGCCACATGGGCCTCGTGCAGCATGACGCTTGGCTTGGCACCTTCCTCCTGCCAATCTTCCACCCACCATCCTTCGATTTGTCTTGACTCCTTTCGTTGCGCACCATGTGTGGCATCTTCTGTTCTGTCAGTGCTACTGAACACGTAGCGCCCGAGGACAGACATCGCGAACTTTTGGAGAGAAGAGGCCCTGACTCTTTGAGAGAGCTGGCACAGAAGTCAGAAAATGTTTATCTAACCTGTTTCAGCACTGTCCTCGCTCTTAGAGGTGACCACACTGTTGTCCAGCCTGTCCAGCATACAGACTACCCTCATGCTTTTCTCTGTTGGAATGGTGAAGCCTGGAAGCATGATGCTTCCCCCATCTCAGGCAATGATTCAGAAGTCGTCTTTGCAAATATTTCAAGTCTTCTCAAAGCCGAAGACTCTGACGCTCCTGATTCCGCAAGCAAAGTCGTGCAGCATGCTATGAATTTGATCACTGGCCCCTATGCTTTTGTCTACTACGACCCTCTGTCAGACACTCTATTCTTTGGTAGGGATCCTCTTGGACGCCGCTCATTGATGCATCACGTCGATGACAATGGTAATTTCATTCTTTCTACCATCTCTGGTTCACAAGATCAAGGTTGGGAGGAAGTAGAAGCTGATGGTATCTACTCGCTCAATCTCAAGTCCTTCTATGCATCCATCCAGAAAAAAGAGCGGTGCATACCAACACGCCTTCCCTACGCCTCCTCCCCAAACACTGTCATTTCTACACCCTCACCACCTGAGTCGCCTGTAACTCCGCTCAATACCTCATCTCCTGCTGTTGCGAAGGTCGAGGCCTTGCTGCGTGACTCTCTGCGTCTACGCATATCAAACATTCCTGCCTACTCCCTGCCATCACATCCTTCAGCGAGTCTTGCTGTTCTCTTTTCCGGTGGTCTAGATTGCACTCTCCTGGCACGACTCTCACACGAGATACTCGATCCAGCACAACCAATCGACCTCCTCAATGTCGCCTTTGAGAATCCTCGAGTACACCGCCGACCAGCAGGCGCGGATTCCGACGACTCCTGGTCACCTTACGAACTATGCCCGGATCGCATTACCGGACGCGCTTCTTTCGCTGAGCTCCAAGCGATCTGCCCGGACCGTGTTTGGAACTTCGTTGCCATTGACATCCCGTACCAGGAATTCCTCGCTCATAGACCAGAGGTTGTCAGCTTGATCTATCCTCATAACACTGAGATGGATCTGAGCATCGCTTCTGCTCTCTATTTCGCTTCGCGAGGTCAAGGGCTAGTAAACTCTGAATCTGGAGAATCGACCAGTTACACGTCTACAGCAAGAGTACTGCTCTCTGGGTTAGGTGCCGATGAGATGTTTGGCGGCTACACTCGACATGATACTGCATTTCGGCGCCAGGGTTTCTCTGGTCTCAAAGATGAACTCGATCTCGATGTTGATAGGCTGGGTAAACGCAATCTTGGTCGTGATGATCGCGTACTGTCCAACTGGGCAAGGGAGACAAGATTCCCATTCCTTGATGAAGATCTTGTGAGATGGGCAGTGAATGCTCCTGTCTGGGAGAGGTGTGGATTTGGCGAGAACAAAGAAAACTTGAATAGCAAGACTGGTTCTCTAGAACCTGCGAAGAAAGTACTACGATGCCTTGCCTGGAAACTTGGCATGACAAAGGTCGCCGCGGAGAAGAAACGAGCAGTAAGCAAACTTGTCACCTTCTGTAGCAACCAATGCTGACGACAATCATAGATCCAGTTTGGCGCCCGCACAGCCAAGATGGAAGTGGGCCGCTCGAAGGGAACGCAGGCCATCACTTGAGGGTCGATTACCTCACTTTCCCTTCTTGGTCTCATTAAGCTCAGGGTTGTAGTACTCAGGATAGGATCCTTTGTACCCCAATAGACCTCCACCGATCCAGCGGCCAACGACGACTCCCAAGCCATAAGACAGATAATGCATCAACCATGTAGGACCTACATCCCAAGCCAAGCTCACCTCAGCCGAGTCCAGAAATAAGAGGAGCTGCGGGAGACTTGGAGAAACGTTTTGGCGAGTGCAATCTTCGAGATAAGAATACAGGTTCCGGAAGAAACGCTCGCTAACACCAAGATCGGTGGCTGTGATTTCTGATGACAGAGGAGAAGTTTCTGCGGATATCTCAATGACACAAGGACCTTTGTGTGAGGGGTCTGGGGTGAAAGTGTGAGGGGCACCGGGCGTTATAGAGATGCGCGGGTTGGGATCCGTAGCAGATATCTTGGTCTCCTTGCCATTGAGTGTGAAGATGAAGGTTCTGCGGAAAGTCAGTTCACAGCCATATGCATAACAGTCCACAGGCCGAGGCAACGGACCCTTGTGTCACTGTGAAGAACTCTTTCTGATGCCAGTGCCAATGCAGGGGCGGGCGTAGGATATCGCGTTGAGTCTTTGTGATTTTGGAAGAATCTGGATATGTCTGGATCTCCAAGACACTGTTTCCAGAGCGAGGAGTTTGCCATTTGGTCGTTCTCGCCCCGTCACAACTGATTAGCGAGTCAGACTCTGCTGTTTTGGTGCGGACAAAGGACATGTCTGGATTTGATGCCAGTCAGAATATTATTTGCGACTTCGAAAGAGTGCTGAGAGATGTCGACGATGAAAAGCGGTCTTTTGAAGCTATGACCATCAAGCACATGTCTGAGGGGAGCCGTTTGGAGCATGAGCATGACGTGCGGCCCAGGCGTTTGTTTGTAGACGCTCCTTTCGCTGCGCGCTTTTGAAGACAGATTTGCGAGACTGATTAGACACTGAACTTGCTTCCGTAGAGTCAGGAATCACTATGAACTCAGATCAACAAGACCACATCGCTCAATTCAGTGGAATCACAGGAGCATCGCCAGAGATCGTGAGTCTGGAATGAACTCTACCCCACATCCGTCACCAGTTCTTCTATCCACCTTCGATACCTTTCTGTTCTTTCAGTCATCATCCATCTAACAAATACCGAGCTAGGCACAAACAGCGCTCACTGCAGCCAACTGGGATATCGAACAAGCCGTCACTCTCTACTTCGCCTCTCAAGACGCTCCTGCCGAAGACAGCGACGACTCTCTACAAGAATCCGCCGCTCCATCCCTGCCTTCAGCGACCACTGCTGCAAACCAATCCTCTTCATCAACCAACCGCACTCCACCCTCAAACCGTTCCAACATGGTGCGCACCTTTCGTGATCTTCAGAACGATGAAGACCGTGGCGACGATGACCACAGCGACCAAGATCCTCAGCAGGACTTTTTCGCTGGAGGCGAGAAGTCCGGTCTAGCTGTCCAGGACCCCAACAGACGCCCTCAAGATCACTTCAACAACATCATGAACCAAGCCAGACAGTGCGCTCTACCAACCTTGAGACTTTGTCATTCAAGCTAATCCCGTGCCCAGGAACCGCGATCGTCCCTCTGACGACGATGAAGACCAAGCACCCGCCCAGCCCAGCGCCTTCCAGGGCCGCGCTCAAACTCTTGGAGGCGACGATGCTCCTTCACGTGTCATTGAAGACCCCAATGCTTCTGTCGCGCCTAGGGGATCCTCACTACCTCGTGTGAGCCGCACTCTCCATCTCTGGCAGGATGGTTTCAGCATCGACGACGGCGAGTTGCACCGCTTTGACGACCCTCAGAATGCTCCTGTCCTCGCCCTCATCAACCAAGGCCGCGCCCCACTTGCTCTGCTTGGTGTTCAGCCAGGCCAGGAGGTCGATCTTCAACTCGATCCGCACAAGGACGAGAAGTACGTTCAGCCCAAGAAAAAGTACAAGCCCTTCAGTGGCTCTGGCCAGCGTCTCGGATCTCCTACTCCTGGTCCATCTGGCTCCACAACTGCACCTGCCGCAGCAGCTTCATCCGCCACAACTTCAGCACCTGCATCGTCAGCACCAAAGGTCGAAGTTGACGAGGCACAGCCTGCCGTGCAGCTTCAGATCCGTCTTGGTGACGGTACACGTCTAGTATCACGCTTCAACATCACCCATACAGTCGGCGACATCTACAACTTCGTCACGGCCAGCAGTACCGCCAGCCAGAGCAGAGCTTTCACCCTCATGACCACCTTCCCCAACAAGAACCTCGAAGACAGGAGCGCCAAGCTCGAGGACCTGCCCGAACTCAAGCGCGGCGGTGTTGTCGTTCAAAAGTGGAATTAGCCATATCCATAAAATTGGGCCAGTTCATTCAATCAGGGCATTGATGGAAGCCTACGACCAAAATTCAAACATTCGATCTGCGGATCAAGGGATAGACTTGCAACCTCGACATAGGTCAAATGACAAAAATCATCATTAAAAATGTTCTTCCAATTTTCTTGCTCTAGTTTATAGTGTAGCCACCATCAGCGACCAAGGCAGCGCCCTGAACAAAGGAAGACTTGGGCGAGCAGAGGAACAGAATGCAATCAGCTATCTCTTCCGGCGTGCCTGCTCTGTTCATGGGAGCAATGGAGATGGCTTTCCTGACCTCGTCGTTGATAAGTGGTGTTTCAATGACACCAGGGCATACGCAGTTAACCCTGATATTGTGTGCCGAGTAGTCCAAAGCGTCCGATTTGGTCAGACCAATAATAGCAGCTTTTGCCGAACAGTATGCCGCTATAAATCATGATCAGTGTTCATCCTCAGAGATGCTTTGGCGAGTAGACAAGGAAGTGGAGTATAGCAAACTTACGTGCTTGAGGTCTGGCCACAATACCCAACTGTGAAGCCACATTAACGATAACACCTCTATTCCCCTGCCTTCCATTTTGACTTTCCAGCGGTTCTTGATTCACCATAATCTTCAACTCTTCCCTCGAACACAACCAACTTCCTCTGTAATCTACATTTACTATGTGATCAAACTCCTCCAAAGTCATTTCGTGGGATTTCTTTGCAGCGCCCAAGACGCCTGCACAATTTACCGCATAGTCGACTCTGTGAAAATTTTCTAGGGTTTTCCGGAAGAGATCGCGGACGGATGAGGGAGAGGATATGTCTGTAACCACTGCGAGAAACTCTACAGAAGGAAAGGATTGGGATAGGGAAGAGTGGGTTTGGTTCAAAGAGGATTCAGAGATGTCGGCGAGGACGATGCGGGTGCAGCCTTCTTGGGCAAATGCTGTCGCTGTTGCTTTGCCGATGCCTGGGTGATGTGTTTGTTGGTATAACGGAGCTGATACATTATGGTGGGGTAGGAGAGCTTACCGGAGGAGGCACCGGTGATCAAGGCGACACCGGGAAAGGTGGTAGAAGACATGACTGAGGCTTCAGAACAAGAAGATCGCTTTATTCAGGATATTCAGAGATTGGGACGAGTTCTTAATTCAATGGTAAGGTGTCTCTCTACACTTAGGTCATTTGCTTATCGATAGAATTTGGGGTCAAATAGGTGGGGAAGAAGTGTCATGACCCCAAGAAGATGGAGGGGAATAGACGAACTGTTGGAGTTTGATCTATAATTAAAAATGGTTTCATGCATGTCGTCGAGGACACTCTGTTGCACGAAGGTTCGATGAAACAGATGGACAAGTCAAAATTGATTGGCAAAGGTTGCACAGCCTCGAGAGTCGAAAGGGGAAAAGTTGATAGGCATGATGAGCATATTCTGAAACGGCAGCGGCAAGCAACCCGGTCGTCTATCAAACGCGAAACAGCGACAGGTGACGAAGGCTAGGAGCGAGAGAAGGGGGAGGATAGATTATCGCAAGAAAGATAACAAAAGTTGTCATGTTATCATGCAGTCTGTCGTGTGTGTATACTAGGTCAATAGGGGAGAGATGGGTGGGGACTTGGCAAGCGGGCTTGAAACGTTGATGAGCAAGCAAGCGGCATACGAAAGAATTCAGGAGGAAGGTTGAAAAAGAATGGTAAACGGCAGGCGCGACAAGGGGGCGGCCAACCTGTCGGTACATTTTGCGACATGGTTTAACAGTCGTACATCTTCTTGTTCTTGTCTTGACGAATTTGCAAAACTCTCTCATCGCGTGTAACCTTGATATTCGGCAGCTCGTCCGCGACTGAGCATCCCTTAATTATCCCAACTACAGCCAGGCAGAGCAGGCCCCTCTGTTCGCATTCCACAGCAGACCAGACATGCTGCTCTCACCCTTTGGCTCGCCGCGGCGGTTGGCTCTTCTGACCGTACTCGTTTTCCTGGCTCTTGTCGTGATCGTGCGAAACTCGACATATTCCGAATACCTCCCCAAATACGACCTTCCAGCATTTGGCAAAATCCAAGCAGACACATCGACCGGCAGCAACAGTTTCAAAGAAGACTCGTCACAGAGCGGGCTCTGGCAAGAGTACAAGCCCGATCAGGACAAGGTCCAACCAGCGCCGCCCCCACCACCAAAGGAGGAAGAGTACGAGGAGAAGATTGAAGTCACAAGCATTGCTACCTCGGTCTCGCATTCGACATCCAAATCTTCGTCGACATCCGCCAGCACCTCTGGTTCAAAGACGGCTTCTTCTGCCAAGATCACACCTTTCGTCCATGCATCGTACAAGGAGCTGCAAGCAAAAATCCAAGAGTTCATTCAGTGGGATCGTCCGAACAAGGGTGACCATTGGCCTGGCTACGGCGACTATGTTGATAAGGACTATGACCCGAACCGCTGGGAGGGTCTTCCTATGTATGTAGCTCAAGCTGGTCTTTGATTTCACCTTAACTAACGTGCTTGCGACAGGAACGTCGATTACTACAGATCCAACGGCATCAAGCAGCTCCAGAACATGGGCGTGAACGCTACCGTATATAACCCCTACCCCGACTACAACTCATCCCAATACAAGAAGAGATGGGCAGGCGAGTACGCTTCCTGCAAGGGCCCTCGCGGTCAGACACTCGACAAGAGCCCGGAAGATTTGGTCAAGGCCTGGACACAACTCCCACAAAACTTTCCCAACATCAGTGTCGGAACTGATTTGGGCATCGACCTTCATTCATGCTTTGACCGCGAGTCGCGCTACGCTCCTTACGACAGCTCCTCCGCGAATGCGCCCAACTGGGAGACGGTCAAATGGGGCCAGCTTCAAAACGAGTGTTTGGACAAGAACAAGGAGAGATATGGCGAACACCAGCGCAAGCCTATGCAACTCAGACCCAGCAGGACTATGCCCAAGGACGATGATTCTGCGAAGGCCGAGTCCACAGCTGGTCCTAAGCCTCATCACCGCACTGCTATTCTGATCCGCACCTGGGAAGGATACACATACACTGAGAACGACCTCCAAGCCATTCGCTCCCTGGTCACCGAAACCTCTCTTCTCAGCGGTGGAGAGTACCAAGTCTACCTCTTTGTCAATGTCAAGCAACGTGATGCTGACATCTATGATAACGAAGAGACCTACAACAGTATCCTGCATCAAGTGGTCCCTGCTGAACTTCGCGATATCTCAGTCCTCTGGACCGAGAAGGTATGCGAAGAGTGGTACCCCAAGGTTGGTGACTGGCAGGTGTACTGGATGCAATTCATGCCTCTGCAATGGTTCTCCAAGACTCATCCTGAGTTTGACTATATCTGGAACTGGGAGACGGATGCTAGATACACCGGTAATCCATACCATTTCCTCGAGCAAGTCAGCTATTTTGCTTCAAAGATGCCCAGAAAGCATCTTTGGGAGAGAAACGCTCGTTTCTATCTACCTGAATCTCACGGAGACTATCAATCTTACCTTGCAGATACTGACGGAGCCATTGTTAATGCAACAAAGCAAGGCATCATGACCCCCGTTTGGGGAGCTCAACCCTATGCCGCAACACAAATTCCTCTGGGTCCAACACCACCCGGCAAACAAGAAGACGACGATTTTGCGTGGGGCGTTGATGAACAGGCTGACCTGATCACACTTCAGCCAATTTGGGATCCGAATGAGACACAGTGGTCTTACCGCCACAAAATCTGGAATTTTATTCCCGACGTACGTCCCATCTTTACCGCCGAGAACGGAGCTGCCGAAGGTTTCTATCACGAAGGCTTCGAAAAGATTTCTAGACGCGTCTTCATTAATACTCTGGCCCGCTTCAGCAAGAGGATGCTGCATGCCATGCATGAAGAAAACCGCGAAGGCCGCTCTATGCAAGCAGAGATGTGGCCTGCCACCGTCGCTCTCCAACACGGCCTGAAAGCTGTCTACGCTCCCCACCCAATCTGGTCCTCGCATCACTGGCCCGCGTGGTATGCTGACGCAATCTTCAATGCTGATGGCGGTGTTCCTGCTCGCTGGTCTCAACAGTTTGACTCGGCGTACGCCCACGACCGTGAAGTCAACTTCAAGACCTGGTCTTGGTACTACTCGACCGACTTCCCAAGGACGCTATTCTGGCGCTGGTTGGGCTGGGAAGCCGAGGATGCAGGCCTGGGCAGCTGGGGCGGCAAGCAAGACGAGGAAGAAGGTAAAGAAATCAGAGGAATTGGTATGGTAGGAGGAGAGGGCAAGATGTGTCTGCCTGGTATGCTGTTGCATCCTGTGAAGAAGGTCTCGAGGTCTGCAGGACAAAATTAGAGTATGAACTCAAGCATGAAGGATATGGCGTTCTTGTTCTTTTTTGCTCCGGAGTTGTCCAGATATATATTTCGCGCGTATATACCACATTTTCGTCTCCATATTCAGCTCGGCTTAGTACGCACGACCATTTTGTGGCTGGATCTGGAAGCTGCAAGGCTCATGCAACTTCCCGCAGTTGGGATCCTTCGAGCGAGCAATCAAGCAATGCCCCAAAAGTTCAACCAAGAGGCACCACTTGCATCTTCACTCAACATACATCCTTCTATTACATACGTCAACTTCAATTGTAGATATGGACAACATCATAAGATCTACGCGTATCTTCTTCGGTCAGTCAGAGATTACTTGTTAGATATCGGATAGTGTGCTGACGCACTCCAGATGACACAACTAAATCATGGCAGCGACAAAACGGGTTGGACGATGCGTCCTTGTTTGCGGTGAGTGATCTTATGCGATTCGAACCATGTGAGGTTCTGACTGTCAAATCAGAACAACCTGCACGAGGGCGTCAATGTGATGTGAACTTGTCTCTACGTGCTTGTTGATAAGGAGAGTTTCTAACCACAAGACTAGCTTCACAGAGTTGAAGCCGATACTCAGATCTCTTGATACTCAAGAGCACTGGTCTTCAAGATTGGGAATACCTAACGCTTTTTGGTCAGAAACAAGCGCTCGTCACAATGGATATTTTGGCTGTTCGACATTTCCTTACAGCAAGAGCAAGGCTTTGATTCGATATGGTATGTTGTGACCTATGCAGATTTCAGTTTCGTTTCCAGTCAACACAACTGATCGTTGAGTATTGGCAGATACAATGTTTCGTCTCATTGTTAAAAAGCTCAAGCCACAAAATGAAGAAAAGATCGAGCCACGGAAGAAAGAAAAGATCGAGCCACAGAAGAAAGAAAAGAACTATTATTGGATAGAGATGGGTTACTTCACCAGATGGACCGACAGAAGTAATCTACTCGTCTGCTTTAATACCCCAGAAGAGTTTCGGCAGCAGTTCGTGGATACTCTACAAGCTCGTCAGAACGATGCAGGCGAGTGTGCCCACAAGCCATACGCACTTCACATCATTTTGATGGACTTTTTGATTCACATCTACGACCAAAGCATTTGGGACATGTCAAACAAAGTCCGTGAAATAGAAGAGGTGCGTGCTTTCTGAGACTCTGACTGTATCCTCAAGAAACTGACTGCTACAAACTAACAGCACCGCGAATTCCAGACGAACGAGGATTATCCGGGGCTGCATGAGGTGGCCCGTCACACAGCTCACGCAACTGAAACAGTACAGGTAGCTGGCAATGTAATCGAACGTATGGCGTCTGAGTGTGAAGCTCTGGCAGAAAGAGAAACCGATGATGATGCGGAGCAAGCAATGTATGAACGACTCGAATCTTTGAGGATGCACCACAGTATGATGCTAGGAGTTGCGGCTCGCTCGATCTCGAATGAGAAAAGACTGAGCAATGAAATCAATCTGGTAAAGTTGACTCTGCCTAAATAACCATCACTCGCTCACTGATGCTTTGCTAGCTGTTCAACACGATGGCTCAAAAGGACAATGGTGTCAATTTTCAAATTGCGCGCGCCACCAAAGCTGACGGCGTCGCCATGAAAACTATCGCAATTGTTACCTTGACTTTTCTACCTGCAACATATGTTTCTGCAATATTTGGTATGAACCTGTTCAGCTACAACCCAGACACCCATGGCGGCCACATAACCTATTCTCCTGACCTCTGGCTCTACTTCGTTGTCTCTATACCTTTGACAGCCGCAGTATTGACTATCTGGTGGGTATGGCAGAGACGAGAGGAGAAGGCTGGGGACCTGGAGCATGGGAGTGAGAAAGCTAACAAGAGCGTTGGCACCGAACCATAGTCTTCAAGATCTAAATAGGAGGGTTGATGTCGATGGGAAGAAATTGGAGCTCGAGATTTCTAGCCTAGCGGTGATTGGTCGGTTCTAGCATGTGATACAGTCTCTTTAGGAACATAAGTAGAGATAGAGGGGAGCAGTCAGTTTCATCAGGTCGAGATCATCATAGATCCCTTAAAGTACGATCCTCGCGGACGAGTTTTCTCCATGTGTTCCTTTTCCACGGTCGAGTAAGCGTTCTCTGCAGCATCTTCATCCTCGACATTCGATCTTGCTCTCGCCTTCTTCCTGAATTGTTGCCATATCCAGTACAGCACAAACATAATCAGCGTGAAAACGATCGATATAACGAAATAAATCCAGAGGTCGTGAGAGTATGTAATGTGGCCCTGATGTTCATCCGGACTGAAGTTGAAGAAGTTCATGCCTAGCAGCGCCTTCGGGTGGTGGTTAGTGACATAGTAAGAGGGGTTGAGGTGTATACTTACAGAGACAAATGTTGCTGGTAAAAAGGTCATGGTTACGTATGCAATGGCCTTCATAGATGCACTATCTTCTCTAGCCAATGCTGCAATCATCTGGTTGAATCTGCGATCGAGTCCGGATGACACATTTAAGGTCTACGATGTGTTAGAATGTCAGATAAGTCGGGCGAAATCAATGTGATTGTGACGTTACCAAGTCTTTCGAGTGACCAACGCGTCTGTCATTAGCAAACGCTCTGGCAAGAAATCCTTGCATCAACGTATGATGGAATTTAAAGATCTCACATCGAGAGATAAGTAGCTCTTGGTGCACGCTTGAGCGTAATGCTAGGGTCTCGCAATGTTGAGCTATACATGCGACGACCCTAGCTGCTTCTTGTGTCGCTTCGATCGAGTGAGTCGAATGTCGGGCATTCTCATCTAATTTCAGGAAAAGTTCGGTGCCCTTGTCGTTCTTCACGTCGCCTAAGCGTTAATGACTCTTCCGTATGATATCGTCGGACTGAAGTTCATACCTCTGAATGGCGATTGGAGTCGCGGATGGTCCTCGCAATACTCCAGACACCCGCGTCATAAAATCCCATAAGTTGTTCGAGCAAAAGCTGGTGCAAGCCATAGGGACCAGTCGCGGCGTCGCTGTTCTCTTCTTCGGCCAGCACATTGAGCATATTGCGGGATATATACTTGGGCGTATCGAAGCACAGCAATAGATTACGTCTCTTCGTATATGAGCTGAGAAAGGACATCTCGAACCATCGATAACCCCGCCCAGATCGAGGTGGAGAATTGACTGTCTTGACGACTATCATGCGGAACCAGGTTTGCACGTCTATGATGGTCGTTCCGGAGGAATCGCTTGCCCTAGAGGAAAAGTCTGTAGAGGTCTTTGCGCCGAAGAAGCCGTTGTGTTGAACACACGTTCTTGACCAGAACATACGTGGGATGTTTGGAAAGTGCTTGCAAAGCTCTTTTCGCAGCGAAATATCGTCAAGGAAATGCTGGATGCTCGAGAATCTTGTTTTTGTCAATCTTTGATTTGTGTATGAAACAACTTACGCTCTTACATCACGCATGTTGATACTTTATCATCCTGTTCGATATCAGGTTGTGGACAGTAGAATCTGCAACTCGTCGTTACCTCTAGTAAATCAATTATGCGCGTCTCGACTAATCGCCAGGAATGATTCAACGGTTCTGAATTCATCAGTATGCTCCAACATGCCAGTCAGATTCGTATGTAACAATACCATAGATGAGAGCCCAGACGACCGGATTGGTGTTTTTGCTGTCTGCTATGACTGATGCAGGAGGGCCCGACATGTCTTACTGGTGTAGAGATTTCTCGCAGTCGGACAGAAAGACACTTGATTTTTCAGTTGAACTTTGTCCAACCAACTTTTAATATATGCAAGTCAGCCTTGGTGGCTGGGGGCGGCGCTTCGTAGCCTGCTCTCGTGCATACACACCGTAAAAGCAACGAGTCAGCCTATGCCTTCCACTTACCAGCTTCCAAATTGAGGCTGTCATGAGATGATCTGCCGCAGATCCACATTAGAGGTGGGCAAAGGCATCTCGGCGAGTTTCAGTCAAAAGCCACAGCTACTCGTATCTTAACAAGAAAAGTCGCGAGGTAGAGATTTGGTCTGGTCGATCTAGCCTATGATTCACATCACTGCGATGAGAGCAGATGCTTCTCAACCGTCGGCCTCATACACAAATCATGTTAACAATGACAAGTGGAACGAGATGGTGGAAAGAACAGATGCTGGTGGTAATCGAATGAACGGCTGGTCTGTGCGAAACTGAGCAAAAACACCTTCGTCAACCTCCATCACTCCTTCCTCAAACGACGACCTCTTCAGAGTCGAGGGAAAGCATTCAGATCGGATAGCAACATCTGACTGCAAAGGCTGACGCGACTACATATACGATGTCAGATTACGAGTCTCAGTTGCTAGACATTCCCTTCTTGATCCTCTCTCTAGCTTTCATCAGACATTTGCCCAGCAAATTAGTGCCCCATTCTTCTCTTCTTGACAGTGCTTCCTTAGCATTAAATCCAACACCCCAGACTCTATCACTTGCACTCGCCTCTACGAGCTCCCTCTCACCAGTCAACAACAACCTCTCCCTCAGCTCTTTGTTCTGTGAAAACTTCAAATAGCTTCCTTCTTCGACAACCTTTTCTTTGATCTCGTCCCATGCATCATCATCCCAGTTTGCAACACAACGACCAAGCGCTTTCTGGTCCTTGGGGAATGGAGTCGCAAGGATAGATGCGGCCGTCGAGTCGTCGTGACGGAAGACTGCTTTCTGATGCATCATGTATTGCTCCGCGCAATTGTATGTTTGACCCGTCGAAGGATCTGTAAAAGAAGAGATATACCACTGGCTAAGATAGCCATGGGGTTCTTCGTATTCGCGGTGGAAGAGTACTGGTGGACGAATGCTTTTTTTGTTGTGCTTCTCTCGACCTCTGGAAGGTATTAATTCATTCGTCGTGCCACAAGGTGATGTCTCTGTATTTTCTGGCGGATCTTCTGTTGAATCGTTGTACTCGGATTGTTTTGCTTCTGGATGGCCTTTTGCTGATCCCGCAGGCTGCTTATTTCTCCTAACCATGATGTGTTGATACAGTAGGTCCTAGAACGCAACGGTAGAGGCTTTGAAGTGACTTCTTGAGGATCTTGTGATGATTTATCTGTTTGCAAGTCTGCGTCGAAACTGGAAGAATTAAAGTAGCAGACTGAATAGAGTCACCGCAAGCTCAAATCGACTCGCCGGCACTTGGCATGGTCAATGTACCATCGCACCTTCCAGCGTCGAGCATTTTCTTTCTCGTCTCGTCGTAAAAGAAGTTCTCAGACAGCATCAGCATGCGGCAGTACTTGGAGCTGCTGCATTAATGTATCTAATTGGTGTCTTGAACACCAGTCACAGTAGCGGGTTCTTCAGGTGCGCGCCATCGAAGATCTACAGCAAGCATTGCTGTTCATCTCATCTTGAGGTACTGTGTGACACGGATATCGAGAGCAGCTCCTTGTTAGGTGGCACAGTCAAGTCTATGATTGCGCAATGGTGTGCAAGATAAACAAAGTGAGATGTTGGGGAAAAAAAGAAGAATAAATAAAGAGAAATTGCCCCGGACAGCCCTGGTTGACAGGGGGGTCTGTGCTGATGGGCCATCCCTGAAGCGTGTCCGTAAAGCTCACGGGAGCAACATTTGAACAACAACATCTTCGCTGTTGCAGATCGCACCGACTTGTCGCAGTCTTGTTCGATATGGCACCTCTATTCGCCCTGCTCGGCCTGTTGGGCTTCTTGACTTCTTTCGTCTCAGCAACAGCCTTGACATACAAGCTTCCGCCCAATGGAAAGGAGTGCTTCTATTCACACATTGAGCAGAAGGGCGCAAAGGTTGCCTTCTACTTTGCTGTCCGTTTCTCTTTTTCAACTGCTAGCCATTTATCCATACTAACGCGACACACAGGTTCAATCAGGCGGCTCCTTCGATGGTACTTGACCAGCTCACCCTCCAACCATTACCCACGATTAACACTCTGTCACAGTCGACTACGCAGTCCACGGGCCTAGCTCAGAACCCGGAAAAGAAAAGACCATTCTGGATGGTACCAAGGAACGCCAGGGCGACTTTGTCTTCACAGCCAACGAGGTCGGCGAGTACCGCTTCTGCTTCGACAACAGCATCAGCACCTTTGCCGACAAGATGATCGACTTCGAGATCTCCATCGAGAATGAGCCTCGCGCTGCCAGCATTCCCTCCAAGCAGGGCGCCAACATTGAGCAGACTTCGGCTCTCGAAAACTCGGTCCTCAAGCTCAGCGGCCAGCTCAGCACGATCACCCGCCAGCAGAAATACTTCAGAACTCGCGAGAACAGAAACTTCTCCACCGTCAGAAGCACAGAGCAGAGAATCTTCAACTTCTCAATCATTGAGAGTTTGATGATGGTCGGCATGGCCGGTCTGCAAGTCTTTATCGTCAGAATGTTCTTCCAGACTGGGCGCAAGGGTGAGTTGCACAGAACATGCTTTCCTGCTTCTGCAAAATACTGACTTGGACAACCCAGGTTATCTCTAGAAATGTCGCGACCGGCTATCGAGTTTGCGAACACACGTATACACAAAAAGAAACGCTTTATATGCTCGTCATACTCCGTCATGCTCATTTCCACCTTCAACCCGGCCACATCCTCTCGCAACGTCTATGATCCTGCCATGCAATGCTATGCCCTGCCAATCCTTCAATGCCTCACACGACGAACCTCACGCGACCATCTTTCCGTCCTCAATGACCATGTACTCGTCTCCAACCATCATCTTCATCTCCTCCTCGACCATAAAGTTGTCATGATCACCCGTCAAGGCTTTACTGGCTGGATCATACATGAAGCGTGCAAATGCCATGTAATCAGGAAACACAAACGTGCAGATAGCGTCGTACGCTAAGAGATTTGCTTTGCCTTTGAGCATGTCTTGCATTATGTTTCTGTCGCGTTGGAGATGGTAGGTCTGTTGCATGAGTCTTGGTAACTCAATATGTGTGAAAGGTCTATGCTTACGAGACTGTATGTAATACACCCGTGCTTCATCAAGACTTCTTTGGCCATCTCGGCGTGCTTGGTATTGTAATGTGATATAAAGTCTGCATCGCTTAAGCCTGGCTTCTTCTTGACTAGAATTGTTGCTTTAACAACTTTGCGAAAGCCTGTTGTGTTTGGATAGCCCGCTTCTAGAACCATGATGGTGATAAAGCGATGAAATATGATCTTTCTGGCGAGGAGGTATGGCCGGATTGGTCAGGCAAGTAGTCAGTGGACAGTACAGGAATGATCTAGAAATGTTCTCGGAGAATAATACCTATGTGAATCGAGTTGCCATTGTCTTCGGATGGAGGGGTGCTCCGATGGTGAGAGCGGCGTTAATCGGCGTTTGCAAGTCACCCATGATTAACACACCAAATTGCAGTAACTGTTAAACATCTCACCACTCAGGCTTCTTCATTCTTCGTCTCCACCTTCGAAGGCACTGCCAACAATGGATGAACAATCAACAACATCAGTCTCTCAAGAAACTTACGACCCCTATCGTATACCACTCTTTACCTATGTGACACGCACATCTTCTACCTCCTACACGACAGACATTCGCCTCTTCTTTGCCATCACAGCCTTGACTGCGGTCATTGTGTATGCAAGAGGTTTTGGATGGGAGTTTATGTTGCTGCTTCTGGCTGGAGGAATGGCAGTATGGAAAACTGCAAAACCGAGAGAGGGCATGGAATTCAAGAGAGTGAGGCGGGCATTGAGAGCATAAGACTGGGGATCCAGAAGCTCTTAAATGCTGTAGCATTGCTCGAAGAACGTTTTTGACAGGTAGCATGACCCTGCGAATAGAGAAAGATACATATCCGACTATGGTTCTCTAAGCTTCGTGACGAGCGTATAGCCTCTAAACCTATGATTGATGTAAGTGTCCCCTGGCATCCTCTTGTCACAAACTCCTCGGTCGATACGCTCGCTACTATTGAGCCCATCGGGTTTAATCACCCTGCCTATATCCTCCCACCTCTCGTACTCCATCGTACAGTCGATTAATGGTGGTATATAGAAACAAATCTCCTTGTCCCTCTCCATCTGCTCCTTTGCTCTGGCGCAAGCACGTCTGCCCATTATACTGGTCTGTTTCTCTGTTGGATGACATTTTTCATGATGCTTTCTGGCAAGGGTGGCAGAGATACCGTAATCTTGGTAACAAGCACGGAGGAACTCCAGTCCCAATGTACCAGCCTCGAACTCTACAGCGTGCTGTGAGCAAGCATAAGCCAATGCAGGCTCACAAACACCGGTTTCGGAGTGTGTCCTCACTACACGTTTCGAACATGGTGATTCGCCCAGTAGAACGGCTAGCTCGGGCATGGTTTTGATAATGTATTCGTCCAGAATCATTGGCAAGAAGTATGGTGTGTCCCAAGGCAACACAAACCCGAGATTGTCATCCAACGTGTTCTTCAGAGTGTTGACGACCATGCTGATTGAAGTTCCAACGACAAGATTGAGAGTAGATGATAATGGGAGTTTGTCGAGCTGTAGCCATAACCAGGCGAGAAAGGATTGAAGGAGCAGTAGTCCTACGCTTGTACGAAGGAAGTAGTTAGGTATCAGTCGCATGATGGAGATAATGGCGAAAGAGGAGGGGAATGAGAGTATAGATCACGAAGACACTCTGTCTTTCAAAATGTTCTGTCTCGCTCTGCAATCGATTCATGAATGATTTGGGATCGACAACTTTCTATCTGAAAATAGTAGTACTGGCAATCCTTCTCGGGAATAAGGCTACCGAGCGACTCCGACGGCTCTCGGCTCGCAGCAAGAGATGCATTTTACCAAAATAGAGGGTAGCATGAGGAAAAGAATGCGAGTTGGAGTCGCTATGGACTTCGACATGTCTCATCGACGTTGTTGACAAAAAGCAAAACAATGTGCTCTCCATCAGGGAATCGAACCCTGGTCTCCCGCGCTTGACGAGATTTTACTCTTGACAAGCGGAAATCATGACCACTAGACCAATGAAGATATGCCAGCTGTGCTGGTATTGGTTGATGGAAAAGAATTTGTTTCTGATAATATATACTCACCAATATCAGAGTCGCTTGCCTGGCCGTCTATCTCCGTGAATCTCCGTGAATCATGCAGGCGCATCCACTTAGGGCTGGCATCAAAACACGAGTCTATGCCGTTGAGGTCCAATCCTGCCTCAAGGAACGAGTCTTGAGTGCCCGCTCCTATTAGGGTTGGCAGACAGAAATTCGTTGACTGCTTTTGTGCGTCGACGTTCGTTTTGCCTTCGAAGACGCGGCTGGTTCAACGACGGAAAAGGGATTTTATCGAGTCCCATTTGGCATTCCCATGATTCTTTGAAACAGTCTCGGCCCTAAACACCTTTACTCTTTGACAATCGCCACGGCTCACGACACGAGCTCGTTATATTTCAACTACTCCACGCTCCTCTGCACATCTGCTCACCGAATCTGCTTGGCCACCGTTCTGATTTTTCTACTAACGCTCCTTGATCGTCATTTGCTCGGCCGAGTTCTATTTGCGACGCCATAACACTTTCTCTTATCAAATAGTCACTTGGACTGAAGCCATCGATCAAAGGTCGGACCCAACTTTCGCGGGGCAGGAACACCTCACCTCCACTCGACGCGCGCGAGCGCCGCGATTGCTCTGTCTTCAGCGGCCATCAATGCGCCGGCCAGTGTTGCTGTCGCCTTTGCTGGTGTTGCCGAGCCTGCTAGGCTTGACTGACGCCATTAGCCCGACGTTTCCCAATGGGACGGAGCAAGACAACAATGGCACTGACACAGACGCACAAACAGCCAAGAGCAGGTCTGAATCTATTGACCTTGACAGCTTCTGCTCTGCGCAATTGAGCAGTTTTACTGCGACATACAAGAGTACCGAGATTGCTACTAGCAGGTGGACTTGGTACGAAGGGTTTGGACCCACCGATTCTCTGGGCGATCTGACTGGTTCTGTCACTTCTCAAACCTATTGGACCAGTACTTTCTTATGTAAGTTGTGTACAATCGAAATGCGTGTCCTGCTTTCTTTTCATTGCCTTGTTCGATACTTTTCATTGCCGCTCTTCGCTATGTTTCTCATTCTTGCCATTTGCTCTTTATCTCGTGCTTTCAATCTCGCCAGCCTGCCTTGTTATAAGATCACATGGTCGCGTCTCGCTTCAAGGCTGGCCCCGCCATCAGAATTTAACCATGACCTATCGCGTTTTCCAAATATGCAATCTCGAGATCGAAGGTGTACAGCATGGTGCTAATCCTCAATAGATACACAATATGCCATTCGCGCGTACACACCAAAACCGCCGTGTTGTAGTTCATGTTACATGACGGCAGGAACGATCGACTTCTATTTCTGGCCGGACCAAGCGACTCCAACTGCACCAGTTTCGGGCCAACCCAGTACGAGCGTTAATGCGGACGGATTCACCTTTACATCGCCGAGTGTATATATGGCCTTCAGCTCCTTGGTCGCAAGCAACAGATGCGGTCAAGTAGGAGATGCATGGACCAATACAACGATAGCCTTCGACGCTTCAGAGATCACGACTGCACGGCCCGTCACCACTTTGACGCAATACGAGTCAGACTACGTATCTGACGGCACGACATATAGAGACATGGGCTCAGCTGTGACAACTCAGCCTCCACCAAGATCCTTGGCTTACAATGATGTAGGACAGAATTGCTCAACGATATCTGGATACGTCTATTGGCCTGACAATCCGATCAATGCGGCGAATGCAATGTATCATGATGATCCTTGTCACCCCGTCATATTGCTGCCGCCGAGGTTGATCAGTATGCAACAGCCTTGGATCGATGCAAGCTGTGGACCAGCGCCAGGAATGAGTGGAGCTTACGATCCCCCAAGAGTGTTGACACCAATGCTTACTGGCACTGAACTTGCTACACCAACGCCGTTATGGGGAGGGCGCTTGAGTGGAGATGGAGATGCTAGTCCAGCTTCCAGTGTTGAGACTGGCGCACCTAGTACGACGACGACAAGACCGGTCACCACTGGTGTGACTGCTGTCTATGAATCAACTAAGCCTTCAGCGTCGGCGGAAGGTGTTTCTACCGTCACCTTGACTGCGAATGCTGTGACGACAGCGGTTGTGATTTCTGGTCAGCATGTCGGCACTGATTCAGTCACTGGTATGGCCGGAGCTATTCTAAGTGGCCTTGGAGGCATCGGGTCCGGGTCTAGATCTGGATTTGCATCTGAATCTGAGTCTGAATCTGATGCTGGAGAAAGCGCATCCAGATGGAATCCCACACAGGCCGTTGCCGTATCTGATTTCACTGCTTCTGCTGCCATCTCACCATCCGGTAGCGTAAGTGGCAAGAAAGTTTCAAGCAGCAACATCAACAACAAGAGCCCGTCCTCTGGTTCCGGCACGGCTAGCGGCACTACGAACGTCGGCTCGGCGGCTGCTACGCAAAGTGGTGCAGCGTCAACTATTGCGCCCACAAATTCGGCTATGGCTATTTGGTCATTCCTTGCACCAATCTTCTTCCTGTGGATATGATATCTCACGCATGGGTCCGGTTGCTTTCTCATGGATTCATTATATACTGTTAATACTTTTCATTTGTTGTATCTAGATGGCGGTCTTTTCTGGTCTTAAGATATCCACATTTTAGCTTCTGGCGTTTCTACGGATAAAAGCGGATCTGGGTGTATATAACTGTAGTTGTTTGGTTTTCTTCTTCCTTTTCCCTACCGCATTGCAAAAGAAATAGTGCCGTGCTTGTTCATGTGCTTTATAAAAAATGCTCGAGTCGTGAGCGAGTTTTAATCTTGCGATCACCAACGCCACAATATCCACTAAAATTCTCACAAACCGCTTGAATGCCTGACTTGTGATGTGCTGCAATCATATTGTTATCAGTCTATCAATATAGTCATGGATCTGGTTATCGATGATGGGATCTATCAGCAACCAGGGTGATGCTGTTGACAAGCTGGGCACGAGAGTTTGCTCAGACAGCAAACACGTCGTCATGGACAACAGTCCGTGACGCGATGGTCGCGAGATCATGGCCGTTCGCGTCTGTCTCGCATTCACCTCTGAACCGCTCCTACAACTCCCCATTGACGCCGACGACATGGCTCAGTCGACACAGGTCTCCGTCTCCGAACCGGCCGTCGAGAACGCCATGCCTCATTCTCCCGTGCTCGCCGCCAAACGGTCACACGATCAAGTCGAACCCATCGCAGATGCTGCGCCGACGTTGAAGAAAGTCAAGACGAACGACGACACTCTCGAAGCCAATGGACCTGAGGATATACAGATGAGAGACATTCAGGAGGTGGAGGGTAGAAAGAAGACGCAAGAGACAGAAATCAATGCTGCCCTGGCTATGCTGGACGACGGAGTCAAAGAGTCTGATGCTGCTAGTGGAAGAAGCGAGTGGTGTATGGCCTTGGGAGAGCTTTGAGACTGTCGAGTGTCGGTTGCCTGAACGACAATTGAAACCTGACAGTTTATGAAGATGATATTACTCCGCATCACACTCGCGAGCCAGAGCCTCGCGGAACATCGAGCCTACAATGACTCGAGTGTGAGATGGACACAAGTACGTTTGCCCGCACCGTTCACTGATCTTGCAGGAGAAGAGCTCCAAGACAAAGGCCACGGCGGGAAACAGTGCATTGGCGGGTGCATTTGCGTGTGTATGCGAGAGCCTGCACATGAGAAGATGCTGCGAAGATCTAGAGGCTACTCAGATTGAAAGCAAAAGCTAGCAGAGATGAAATAAAGCATCAAGAATATGCAACTATTCGTACTCGAGTAGAAAGAAAATCGAGCTCCAAAATACTTCCAGCCCCCAAAGCTTTCGTGGTGCTCCAGTACTACATGCTTTGAAGTCATGATACGTACCTATATCAGTTTGGACATCGACGAGATGTGTGTGCTGCTGTATGCATGCGGACAGTGAAGTAAACCCTGATCACCAAAAGCCCCACCAGTTTCGAGCAAAGATCGTCACTACAACGTCACATACGCCTTCCGTAAACAGACCATCATCATTGAGCAGCTTAAATACTTTCTCTCAATCTGTCTCACTCTGAAAACAACAACACACAATTCAATTACAATGTCGAACAGCAACTACCAACTCAGTGAGGTCTTTGATGTCAAGAGCAAGGTCGCCTTGGTCACCGGCGGTGGCTCTGGTATCGGCTTGATGGTATCTCAGCACAACTGATCATTTAATCGAATACATAGAACTGACATCTCCAGGCCACTCAAGCACTTGCTACCAACGGAGCCAAGGTCTACATTGTTGGCCGTACTGAGGACAAGCTCAAGACGGTTCAGCAGACTTACGGAAAGGACATCTCTGGTGAAATCGTTCCCATCGTTGGCGACGTCACCAAGAAGAGCGAGATTGAGAAGCTCGTCAAGGAGATTGAGACCAAGGAGGGTTACCTAGACATTCTTGTCAACAGTATGTCAATATGTGCCTCTCCAAATGAACTACAGCTAATAATTCATTAGACGCCGGTATTGACGCTGGCAAGCTCACTCCCGATGGCAAGACCGCTGAGGAGATGAAGAAGAACCTCTTCGACGAGGACACGTAAGTGTTAATAATAATTCTTTGCTGACACTGTGACTGACATTCTCATCAGCTTCGAGGACTGGAGTGACCTCTACACTACTAACGTCATTGCACCATTCTTCCTCAGCACTGCCTTCCTGCCTCTCATTCAGAAGGCTACTGAGCGCACACACGGCTGGAGCGGTACCATCATCAACATCTCCTCCATTTCCGGTCTCGTCCGCATTTCCCAAGGTCACTTCAACTACAACGCCTCTAAGGGTGCTGTCGTTCATCTCAACAAGATGCTTTCGGCTGAGATCCAGAGCAGCGGTCTCAAGATCCGTGTCAACGCTATTGCTCCTGGTGTCTTCCCTTCAGAAATGACCACTGGCGAGAGCAAGGATGACCAGAAGAGCGAGCTCCCAAAGGAACACAAGGGAGGACTGCCTTCGCAGAGACCTGGCAAGGACAAGGACATGGCTGCTGCTATTTTGTTTGCCGCAAGCTGCCAGTACTTGAACGGCCAGAACATCCCTGTTGATGGTGGCTACCTGATCCAGACTGGTACCTAGACTGCAGGGACACGACGTACTTACGAAGTATGATGATGATGTTTCATGATTAGGAAGCAAGTAGTAGCAGTGCCAAAAACCAGATTTCTGTATTCACTGGAGCAAAATCAACTGTCAAGATATCAACTACCTGCGTCCTCAAGATCCTCCACATCCTTTTCAGACCGCCCTGCATTGTGCCTCTTGACTTCTCTCCTCTGCCACCACCACCAAATGCACAACACGATAACTGTAAGTGGTACAGCGATCACAAAAAAGATCCACACGTCTTTCGTCGAGGTCAGTCGCCCGCCAGGTGTTTTGGAATCGACGGTAAAGAAGTTCATGCCGAGGAGTGCCTGGAATGAGCTTTAGAGCTTGAAGAAGAAACAAGCGAGGCATAATAGAACGCACCGTGACAAACGTCGCCGGCAAAAATGTCAAAGTGACGACTGCGATGGTCTTCATGGCCGCACCGTCTTCCTTGGCGGACAGTGCTATTTGAGAGCTGAAGTTAGACATCTCTTTGTTGACATTACTGTCTCGTTGAGATATCACGTTCGAAAGCTTGGATCCAAGTCTTGTCAGTACTTGTCACATTGCTGTTTTGCTGAAAAACTTTGATAGAACTTACCAACACTTGTTCACTGGTCAGTCTCTTCTCAATGGACACAGACCTCGCAGACAGTCCCCTGAATAAACTATGCAAGAAATTCAGTTTTTGTACTCTCGCCGCGAGTATTGGAGTTCCTTGAGCGAGGTGGATGTATTCGCAGGCATTTTTTATGCGCTCCACAACTTCGGTGGCAATCTGTGTTGTTTCAACACTATGCGCCAGGTGTCGTGAGATCTCGAAGAGGTGTTCAAAGTTTTCGGAATTCCGAAGTTGCACCAGTCCTATTGGTTTGGAGGTGTCGTTGGCGGGAGGATCAAAGCTCGATGAGAGAGAAGATGTCGTCGAAACTCGCCTTCCTGATTCTAAGAGTCGTTGCTATGCAGTCTGTTGTCAGTCTTCTGAGCCGGAAGGAGAAGAGTGCAGCAGAGCAAGTTCGTGAGCCTCCCTGTTGCCTTTATGACTTACTTTCTCAATCCCTCGGACTTTTTTGGCCATGGCCCAAACGCTCCGATCGTACAGTTGCGCCAATTCTTCCAATAGTAGTATGTGCAATGCAAATGGACCTGTTACTTGATCGAGAGCTTTGGGCATTGTTTGATATAGATTCGCGATTGAATCTGCAGGAACGTCGAAACAGAGAAGTAGGTTCTTTGTGTCCGAGGAGGCACTCAGATAACCCGTTTCGTGCCATTCATAATCGGCAGCACCACTTGAGACCGATGTAAAACCTTGAGCTTGAGCTTTGGCAGATGATAGCATCTTCACGATTAGACGGAAGTACGTGGACACGAGTTCCTGATGGTCTGCAGCCGCTGAAGTTGTTATTTGGTCGGTGAAGGAGCTTGCATGACTAGATTCGGGAATAGGGATAAGAGTGCTAGAAGTGTGGCTGCCGAAAAAGCCATTGTGTTCTTCACATGTTTTCGACCAGAATACTGCTGGTGTATGCGGAAACCACTCCTGCAGTTTTTGTTGTCGCTCGACGTGCAGTTTTTTCTGTTGTTCGACGTTGATATTTGATTGTCTCTGTTGCTTGTCGTCGATGTTCGTACTGAATTCCTCCATGGTTGTGAAGCTATCACCTCAATCAGTATTCGTTATGTTATTATGCATCATCACCTCGCATGTGCAAGCACTCGACACACATTATACAAGCTTTGCTTTCAGAATCCTGGCGAAAGTATTAGCTTCAGGATTGAATCATCATGGAAATGAGTATAATACTTTTAGTAAAGTGAAGAGCGGTTTGCTTTCTTCATTCCATGTAGTGGGATTCTTCTTGATATCTAGGTGACCATTAGCAATCGAGAGCCCTCGAATAAGTTCTCTTAGACACGTACCACACACAAATGCTCGCACCACAGGCTCAGATACAAGAGCGGTTGAAGCATGGGTACTTGAAGCCTGAGGAGTCATGCCCTGACGAGGTGAGGCCTGAGGAGATGGAGGTGACATGGTCAATTCTCTCGCTGTTGGCTGAAGGTTAGAAGGCTAGGCGACTTCGAAGTAGAAGACTGTAGAACCAAAGATGAGATGAGGTGGTGTTTCCCATCCTCCTGTTCGCCCTCAGCCTCACTCTCAGCCTGATTTGCCTGATTGGTGGTCTGCATGGAGCCGTCTTTAGTGTATGCAAGTCAGCCGCTCGCGTCGTAGTGGCTGGAACTCCGCGCGTTCGAGTTGTCGCCGTGATGCTGTATCGTCTTGGCAAGATCGGAAACTAACATCCCATCTAGTATGTCGTGAGTTCAAGCCGATAGACATAGAGTCCTCAATTCACAGGCAAGATAATCAATCTGGTGCGCCCGACAGAATCGCGTATCGCTGAAGTGAAGCATAAATTACTCGAAAGTGACCAGTATTTCTGGGGAGCTGAACACCTATATTCCATTTTGATTTTGAGGTTGCACAGGCTCCCTATGTGAGAATTGTTCAACTATCCTCAGTGTTGGCAGAGTTGAGAGCTATCAGGTTGAACGGAGCGTCCGCCCGCAGTTCTCTCCACATCGGGAAATCCGGACCTTCGATCCTGTATATATATGCTGAGTATGCCTCCGGTCGAGAGCGACCTGATCATTGTATCGAAGCAGGAAACTCACAAGACATGACCATCGTACACATTGGTACGTGTGTCATATTGCTTTCATACCAACGAGACTCTAACCTGTTAGTATTCTTCAAGTTTCGTACCGAAGTGACGGACGAGCACAAGCAGAAATTCGTGACAGAGCTGAAGAAACTCAAATCGTTACCCTGTGTTAAAGAGCAGCGACTTGTGGTAGGAGGAGCATCCATAACAGACCCCATTGAGCGGAGCAAAGGGTTCGAATTCGCTCTTCTCAGCTTCCACGAGGACAGAGCCGCGCTCGAAGAATATCAGAAATCCGATGAACATCATCGGTAAGTGGCGGAAACGACTTTCTAGTATTGGCTGACGTTCATCGAACAGTGTCACGAGCACATATATGTTCCCTTATAAGGAGGATTTGATGAGATACGACTTCGAGGTCGATGAGGCGGATGAACATCTCTTGGGATTTTTGCCTCTTGCTGCGGCGAAGATGGCTTGATGATATGTGTAATTCTGTCCAGGTAGATAGCAGTATTCATAAGATCGGACGACCAGTGTTTCTCGATGAGTTTTCAGGCAACAGACGCACATATTGTGATTGTGAGAGTACAGGTGGCCAAGGGTGAGGAGGAGCGCTGTGGTCAAAGCGTCAAAATAGGCAGGCACAGTTGCTCACGGAAAATCCGAAGCCTCCAATGTCCCACTTCAAACGCAAGAAATCACCATGACGGGCGACAGAGCTGCGAGACGGCAATCACGAAGGTCGCAGCGCATACGTACAGCATGTTTACGCTGTCAGCAGCGCAAGATACGCGTGAAGAAAATACCGCTCGCATATGAATCGTTCTTGTGCTGACCGATCTCAAGTGCGACGGAATTTTGCCGACTTGTACTTCATGCAGCAAATCAACCAAGGAATGCGAATATCAAAGTGGGAGCGCTGTTGATAGTCAAGCACGAGCGTAGGTCAGGTTGTCCGAACTTGCAACCAATTCCATTGCTGAGAGGTGGGTCAGGCGATATACACAGCATCTTGAACATCGAATTCGTTGGCTAGAGGATATCATCAGAGACAGATGTCCTGATGTAAACCTCATGCAGGATGCGAGCATAGGAAACGCTCAAAACCCAGATGATCCCTCGGGCGCGCTGCTCGATGTTGCAATAGCTCTTGCACCAGAAGAGTTCCACGAGCCCACAGTGGGGGCCGATGTCTCGAATTTCGCTTACGATACATCGATGGACAACATTGATGCCACAGCGAACAACACCGAGGTTTCAACCAGCAATCCGCAACATGCGGACTCCAGTCTGGCCCACCAAATTGGCCTCGTGTCGCTACCCAACGGAGAGAATCCACGCTATATCGGACCATCCAGCGGTCACTTCTTCACCCAGCTTGTGTGCACAGCTAGCGCATTGACTAAGACTACAAACCCAACTCGTCTCAATCGTGGTAACATCGCCCTTCAGCGCGATAGTGCTCTTACCGAGAAGCTCCTCCGAGATATGCAAACACCGCTTCCGTCAAGCAAAGAATTGACACAGGAACTGACCCGGACGTACTTCAGAACAATTCATCAACATCTGCCGTTCTTACATGAACCAACCCATATGGGGTTAATAGAAGAAATGTTCTCATCTAGTGAGCCAGACCCAGTTGTCGCTTTTCAAGTCTACATGGTGCTTGCCATCTCGTCTATCATGCTATCACGCAGAGACAGAGTTGTGCTGCCCAGCGAAGGTTGGGCCGCAATGGCTATGTCATGCTTCGAGAAGACCCCGCTCGAGAGTTCGACTCGGGGGCTGCAGTGCCTCTTACTACTACACGTCTGGGGTATGCACAGCCCTGCAACAAAACTGAATGTTTGGTATCTCAACTACCAATGTATCGCAATGGTCGTAGATCTCGGTTTGCAGAGAGACGTCACATCTGCGTTGTCAATATCACGATTCGATCAAGAAATGCGAACGAGGCTTTTCTGGGTCGTATACAGCTTGGACAGATCTCTGTGTACAATGATGGGTCGCCCAATAGGGTTGAGAGATGAAGCATGTGACTTGAGGGTAAGTCTCATACAACATAGAGTAGTTGTGATAGTTCGATCAGCTTACTGTTTTCTAGCTTCCCGCAGATATCGATGACACAAGTTTGGCACAAGCAAATGTCAGATCCAGAACAGCCGACGAGCCTCCTAATCACATGAGCTATGCCATACACTTGTTCAAACTTGCCAGACTCAACTCGGAGATGAAGTACATCCTCCATAGCATTTCTCGAGAAACGCCAGCCTATGCTTATCCAGCAGTGCGCTGCATGAAGACCTGGCAAAGGGATATGACTAATCGTCTCGATCAATGGGCTGCTGGGATGCCACAAACGGCAGGTCCCAAAGACTATGTGGCAAAGCTCTGTGATATCCGCTATCACGTGTTGAAGACCCTACTTTTGCGGCCAAGCCCTGGCATACCTCAACCGAGCTCAGATGATTTGATGGCATGTTATAAAAGTGCTATAACAGCTATCAGGCTTTACCACGAGCTATATATCGAAAATTTGCTAGTGTTCAGTTGGGCATCTTATCATTCGATTATGATGAGTTCAGTCACAGCATTCTTTTGTATCTGGACCTGTCCATCAGTTGCACAAGACGCTGTGATTGATGAGCTTGTCTCTGATCTACGCGCAGCATCTAACATCCTCAGTGCTACAGGCGAGCATTGGCCTGGAGCGAAGCGAAGTCGTGACATTCTGGATGAGTTGTCGCACAGGACTATCAGCTGGATGATGGATCGCAAGAGCCGCAGCGATGACGGAACTCCAAATGCGAGTACGGCACCCGCTCGTGATTGTCCTGCCAATCTAGGCTCGAGAGATTATCAGGAAACCTCTCTCAGCAACCAGTCGGAAACTATTGTTACGACAGGACAACCACAAGCCAATGAGCCGGATGTGTTGATGCAACAATACATCCGAAATTGGACACCCGGTCTCGACTTCCTTCCAAATTTTGATGAAATGTCAGACCCAAGCACGGGTTTCTGGACGGGTGACATGAACACAGATACGTTCTTGCAGAATCTCTTTGACGGACTAGCTCCTATGTCGTTTTGATGCGAATGTGTTGAATCGCGTATGATCGGATCTCATCAAGACCAACCGCCAAGACATTGAGCGTTGTGCCTTCCGCTGCACGGGAAATCCGCGCTCTCAAACGGGAAATCACGACCATGCAGCGACCGTGACTCCCTTAAGAACAATGAATATCTCGACCACATTTTGAAAAACCTCAATCTAGAACCTCTACCACAAATTCCTAGGTCATAGACCTCAAACCCAATCAAATCATCGGCCTCTCCTTCAAAACCAAACACTTTCAGAAACAACAACATGGCCGAGTCCCAAACCACCACCAAAGCTATTGTCTCTCACGAGAACGCCAATACCTATGTCAAAGCTGTTCTCCAAGCCGTTGGCGTGTCTGAGCAAGATGCAATGACTATAGCTCATTGTCTCGTTGCTGCCGACCTTCGTGGCGTAGACACCCACGGCGTCAACCGCATCCCGTCCTACCTCGCCCGTATTCGCCAAGGAGTCCTCGATCCCAAAGCTCAACCCACCATTGTCAATCACACTCCTGTAGTTGCTCAAGTTGATGGCAAGAATGCTTTCGGCTTTGTAGCTGCCAGACTGGGTATGGAGAGAGCGATTGATATGGCGAAGACTTTTGGAATTGGTATGGTCAGTGTGAAGCACAGCAACCATTTCGGCATGAGTGCTTGGCTTGTGCAGCAAGCTCTAGATGCTGGGATGATGAGTTTAGTCTTCACCAACTCGTCGCCCGCCCTACCTGTTTGGGGCGGCAAGGAGAAGCTCATGGGCGTGTCGCCGATTGCTTGCGGTGCACCTGGTGCCGAGCATGATTTCATTTTGGATATGGCACCCTCAGTCGCGGCAAGAGGTAAGATCTACAAAGCCAAAAGGAGAGGCGAGAAGATACCAGTCGATTGGGCATTGGACAAGGACGGAAACAGGACCGATGATCCCAGCGCCGCACTCGAGGGTGTCATGCTGCCCATGGGAGGGCCTAAGGGATCGGCATTGTCTATCATGATGGACGTGTTCTCGGGTGTCTTATCTGGATCCGCGTTCGCTGGACATGTCACCAATCCATATGATCCTTCCAAGCCAGCGGATGTGGGTCATTTCCTCATCGCTCTGAAGCCCGACCTCTTCCTCAGCCCCGATGATTTCAAACAAAGGATGGAGCATCTTTACAACAGGGTAAGTTTGTCACCTGATACATAACGAAATGGAAAACGCGAATACTGACGGTAATCAGGTCGTGAACTGCGAGAAGATGGCAGGAGTAGATAGAATCTACTTTCCTGGAGAGATTGAACAATTAACGGAAGCAGAAAGGAAGAAGTATGGTATACCATATGTGGCAGCCGAAGTCGAAGCATTGAATGCTGAGGCAAGGCGAGTCGGTGCGCCAGACATAGTTGTGTCACAGTAGAGCTGCCACCCACGGGGATTGTGGAGAGAGTGAAGCAAAAGAAATCATTATTAGAATGAGAAAATATATACTCATCAAGCAAGACCCAAACCTGGAACCATCCAAAACCCAAGGAGAAAGCTGGGCTATCATGGTGTATAACATTACTCAAACGAAACCAATTTGCTCTTCTTCAGTATCAACTTGGCCAGCTCCATCAGACTGGGGCTGGTGAGCAACTCCAAAACTTGAACATTCGCATCCGCTTCTCTTGCGATCCAGTTACGGACCTCGATGGCAGCGAGAGAATCCAAACTGTATGAAGCAACTGCGGCAGATGGCTCCATCTCCTCAACAGACAGCATCAGAACCGCGGCTAGCTTGGTAATGAGAGCACTGTACAAGACTTCCAATGCTTTCTCGCCATCAGCAGCGCCCTTCAATGCTTGAGGCAGAGGTGCGTTAGTATTTCCACCCTCCGTAGAGCTCTGCGAGGCAGCTGCAGCGAGCAGATTGCTGAACTTGGCGTCGTGGCACCAGAAGGGCTCCGAGCCAGGGTTGATCTTCAGACCAGTGATGACATGATTATTGCTTGCAGTGATCTTGCCTGTGATGGCGGCGGTGAGAAGACCAAGAATTTCACTTTCTTCGATGGTCTCGCCCCCCAAATTGCGGAGAACATCAGCCGCTCTTTCACTGTTGTCGGCCAAGTAACCAACATCTGAAACGGCAGTAAGGTCGAGAGATGTACCAGGGAGTCCTTGGGCATTGCGGTGTGCCATGAAGGTATCCAAGAAGACATTGGCAGCTGCATAGGCCGCTTGACCACGGTTACCAACAACACCAGCGACTGAGGAAAGAGCGATGAAGAAGTCAAGCTCGGATGTACCAAGACTGTTGTGCAAGTTGAGAGTGCCGGAAACCTTGGGGTTCACAACTGCACTAAAGTCATCCAGGGTCATCTGTTCGTAGAGGACATCCTTGAGGACCATGGCACCTTGGATGACACCACGAATTGGAGCCTCTTTTCCGAGGTCTTCAATGAGAGTCTCGACTGAACTGGCATTGGCAACGTCGCAGGCGCGAACAGACACTTTAGTTCCCAATTTGGCAAGATCGTTGATAAGTGCTTCCAGTCTTGGCGTGATGTTGGCTCGTCTAGATGACAAGCAGATATGCTTTGCACCACGAGATGCCATCCATCTGGTGATGCTGCAACCAAGACCGCCAGTGCCTCCAACGATCAAGTACGAGGCATCTTCTTTGAACAGGCTTGCAGTCTTCTTGGGCGCAATGGCTTGAACAAGGTCGCCAGGTTGAGGAGCAATGACCAACTTGCCCATGCTCTTACCGCTTTGGAGACTGCGGAAGGCAGCTTCAACATCATTGATACCGTAGCTGGTGATTGGACTGACCGGTCTGATATTGCCGTTGCTCATAAGCTTCTCCACATCGTTCAAGAGTCTCTTCATGAGTTTCGGTCGGTATGCAGCCACCTTGGTTAGATCAACGGAAGCGAAACATACGTTGTACTCGAACTGTGCCATCTCAAGCCTACTGTTCTTCGTGATATCAGCCTTGCCGATCTCAATGAAGCGTCCGAATGGAGCCAAGCAGTCCCAACTCTCGCGCAGGAAGTCGCCTCCAAGCGAGTTGAGCACAACATCGACACCCTTTCCGCCAGTGACTTGACGGATGGCAGGTCCGAAGGAAGTATCACGACTGTAGAAGATGTGATCTTCGGCAATGCCGTACTCTTTCATGATGTGCTGCTTTTTGTCAAGGCTTCCAACCGTGGCAAAGATTTCGGCACCACAAGTCTGAGCCAACATAATTGCTGCCTGACCCACACCACCAGCAGCAGCATGAATGAGCACGCTCTCGCCTTCGGTGAGACGGCCGAGATCGAACAGACCATAGTAGGCGGTACAGAAGACGACAGGAATGGTCGAAGCAGCGATGAAGTCCATCTTCTCCGGAAGCGGGGCAACGCTGGTTGACAAACAGCGAGCGTAGGTGCTGTACGCACCTTCCGTCATAGCCATGACAGATTGTCCAACCTTGACATCTGTCACATCTTTACCGACTGCAGCGATGATACCGGCGCACTCGACACCGATATATGGCTGGTTAAGTTGGCCCATGGAAACAACCACGTCTTTGAAGTTCATGCCAGTAGCCTTGACTTCAATCTCGACTTCATTGTCTCCCAATGGTTTGGGCTCATCATCAACAAAGTAGAACGAGTCCAGAGAGCCGAGAGTAGCAATCACCATCTTCAGACGACGATCAGATTGTGCAAAAGCCTGCTGATATACGACCGAGTCTTGCGACTCCTGATGGAGTCGGACATTCAACTCCTCGTCATCAAGCACTCGAGGTACCGAGAGGTTATCACCCTTGAAAATGAATTCTTTATCGTCCTTAAAAGCCGAGGTCGAGTCGACACCAGTCTTAGAGAGAACAGTGAAGACGTTCTCAACCACATCCTTGTCGGTCGCCTGCTGCAGACCAAGAGTGATAATGTTGGCCGAAGTCTCGGAGCGGATCGCACGAGTAAAGCCGACAACCATGCTTCCGTCAACATCAGCAGCATCGGGACCTTCCTTGTAGACCCAGAGGACCTTACGGGCAGAGAGCAGCATCTGGCGCAAGGAATCAAACACTGTTGCATCAATGCCGCTCAAAACGTTCTTGCCAGTTGACACAAAGACAACTCGCTTGTCACTAGGTTCGACCTTTGAGAGCGTGAGGAGCTCAGCTTGGACACCAGATGTCTTCCACACGTTGTCAGCTAGTTCAGCTGCCAGATTCTTCTCATTTGCTTCACTGTAGACAACGCAAACAGCTTCCTCTCTTGTGAAAGGCGTGCTGACAAGCGAATCGGCTTTCACTGGAGTGTCTGAAACGTCGGACGAAGACCTTTCCAGGCCATTGTCTTCGTCTGACACTGTTTGCCAGTCGATCTTGTAGCAGAGCTCACGTGCTTGAGGTCCGGAGTTTCCACTGGACTCGCGAAGAGGAGTCATCGTCAGACCGTCGAACTGGACAAGAGGCTCGCTAGCGTTGGACGAGTCCACAACGAAGAAATTGAACTTTGTGGGCTCAGGGGCTTCCTTGTTGGGGGTACCTGAACCAAACACTTCGACTCGGTTACTCAGCACAGAGGAGAGGTTGCGAGAAATACTGAAGTTCTTCACAAATGTAGGCATGTAGAGGGTGTCGAGTCCCTGACGCCCCGCGCCGAATATCGGCCAGACGATCTGAATGATCTGATCAAGAAGAGCGGGGTGTACAATGAGCTCAGTCTCGTAGCCTTTGGGCATCAGAGACCTGGTGTCAGGGACAACGAGCTCAGCATGAGCGGTAGTATCACTTGCCTGGCAGGGCTCCAGACCGGTGAACACAGGCCCATACCCAGCTCCGATGGCAGTAAGAGTGTCGTACATAGCTTGACTGTCGACGGTATCGGTAGATGCACTGATGATGCTCGACTTAAGAGCTTCGAACGCCTTGGAAGCGCTCTGAGCTTTGTGTGCATCAACAGCGTTGGCAGCTGGAGAGTTTCGAACACCAACAAGACCGTGGCAGTGCTGTAGCCAGCCACGCTTTGCATCCCAGGAGCAGATCTTAAAGTCGTCCCACAGATCAGATGCTGCACCGCGGAGGCCTTCACTGTAGGGCTTCAGAGTGATAGTCATCTCAACATCAGTGTCCTCATTGAGGACCAATGCGCTACTGACGACAAATTCACGGATCTCAAAGCGATCGAATTGAACGCCACGAGAGTTTGCACGTCTAGCAGCTGCTTCCAAAGCCATGCCCATGTATCCTGCCATGGGAAAAACGGGCATGTCCTGCATCTTATGACTGCGAAGGAATGGCAAATCATCCAGTTTAACGATGTTTCTCCAAGTAGGTTCAAGATCGTTGGACCAATCGGCGAGCGAACCCAAAAGATCATTGCGGCCGCCCTCTTTAAAGCAGTGCTTCTGAGCAAGACGAGATTCGTGCCAGTATCTGGTCTCGTGGTTAAACGGATATCTCGGGAGATCAGTGATAAGCTTTTGGTTGACACTTTTAGTACGAGGGAAATTGATCTCGCCGAATGTCAGTGGTAAGCCCTTCATGTAGAGGGCACCTGCCATGCGTAGAGCACATTCGCTGGCATTCTGACCTCTAGCAAGCACAGATACATACTGCATCTTGCCCTTTGCAGCATCAATGGTAGCCAGAGTATCTCTGATGGGGCCTTGCAGAGCTGAGTGAGGTCCAAGCTCGACCAGTTGATCGATGCTCTTGGTACCAGTTTCTTTCGCCATGGCACTGAGAGCATCAGAAAACCTGACGGGAGATGTCAGGTTCTGGACCCAGTATTCTGGAGTAAGCTCAGAAGGTTCGGCGACCCGTCCATGAAGGGACGAGTAGAAAGTGGCTGTAGCTGTGCTAGCAGGTTGAATGTCCTTGATCAGATTCAAGTACTCATCTGCGACAGGCTCGAGATGTGCAGAGTGATAAGCGACACCGACCTTCAGCTGTCTGTTGAAGATGCTCTTCTCTGTCAAGATTGGCTGAAGTTCTTCAACAGCCTCGACGTCCCCAGATAGAGTCACTGAGGCAGGGCTGTTGATGCAAGCCACAGTGACATAACCCTTGTTCACAGCATCGAGCAGAGGGCGAACATTCTCGGCACTGGTACCTACAGCCATCATGGTGCCTTGTGGTTTATCCACGGATTTCTTCTTGAGACTAAGCATACATTGGCCTCTGTAATAAGCGATTTTCATCGCATCTTCAAGACCAACGATACCAGCAGCGAAGGCACAGCCGATCTCGCCTGACGAATGGCCAACCACAGCGGCAGGGTGGATACCCCATGAGCTCAGAAGCATAGTGAGAGCAATCTGAAGTGCGGTACACGCGGGCTGACTTATGTGAGCAGCATTAATGAGCGATGTATCTGCGGGTTTCAGCATCTCTTCTCTCAAGGAGAACTCGGCTCCGAGGGCTTTCAATGTGTCGTCTGCAGTGTTGAGTGCAGCAGCGAAGACTGGGTAGTCACGAGCAAGCTCGGCTCCCATGGTAGCCCACTGAGCTCCTTGACCGGTAAAGACAAAGCCGAGCGTGGGTTCGTTGCGAGCTCGAAAGGTAGGGACTTTTGTAGTCGCAAGACTCTGGCCTAGCTCGTCTGAGGAGGCTGCTGCAATTGCGATTCTACAAGGCAAGTGAGAGCGTCTTTCGCCGAGGGTGTAAGCTACATTGCCTGCAAGCAACTTCTCGAAGACTTCCGGACGTTGCTCAAGGAAAACACCAAGATCAGTGATTTTCTTTTGCAGAGCTTGAGAGTCATGGGCGGAGAGCACAAACAGTTTGCACAGAGGCTCTTCAGGTGATTCTTCAAGAGAACGGATGGTGGTCATGGTAGTCTTGAGTCCTTTGGGAGCAGCGCCCAAAACGACATGAGCATTGGCACCACCGAAGCCGTAGTTAGAGACCGAGACGTACTTCTTGCCTCGCGGCCAAGGCCTAGTTGAGGTCGGAACCTGCAGTAGTCAGTGATGTGGTACGTATTGATCATGTGACAGTCAACATACCTTCATATTGTATTGGTCGAGCGGAATGTTTGGGTTTGTGGTTTCAAAATTTGCATTAGGCAAGATCATGCCCTTCTCCAGCATCATCGCGGCTTTAATGACCGAGACTATACCACTGGCACCTTCGAGGTGGCCGACGTTGCTCTTTACGGAGCCGATGAAGAGTGGGTTTCTTGAGCTACGACCAGCACCCAACGCTTCATGAATGCCGGCCACTTCAATGGGGTCGCCAACCTTTGTACCAGTTCCGTGGCACTCACTGAAACCACATTCAGCTGGATCAAGCCCTGCCTTGAGGTAGACCTGTTTGATCAGATCTGACTGTGCACGGCCATTCGGTACTGTGATACCGTTGGTCTTGCCATCTTGATTGACACCAGAGTTATGGATAACGGCACGGATAACATCGCCATCACGGATTGCCGCCTCGAGAGGTTTGAGGATCATTGAGCCTGCACCTTCGCCACGTGCAAATCCTGAAATTGCCCGATGGTCAAAAGCGAAAGTCTTGCCAGCATCGTTGAGTAATCTGTAAGCCGTTAGACTAGACCAAAGCTCTGGTATCAATGACTTACTGTGTGTTCGACATGGTCACGAAGAAGTCTGGTGTCAGGTTGAGATGGGCAGCAGCAACAACTGCTGATGAGGATTCACCATTGCGAATACTTTGCATAGCGCTATGCAGCGCCACTAGAGAAGACGAGCATGCCGTATCGACAGTCATACTTGGACCACGAAGGTCAAAGTAGTATGAGAGTCGGTTGGACTGCATTGCTGGCGCACAGCCAGTGGCTTGGTATGTAGGTGCAGTATCGATGTCTCTAGTATTGTTGACTTCATAGTCCGCGAAGGAGCCACCAACAAAGACACCAATATCTTTACCTGCGATTCCTTCCTTGGTCATACCAGAATCCTCGAAGGCTTCAAAGGTACATTCAAGAAGAAGTCGCTGCTGAGGATCAAGTGCAGTAGCCTCTTGAATGGTCATATTGAAGAAAGGAGCATCAAAAAGAGCAGGGTCTTCTGTAAGGAAGTAACCACCCTCTGTGTTGATACATCCATGCTTGCCGGGAGCAGGATGGTAGTATGCATCTTTGGCGTAGCGGGTAGAGGGAGTCGGTCCCCAGCCAGTACGGCCTCGAGAGCACAACTCCCAAAGATCATCAGGTGATGAGACGTCGCCAGGGAGTCTGCAGGCATAGCCAACAATAGCGACAGGTGTGAGTGATGCCATATTCGTGTTAGGAGAATTGATGAGATCCCGAGAAAAAGAATTAAGTATTAATCGTCAAGCTTGGGAAAGAGAACAGCTGGGACTTGAGCAAGAGTATTCCAGCGTGCTGGGATCCGGCACTTTATCATCACCATAGACAAATCCTCATCGTTGGTGGCTCGCAGTGAGGCAGACCTCATTTCTGCGGAACAACCTCTACGCCGTGGGAATGGCAGGGAATCGTAGCGGGGACCTTTCCCCCTCTCATTACGGCCGTTCGTGTTGAGACTCGTGGGTGTGATGGATCCACCAAAGTCATTTCTGCTATCGATCAACTGCCATTAGATACTGACTCGAAAATGCGCCGTCTCGATGCTGGCTGGTCTTGCGCAGCTCGTCCGCCGGAAGTGGATAGCAACCAATGTAACTCAGGATGGTCTCTATGCTGCACCCTCAACGCTGATATGGAGCTATCTCGTAAGCGGTGGACATGGAAGTTGCAACTATACAGTAGCTGCATGTCCGTACGTGATTCGCTCGGCCGAATGCAACTTCTTCGATGATCGCTCAAGACATGTCAATGTCAAAGTCGCATTTTGACAGTCATGGCAGCACGTGTCGAGGGCTTGCAGCACTGCAACAGGAGCGACTATAGGCTCGAAGGGCCTATAAGCTTCCATTCTAGCGAAACACCTACATAAGTCTGCATGACCGTCCGCCGATCACCTGTAAAGAGTCGTCGATCAAGTTCAACGATGGACCAAAAAGGGTCTTAAGTTTGCGGGATCATGAGGGCAAACACTTTTGAGGGTTTTGTTTCGAGGGGTAAGGTTTGTCGAAAGAGGCAGTGGGGCTCTGAGACAGGCCGTTACCAGCACCCTGCACCGGATCTATCCACATCTCCGACCAATCGGAAGCTCAGTCGGCTGTATAGACATACTCGCTGATCTTCTCTGGACTGTTATCGCCAAATCACACCAAAGACAATATACGTGCGTCGACGGATGGACCTGCAAGACGCTTGCTTGAAGCGAGACAGGTTCGATAGACACGAGTACTGTGTCGTCTTATCTAACCTTTCCCAACAACGACAATCATTTAGCAGTCCCGAACGGGACTTTTGCTAAGCAATCATCGATGTGTGTGTCTCATCCTTTTATTATACTTATTATACTATGCAGCGTGACTATAACGGCCATGGAGCATGCATTAGACGGTTTTCGGGAAAAGAAAATACGCACACTCTGAACCTTGAGAGTCAGTCCGTGTCTTTTTTTTTGATCCGTCAACTTCATCTCTTTGATGAGCCAGCAATTTCTCATTCCCCAGGACAACTACCAACAAGATGAAGTTTTTGTGTTTGCATGGAGCCTATGGCAACATTGCAGTGAGCGATATACCGCCGATGGTATGATTTGCAAACCACTGACGCCTTCACAGGCATTCCGTGTCCAGCTGAAGCCCATGACGGACCTCCTTGAGTCTGATGGCTCGGCCTCGTTCGAATTCATCCAAGGCCGAGTATCGGTAGCACCACCTCCCGGTGAGTCTATTCGAGAATACTCACCAAACTCTGTTCTGACAACTCTTCCAGGCTTTGAGTCATATTTCGGCCCCAAACCACACTTTCGTTTCCTCAGAGACAGAGGAGAAGCCGAGGCGTCAGCTGTTGAGGGAATTCGAGTGTTCCCTGAAGCCGAAACCCCTGAAGATGCTCTGCGTGCCCTCATGCCCAAAGACGACGTGCAGGTCGGCTTCGCTGATGCTAGAGGACTTGCCCTTGACCAGCTCTACGAAGCACTCGATGCAGACCCTGAAATCGCCGGTATCATCGGGTACAGCGAGGGCGCGTCTGCCGCAGCCACACTCGTCTACGACGAGCAGGAGAGAATGAGGTCTGAGGGATATGTTCCAAGAATCAAGGCGGCTATCTTCTTCATGGGTTGGCCTGCACTTACTGCCGAGAACGTGCCTGCCTTGTCGGATGAGGTCGAAAACCTCCTTGAGGTCCCATCATTGCACATCGTCGGTGCCAATGGTAAGTCTCAAGGGCCTCCTACCTCCCTGTTTCTCCTTTCACTAACACCCCCAGACCCATACAAAGACGGTGCGCTTGCATTGTACAATCTCTTCGATGACAACATGGCTGTGTTTTTCGACAGTGCGGGTGGTCACACTATCCCTCGACACGGCAAGTTGCTACAGGAGTTGGCTCAAGCAGTGAAGGACTTGATTGCCAATGTACCAGAGAACAATTCTGTGGAGTTTGTCGCACCGGCCGTGGCGGCCAAACGTTTAGACTCCGCTGTCGACATTCCATACCTAAGTTCGCTGAAGATAGAGAACATGTAGAGCTAGATAGCGATAGAAATCTGATCAACCATGTGCCCTTTGATTTTCACTGCTCAAAGTCTCAGACGTGCCTTTCTCGGGTGTCAAGAGAGATGAACCAGGCGTCCGACGGCTCCAATCTCGTGATACCTCTGCGTGTACTGAGCTATGTAACGCTTATGTCTGTAGAAATACATAATAGTAACAGGAAACAAGGTGGTGTCCACTGAGAGACACCAAGTTGTCGACTCTCCGTGGACATACCTCTACTTTCTAGCAGAGTTGTGCCTTCTTGCAGTCTACATTTTGGCACAAGCTGGAGTCGGAGGCTAGTGGAAGTCACAGACTCTACACATGTAAAGGTAGAAATCATGTTCGATTCAAACAGGTCATGTAAAATTCTGCGAGGACCGAGATCAAGATTACTTGCAGTCCTGCTTGAAAGTCCTTCGAACTCTTGACCAAGCACAAGCTGAGATGCGTCCTACTCACTTGCGACGCAGGTCAGAACTTTTGGCAATTCAAACATACAAGACGTTTGTACGCGGATCCCGTAGAGAGAGACGCGCGCGGATATTTCTCAGGAAGCTGATCATTCCAGATTCAGCAATCTTTAAGTCCGGATTGTCCTCATTTCGCCATGCCATTGATTGTTCCCAGAAAATTTGAACATAGAGTTCGGTGACCGTATGTAGATGGACAGGATCACTAGTCGTGTTCATCCCAAGCATAATCCTCACCAGACAACGTCTAATGCTACATCCAGAGATCTGACTTTCAGATTCTTCAAGGCTTGCGCTAGAAGCTCAACACCTCGACCCCTCCTGAGAATCTCGATTTGACTTGATCTTCTTGAATGCATTTCTTGCAACACTTCCGAATAAGGCTCATGCTGTACAGAAAATCATCGGTCAAGAATGCCAAATCTCGAAGAATTCCTTTCGCCAGTTGATTGAAATCTATCGGCAGAAGATGAGTGCCCAAGCTGATAGTCATGGTGTAAGGATGGGATGCAAAGTTAGAGCTATCAGTCCTTGCAAGCTGTACTCGAAGAGTATAGATCTGCACCCTGATAGGCAGACCCGGCCAAATTCGGGCGTTGCAAGATGGTGCATCGTCCGACAAGTCAAACGCAGATTGGGAAGATCTTGTGGGCTGCGATATGCAACATGAGGTAGATAATCTGAGTATCTCGGGAGGTAGACTGAGAAAATTTGGCGGTATGGTAGAAGCTTGGTATTGTGTGCATCGGGGAAGTGTTTGGAGTTGGTGGTGATAAACACGAACAAGATTCGAGCTGGTGCCCAATTGGGATCTGATTGCCCGTAGCGCGAACATCGACGCGTCTCCCTGCTTTGCTCTTCCTCGAAATCAATCGTGGCGTAGTCATCACTCTCCGAGCCTGCGAGATCAAGCGAATTTCCAAAATGTCACCTTCAATGCTTTTAGAGTTAGCTAAGAGGTTCTCGCCAACAATCTTCTGAATTGGATCTTATTACCAAACGTTCCTTTCCAATAAGCAACAAGAGCATATTGCTCTTTGCCCGAAGCAAGCAACTGGAATGGAGCCTTGTTCAATTCACTACTGCTTGGGGCGAAGGATCCGAAACTTTTGATGATGCAAAGTTGACGGGCAAAGAAACGATTTCGGGAGCTTTGGGGAACTGTTAAGGGTCGAAACTGGACGGGTACTAGACGAGTGGAAGGAAGATCTGTATGGCTGGGAGGAGGAGCTCATAGATGGATACTCGCTCGATGGAGGCTCGCTTGATGTTTTCACTCCTTGAGTTTATGGAGGGGACAAGAGTCAGGTGGATCGAACCTGCTCTCATGGCAAAATCAATGTCGGGTATCTCAATAATCCATAGCACCACCACTCTTTCTCTTGTCTCCCCTTCTTTGCTTCTTGTCTGGGCAGTCCCTCTGCAAGTGTCCCTTCTGGCCACAAATATGACAAGCCATATTGGCAACATTGGCCTGCTTGTTTTTGATAGCCGCATTGGAAATACCACCCATTTTGTTCAGGTTGATGTCTCTACTCCTCCGTCGCTCAGCCATCTGTTTTGATTTGACCTCTTCGGCTTTTCGTTGGGCTTTGCGTTCGGCGCGTAATCTGGCTGCTGCTTCTTTCCTTTCTGCTTTGAGGAGAAGTTCTGCTTCGTCTAGGTCTTCGTCGTCTTCTGAGTCTGAGTCTGAGGAGGCGTCCGAGTCATGTTCAGATTCTGAAGAGGAAAGGTCTGGATTGTGTTGACGCTGGGAAAGTCAGTGACTGTACTGTTTTGAAGAGACATGGAAACAATCACTTACCTCAACAGCTTTGTTGAACTTTCCAAAACTCCTTCGGCCTGCCATTCCAGCACTCTGCTCTTCTTCCTCGTCGTCATCACTTTCGAGTATCGGCGCACCCGAGTCAATGGCACCATATCCAGCTTCGACAATACGAAAGCCTGGTCCAGCAGTCTTGGGCTTGTTGTCACTGACACTGAGGACCCATTTTGTTTCTCCAGCTTCGGCGGCGGCGCGTTCGATAAAGGCGTTCTTCTTGGCTTCCTCGGCAGCAGCAGCTTCTTGGAATGCGCGTACATCAGGGTCGACTGGTTCGGTCTTTAGGCGTTTGGAGGGTCGAGAGCCGTCAGGGGTGGTGGGTGTGGTAGGTGTAGAGGCTGATGCGCGTTGCATGAACTGGTCATCATGTCAGGTTTCTGTAGGCAGGACGAGCAAGCAGGTGACGGACCTTCATGTTCAGCAATCGCGACGACATGTTTTTGCCTGCCATGTTGTGTAGATTGGTTGGCCGACTGTGTGGTGAGAATGTGATTCGGTGTCGCGCAAGAAGGTTGTTTCCAAAAGATTTCTTGAATCTTGACCAAGAAGGAAGCTGTGACGGCAACGATTGCCCGATGCTCGGGGACAAGGCTCGGCCCGTTCGTTTCGGAATCTTTTCCGCGGCCTACCTTTCCTCCTTGGATTCTCACTTTCATACCATGCCCTTTTGTGAGCCTCGATCCACATCTAGATGAGCATGATCTGGAATAGATCGATTGTGTCACCGTCTGTGTGACAGTATGTGAAAGTACGGTATGGTTCAAGTTCAGATGATCACAATTCAGTCCAACCATAACCTACTATCACCAAGCTTTAAATCACTTTTCCTAGCACCTTACCTTAGAACGTCGACGGACTTCTCTGGAGAGGAGTATGCGTACTTTTGAATATCAGTCCAAGAACACAAGAGTAGTGCCGGGTGCCTTTATGTGATGCAAATGTTGATATGGCTTGGGTATTCTGACTTATTGACATGGTCGCATGCTGGCAAGCAGTCTGGGATGTGGAAAGCCAAGGTAGAGCAAGCGGAGACAAACAAAACGATGCAGAAGGAAGAGGAAATGACCAAACAACGCCAACGCCTCTCCATGCTGTGACGCAAACCCCAGACATATATGATGTGTGTATCTCTTGTATCTCGTTCCTACTCCAAGCTCGTGTAGGCATCCAGCTCTTGACCGTTGCGTCTTCTCTTCTCGACAGGATCTGTTCGCATCTCGACTCCAGGCCCGACTCGTCTGTGGGTGGGGAAGACCTGGTTTAGGGTTAGTAACGACTTGATCTCCGACTTTGACAACGTGACACACCTTTGTGTTGGACCAGCCAAAGCGAAAGGCGAGCTCGTTGGCAAACAGCTCACCAAAACCCAGCATCAGGCCGTTGACAAAAGGTAGAAGCAGGTTGATGGCAGCACCCCGCACCAAGCCCCAGAAGGTTGGTGGGGAGTACAGGATCAAAGGCGATGCCGAGTCGGAGGACGGCGACGAGGGCGATGATAGATCGGGCTGATCGTATGTCTCGCTGTCTGACTGCATCGTCATTGAGTCGTAGATGTCGCGCTGGTCGACTGCTGCCATGGCTGTGACTTGTGCTGGTCTTGTGGATGTGCTCCAATGTCGCTTGAGTATGGTGGTGCGAGAAGAGTCGACTTGGAGGGGCGATGGGGATCGTTGTATGCCAGACAAAGCGGTCTCGATGTACGAGGTGGGCAAGCAATACTCGTTGTTGTCTCTATCGCAAATGCAACATTCACCTGGCCGCCATGGCTGATGGCCGTCTTCCCCAGCGTCCGCATACCGAGGATGTTCCGCGTCATCTTGGCATTGTCATGACGCGTTTGCTGTTTTCCGTCCGTGTAGCTCCCCCATGTCTCTCTCTCTCTCTGTCAAGCAGTGCAGTGCAAATATCCCTCTAATGGACCGTCGTGAATTTAGATGATACGGTGCAATCGCGAGTCTACCTACCTACTGTCTGCTTATTTATGGTCAAAGACTCGAAGTCAAGCGCTTCTTGAGGCAGCCATGACCTACACGCGCGCATTAGGCCGCCTTCCTGATAGAATATGAATCTCTTCAAAGGCCAAGTTTCTCCTTCTTTCCTTAAATCACTCCCTGACAAATCATCCAACATGATGAATTCTTTCTATCCACTCTTTGTCACTGCCAACGTATCAGTCCAGGTAGGCTCTCATGACTGAAAGAAGCTTCATCAGATCCCCCTGCTCAGCTTATACAAGGTCATCAACCGCGTCTTGCAGAGCTCTCTGGACGAAGAGTTCTCTCCTGGCGAGCACTGGGGAAACGAATGGGTTCTGATGGAGCAGCAGTCCCATCGAAACTTCTCCGCTCCAACAATGCCTCCCGTTCGGCCATTCGAGTCTGGCTTTCTCAACACCTCGATAGATCACCTTCAGAACTTCGTTACTATCGAACTCGATGAGGAAACGGATCAGCTGCCCTCCCCTTTCGGGATCATTGACGAGCGCACTGCTCTTGACAATACTATTTCTTTCGGAGCTCAGGACGACGAGAACGCTATACAAGAAGCTCAGATTCGCACTTTGTGGGGTAGAGAAACTCCTCTCGACCGTATACTTGCCGCTTATGTCGACCCTTGCGAGTACCTTTCGCACGGGCACAACACTACAGCTTACGTGACCAAGGAAGAATCTCGTGCCCGTCTCCTTGCATGGGAAGACGCAGAGCGAGATGGGTTGGCCTTGCAATTTTATGAGCTTGCCAGTTCGATAGAAGTCTTCAAAGGGGCTAGTCAGTCTAGAGAATGCCTCAACGATTGGATTCATGGCGAGGAGTTGAACCAGACTACCAAGTGGTTCGAGTTCCGCTTGGACGCTTCCTGCGCCATGGGACATATCTATCTCATCGGCGATTATGGTCCCGTCGAGATCATGACCAACCATGTTTTCAAAAGTGACATGTTTGATGCCAATGGGGTTGGCAGAGCTATTGGTCCTTGATTCAGCTGCTCGCCTTGCTGACGGCCACAAATTCTAAATTTAGAGACTTGCATAGATGCTGCATTTCCCCGCTCCCGTATCACATCTCGAGAGTCGTTTTTCTTTCGACTTGGTTTCTCGCATGATTGACCTCAGAAGGGCTAAACCAGTGCTACCAACATGTCGACTACCCAGGCAAATGGTCGTGCGATCTCTGACAAAGTCAAAGGCGAGGACATACATACTACAACACAATATACCATCGGGTGGATATGCGCTCTGCCGATCGAGCTGGCGGCAGCTGTCAAGATGCTCGATGAAGAACATCCACGTCTACCACAGGACCCCAAGGATGATAATTCTTACAGATTTGGGCGAATCGGGAACCACAATATCGTCATCGGCTGTCTGCCACACGGCAGATTCGGCCTCGTATCTGCAGCTAGTGTCGCTCTACAGATGAAAATCAGCTTCGACAACCTCCGCATAGGATTGATGGTTGGCATAGGGGGTGGAGTGCCGAGTCAGGAGACAGACATACGACTTGGAGATATTGTCATCAGCAATCCTACTAGCCAACATGGAAGTGTAGTTCAATACGACCTTGGCAAAACTCGTCTCAACGGGGTAGTAGAGCGAATTGGCTCTCTGAACTCCCCGCCCAACGCAATCCTCCATGTTGTCACTGAGATGATCGCCGCGCAAGAGTTAGGCGAGCTTCGAATCAACACTTACCTCTCGAGACTTGCTGAACAGCTACCTGCATATGCATTCCCGTCAAAACTTACAGACTGCTTGTACCAGCCACATCATACACACAAGAGTGGGAAAGGTTGCTTAGAGTGTGGTGGCGCGGAGAACCAAGTGCTACGCGAAGATAGAGACGACGACACTCCTGTTATCCATTATGGTACCATTGCGTCGGGAAATCAGGTTATGAAAGACGCGTTTACCCGCGATAAGCTTAGCCACGAGCTTGGAGGAGTGCTTTGCTACGAGATGGAGGCCGCTGGCTTAATGAATAACTTCCCTTGCCTAGTGATCCGTGGGATATCAGATTACTCTGACACCCATAAGAATGATGGCTGGCGGCGTTACGCGGCAGCTGTAGCCGCAGCATACGCAAAAGATCTGCTCGGTCATCTCGCTTCTGCCAAAGTGGCCCAAACAGAAACACTCGATCAACTTATGGGGGATTTGTCCAAAGGCATGGCTAGGAATCAGACTCTCATCGAAGAAGTGGGAAGTAGGCTGGACAGTACGTACTGATTAGTGTGTACGCGAACGGATGCAGAGAGCTTACCAACTAGGGAAGGAATTGATGAAGAAAGCCTGTTGAGGTGGTTATCGCCCTCGTCAAATTTCTCTAGTATTCAAAATGCAGCTCGAAGCAATTTTATGCCCGGGACAGGCGAGGGAGTTCTTAGTAACTCTGATTTCATCAACTGGCGTGACATTGGACCTGGTCTATTGTGGTTGTATGGTGTTGGTGAGTTGGTTTAGAGCGACTCGAACATGCAGTACTGACCTCCTCAACAGCTGGATGTGGCAAGACCACCTTGACGTAAGGACCGGTTTGGTCTGATTCGATATATGGTTCTGACGTTTCCCAGATCCAAGATAATCGATCATTTGAGCGAAAAGTGTAGTTCAGGCAGACACACACATATTGCGTACTGGTACTTTCAATTCAGCAATCCAAGCACTCAGAATGTTCCAAGCATGCTTCGATCGTTCATCAGACAGCTTGCTACTAAGCCTCTTCCCAAGAGTATGCAAACCCTCTGGAAGAAGCATGGGCCACCGGGAAGTGAGCCATCCAAGAGCGAGTTGATGGTGGTGCTCACAGGACTCATCAACCATTCGAACCGAGATTTGTACCTTGTTCTCGACGCTCTGGATGAGTGTCCTGTACAGACCAGATCAGAGATCTTGGCAATTCTAGGAGAGCTACGGCGATCGCCCGTAATACAACTCCATGTTCTTGTTACAAGTAGACGAGAGCCCGACATCCGCAAGGCTTTGGAAAGTCTTGCAACCCACAAACTGGACGCAGATCCATTATTGGAGAAGGATGTAGAGTTTTTCGTCACCTTCTCTCTCAACCATCACTCTATACAAAGGTGGGGCTCTCGGCTTAGAGGGTTTGCTGCAGAGAGGCTGCTTTCCATGGAAGAGAGGTAGGCAAGTAGCAATGACGATCTATCTTACTTGGCTGATTCTGAATGCAGGCGCTTTCGTTGGGCGGACCTGCAGATCAAGCGATTACAAAATTGCTCGACGGAAGACGACTTTTGCATGGCTCTGAACACACTTCCCGAATCGCTCGAAGCGACCTATCGCGAAGCACTAGAGTCTGTCTCCGAAAGAGATAGAGAGCGAGTTCTGCACATTCTAGCCTGGCTCACGTCATCTTTTCGAGAGTTACGGTCTTCGGAGGTTGCTGCGGTTGTGGCGTTCCCTTTTGCTGACGATGTGTCGAAGTTGTGTAAAAGCATATTGATCACCGTCATCGATGAAGAGGCAGGCGACACTATCAAGCTCGCGCACTATTCTGTTAAAGAATTCCTCATCCTTGAGAACGAACAACAGGGAGTCGCACGATGGTACAAGCTTACAGCAAGTCTCGCACATCGCTATATCACGACTAAACTCCTTGACTGCCTTTTCGATGATTCAAGGTCGCCTTATTCAAGTGTTCTGTACGACTACGCGCAGTGGTACTGGCCAGCGCATTTGGAGGAATGCAACAAGCCTAACAAATATACGAGCGTACGCTCCAGGCTACAAACCCTTTTCAGTATGGAGGCTCGCAATAGACTTTTGCAATTACTTGTGTGCTCTCGAGCTCAAAGGCTTCGCAGCCAGAAGCACCAGAAGTTTCCCATCTACTCAATTGAAATGCCAGGTTTACTCTCACTCAAGCAGCTGGTGTTAGGCTCCTGGAAAGAACAAGGACTATTAGGAGGTGGTCAAGGATTCGAACGTTCCATCGAAATAACCATCGGAGACATCTCAATCTGGCTAGCAAATCGCTGCGATAAATTAGTGGACGCATTGGATTTGATGATGATCATGGAGGATATGGGCTACGAAATTCCTGCAACCTTGCACACCTTACTCCAGGTCGGAATTCAGGGCATCAATCCTAAGGAGCCAGCTCGGACAACCAGCAAAAGCTGGCTTGGGAGTTCAGATCTGGCCACGCTCAGAGAGGAAGCTCGGACTCTGGCGATCTTCTCTGTGGATATGGCCAATCTCGAAGGTCTAGGGATGCTAGAAGTCCTTCTTAGTACGGCCGTTGATTTTCCAGAATCATTTAGAGGGACCCCGGTTGTCAGCTCGAAGTTGGTTTCTACCGTCATCACAATTTTCGATAAATGGCAGCCGCAGCTACATTACACAGATCTAATACTCGGGCTCTTGGTAGGCAACCCAGGAAAAACCCACAATCTGATGGATGGGCTTTTACATCATATCAAGTTAGCCGCTGTCGACGAAGAACTGATGGCGCTTGTGGCACTGACCACATGCGCGTACGAAGTTGCGAGATTTTTCCTAAGAACCCTCACTTCTGATCCCAAGACAATTGAGCATGCTGCTCCAGAAGTCTTCCGACAACTTTTGTTTTGGACTTCATCAGATTCATGCGCACCTCTAATGCGCAACTTCTTGGCCCTAGTAGCATTCGACTGCCACCCCAGTGTCACGGAAGTCGGAATCTCTTTGCGCCAAGGTGGTATTGGTGATCTCAATGCAGCTCCCAGGTCATACCTTGGAGCTGAGACTCAAAATTTCAACTCATCCGACCCGCACATACGAAATAAAGTCCTATCGCTGCTGATTGATCGGGCAAAAATCTCAAATCCATTGCAGGAGAGTACTGTGAGTTTGATAGCAGAGTTCTTCGACTTGAGAGTTTTCTCTGCCCTTCTGCACAAACTCTGGGACAAAGTCACCATTACGATACTCGTGCTGCGAGCAATAGCTCGCAATAAACAAATTAGCTGGCCATCTTTCCAGAGACTCATCCTCTGCTTATATGCAGCAGGACTTCCACTATCAGATGGCATTGCGACACTTATTGCAAGCAGTGGAGCGTACGATCTGCTACGGTGGCCAATATATCAGCGCATGGCGGGAAGATATCGCAAGCAGTGACCTTCTTCGTGAAATCTGCTTGAGCAATTCTTCCTTTATGAAGCGGTACAACTCAGATCACTTCTTTATTTCCATTGGAAAGCACAGACTCTTACTCAAATGCTTTGCGTCCTACTTTGGGGTTTTGATTCTGTCCTTTGTGGTGAAAGCTCGCTGTGTACGTGTCTTGGTCCCATGTATAACAAACGTAATGGAGCATGTCTTTGACAGCTTATTCACTGATCTAGACATGTCTTTAAAATCTCATGTTGTTTCTCTACAGGTCTAGGCAGAGGGTCTTGGGTAGAGTACTACCTTGGATCTGCACGACCGTGTTGGCTTTTGTTAAGTTCGACAACGCCCTGTTGATGACAAAAGTGCCAGAGGTACCAACTGGTGCATTGATGACTGCATTGATTTTCCCGTTTGCAACAATCCACTGGACTTTCAGCACACCATATGGTGTTGTCACCTGCGCACTCGCAGACTTGAGATCGAAGCCAGTATACGCTGGAGCAATGACCCAGGTCTTGTATCCAAATGTCACAGGTCTAATACCAGCAATGTACTCAGTAAGGATGTAGGTTGGTGCACCTCTCCAAGGGTGCGAAAGACTGGTGTAGCGAGAAAGTCCAGGTTGTAAGTTCGTGTCTACGTATTCCAGGATGCGCCGCTGTGTGTGGTTTCGTTCTTTATCATGGCGGCCCAGAGGTTTTCGAAGAGGTACTTGGCTTCAGCTGTACGGTTCGACTGTAAGAGAGCGGGGAGAACGAATCCATTTGTATTGGGCGAAATATTGACAACGCCATCCGAGGAAACATCTGTCGTGTCTTTGTAACCAGGAGAGAGCTTCAAGGCAGTCAAAGCATTAATGCAAGATCTTGCTTGAGAAGCCGATGCAACACCAGAAGTAATGACAAATCCAAGTCCTTGGATGGAAAGCTTTGTTGCATTCTGAGGGTTGTCGCTGAAATGACCCAGACTGGGTTGCCAAAATTTGGACTGGATGGTCGAAGTCAAGTTTTTGGCAACTGCAGACCAAGCTTCGGCTGAGTTGTTGTCTCCAACAGCGATAGCTACATCAGCTAGTTCTTTGAAAGCTTGCACAGAAGCAGCATTGACAGCCAGACCGGCGCCGTCACCGAAGAAGGCGTAACCTACCGTTACAATGCCTGTAGAATTATCGATTTTTCCGATCAGATATTGTACTGCAAGTTTCCACTGCTCCCAGTTCTTCTTGGCGAAATCGATATCATTGTTATAACGCATATAAGATCCAAAAGCAAGGAGACCGAGAATGTGGTAATCCTCGAGGAAGTAATAGTAGCCGTCGGCCTCTGAGAAGCTGGCAAAGGTAAGAGTCGCAGATCCAGGATAACCAATAGGTGTGTTGAGTGGAAGCTGACCAGATGGTAACTGCCAATCTAAGAAAGTCTGAAGAGTACCTGCAGAGTAGTCCTTGCGATTTGTCGAGGTACTGATGATTGCAGCTGTATGATAGAAGTCGCCTAGCCAAACTAGTCTGTCACGTTTGGCGCCATCCATACAGATGTCTGCTGTGTTCGACTGAACACCAAATTCAGGTAGAACGGTGGATGAGTTCGTCATACGATTAGTATAGATGGTAGTTCCGTTACTCGAAACAACTTTGACATCCTTGACGTAGCCGGCTTGATCTTGCCAACCACCGAAGCCAAAAGAGCCAGTTGTGATATCGGTAGGAGACCCGATGTAGTAGTCATTTAGAGTAACGTTGAAGATCTTCGCACCATCGACCGAGACAGAGAGGTAATTGTCATCATACATCGCTGCAGAGACAGAGTACCATTGCCCTTCTTTGACCTGGAAAGGAACCTTGAAGTTTTCGAGGTAATACGAAGTAAGCGTGGTCTGGTTGACTAAATTGAAACCATAGGCCAGAGCAATCGAGTTGGGTGGCAGAAGAGTCCGATTAACGTTGACATAAGTAGTGGACTCAGGGTAATTTCCGACTAGGTTCAGTTGAATACCTCCATATCTGGTGCTGACAGGATAGGCCATGGTCCATCCAAGGCCACCACGTTGGATCTTTGTGGAGAAGGTAAGGTTGTAGTTTGTAAAGTCGTTCGCTCGTGTGGTGAGACCAGCACGCGTACCTCTGATAAACACACCACTGTCCGAGGTTTCCCAGATGGTCTTGTATGCCCCCGCTGCGAAACAAGAAGCACCAGAGGCCCTAGCACCAAGTTTCCAGATCTCATTATACAGTGGATTCGATGAAGTGAACTGTCCAGGGAGTCTGTCGTAATCAAGCTTGTCGACGGTGGCTTTAAATCCGACCTTGGAGAAGGTCACTGAGCCTGTCGTGAGTAAGCGTAACGTTTGCCAGCGTTGACCACCTTGAGCGAGGTAAGATTCCAGTTGACATGCTGAAGTGACCTCGAATGTTTCCACTCTATAAGTGTTGGTGAGGCCTTGGCCAAAAGAAAACGGACCATCAGAGAAAGGCAGATCTATGTTCCCGAGGTCCTCAGTATATCTGCAGAGATTCAATTGAGTACCACACATGGACTGGCTGGAGGGCTGACCTTGATTCAACCTGAACCTTTCCCCTGAAGCTGGCAACTTGGAAGAAGGGATATCCAGCAATCTCGTATCCATAATCCAACGTTGCTACAGGATTGTTCTTGTCAAGAGTGAAGCTTGCGAAAGGATGTGTATCGTGCTCATTTGTGGCGTTGCCAAGGGCGATATAAGATGGGTAGAATTCATTGAGGCTGACTTTGTATCAGTGCATGTCGGCGTACTGCAGAAAATCGGGTCTTGACAGATACCTAGACAATGGGATAGCCAGAGCCTGCCATGAGAGACCTATGAGTAAACAAGTTATCTTTTGCATCCTCGACAAGTAGGAGTAGATATCGCTTTTCTCAGGCATCGATCATTCTCTTTATACGTCTAACATCGGTCTGTGATATCCCGGTGACAAGATATCGGCTCCACATCTGTACGGTATAGGGCTAGGGCTCAGCTCTTGACATGTATACGTTCTTCGAAACCCAAAAGTTCCAAGATCGCAAAGACCATATTTTCCCTGGTCATCTCCGCACTCTACGGTTCGGCTCGGTCGAGTAAGCATGAAGCTAGACCTGCCATCGGAACTCCACGCGGTTTGTTGGAGCTCTGACTGTATGCATGGAATGTCCCCTGCAACTCTAGACTTTAGTGAAGCACAGAATACGAGACGCCCGCGAGCGAGGTCACACCCAGTTGACACGATGCTATCTCGGTATGTAATATCCCGAGCCTCAATTGTGCGGGGTGGTTGTGGAGAGATCGCGGTATTTGTACTCTTGCCATCATGCACACTGATTCTGATCTCGACTATGGTCAGTATCCATTCCCTAGCAATCTTCAACTTTCCATAACTTGATAAGAACATGACAGATGTTCAGCATCACTGTCGCGAGACCACAACTTTGCCGTGAAGCCAGCTTATGAGCTTATGGAGTTCTTATGACAAGGCGTTCTTGAATGACAGCTCTAAGGCGAACAACACAATAGTTTTACTTTCATCGAATACTAGTGAAGCTGGTCATGCCTTTCAAGAAGCTTTGAACAGATCGACTTAGGAGTGGTGGTGATGGCTCAGGAAGGGAAGCAATGAGGCTGAAAATTTTCGTGGGGAAGTCACCCCGCATGACGCACTCGATATATAAATTATCTCTCCAGCGATTCATCTCGACCAACGCAGCAAGCGATCGGGGACTTGGGCACTTTCTCGATGGAGGCAGAAATACTGTGAAGACCACAGAAGCACCGAAAATACAATGCATCGATGATCGCATGTCTTGGCCGTCAGGAACAGAACATCTCGAGCTTAAACATGATGATGCAAAGACATCGTCATCTGCAATAGCTACATACAGAGCTCCACTTTAAGCTCTCAGTTTTATATTCTTCTCACTACGAAAGCTCGAAGCTCTTTTTCTTTTCTCTCATCCAAGTTCTTCCATTGACTCTTAGAACAACCTTTCCACTCCCAAAACAACCCCAACACACACATTTCAACATGCCTCGCTCCATGGCCCCTCCTCCATCCGGTGAATTTTTGGTCAGGTTGGAGACTCCGTTCAATGGCACACCCACCCACATCATCGACATCACTGGCGAGCCCAACCGTTCTGCCAACATCAAGCAGACTTTCCACCACGGAACAACCATCGAGGAGAAGGTCGGCACAATGTCCTCGTACGTTCACTGTCAATCTTTGTCAGACACATGAGCACGCGACTAATACTTCAATCCAGTGACGACGTTCAAGAATTGATGCGCCTCATCTCTCAGCTCCGCGGTTTCCCTTCGCACGAGACCAAGGACGTCTATGGCCTCGACAAGGTCCTCGAGCTCCACACTCTCGAGATCAACTGGTGCAACCAGGAGAGCGACCCTGCCGCCAACGAGATTGCAGACATTCCCCCTGAGAGCAAGCAGACCTTCAAGGATGTTGTCGACAGCATTTCTGCTGCCGCTCGTCAGTTCGCCAAGGGCGACAACCCTCTCTAAACTCATAACGATTGACGCACAACAAATGTCATGACGAAAAGGATGCTATGTCTGTAATACTATATCAAATCGATACGAAACGAAGTGTATCTGATCCACCACCACCAATGTTTCGCTGAAATTCTATCTTCACCCGTGATTTTGTGATCCCATTATGTTGGCTCTCAATGTATGGCTTTATGTGCGCGACAGGGTTTCTAGCGACCAGGTAGTATACACCTATCGTTAGCCTTTCTGAGCATATTACTTTTGGATCGCGTGCTCGAGCTACTGTTTTTGTTGCTTCATGTTGTGTATGATCGACTCGTGGTGTGGTTGTGCTAAGAATTGGTCGTCACGTTTCAAGATTTGGTCAAATTTTGAACGAGCAAGGGTGCTACTTTGAGTTGCACAGTATCACTTCTGAGACACTGATGGAAGATAAAGAGTTCTAGACACTCTCGAATGTCTTCGTGTGTCACTTCCTGATAGCCTCGTGGTACAGTTGTCTGATGTGAGCATTCGAACCAGGGTCGTACAAGCAACAAAGATCGGAAAGCGGAGAAACAGAGTAGACGATAAATAGCATAGAATAAGTAGAATGTTAGCATATTCTACTAATTTTAAGTGAAATATTCCACTGCTTTAGCATAGAATAGAATCGTCAATTTAAGTAGAATATTCTAACATTCTACTCCTTAATAAAAAGGTTAAGTTATATAGTTATCCTTCTTACTAAGAAGGTTACTTTATAGTAAGGTTACTTATATAATAGTGCTAAGCCTCTTAATTACTAATCGGTTCTATAGTGTAACAATAGTATATTCTAGTAGAGTTATAGTTAGGCGTATTATAATAGCTTATAACATGCCTAACTATAGGTAGAGAGACTAGGGTTTAACTCCTTATAGAACTATTTTTTTCTTTTTAGTTAATTATTTAATTAGTTAGATCTTATCTCTAAGATAAGATCTTTGCTACCGATTAGTAGATTACGCAAAGCCTTACATAAAGACTTATGCGTTCTTCTTAACACATCTTAACTTAGCTATCCTATCTTTTATCTTCTTACTACTTCTCTCTTACTTAATACTAGAGCTTAGCTCTTAGTTTTCTTTCTATCTTATTTAGTATATAATCTAACTCTAATCTTAATCCTTACATTATGTATTTAATAGCTAGCTAGAAGCATAAGTTATAAGGGTTATAAAGCTAACTAAACTCTCGATTATCTTAGAGCTAGCTACTATACGCCTTAAGGTAAAGCACTCTCTTTAAGTTTGCCTCTAATACTCTAAAGCCTAGACTCTTTACTTCTTAGAGTTAGACTAATAGTATCCTTATTAAAGATAATATCTCTAAGA